CAAGGCACAAGCTGAAATCGCGCAGCATGCCCAGCAGAACTATGAGAGCGAACTGCTCAAGCATGCTGAAGCCGCGAAGAATCTACAATTGGTCCGGTCCGAAGCTAACCAGTTGAAGCTGGAAGTTGTCGAACTACGGACACAGGCCGACACCTTCAAGAAGGACCTTGCTCAGAAGGAGGAAAGCTGGACCGAGATCAAGGATAGGTATGAGAGCGAGCTCACGGAACTGCAAAAGCGCCGCGAGGAAGTTCTCCACCAGAACTCTTTGTTGCATACCCAACTCGAGAATATTACAAACCAGATCGCAGCCCTCCAGCGTGACCGGGCTAACATTCCTGAGGGAGATGAGGACGGAGAGGCCGGCGCGCCCAACCTCGAAGGCCTCCAGGAGGTGATCAAGTTCCTGCGTCGTGAGAAGGAGATCGTTGATGTGCAGTACCATCTGTCAACACAGGAAAGCAAGCGTCTTCGTCAGCAACTCGACTACACTCAGACCCAGCTTGACGAGGCCCGGCTTAAGCTCGAGCAGCAGCGTCGCGCGGCTGCCGACAGTGAACATAGCGCCCTCAGCCACAACAAGCTGATGGAGACCCTGAACGAACTGAATCTGTTCCGCGAGAGTAGTGTTACGCTGCGTAACCAGGTTAAGCAGGCGGAAACCTCACTTGCGGAGAAGTCCTCTCGCATCGAAGAACTTGTTCAGCAAATACAGCCGCTAGAGACTAGAATCAGGGAACTGGAGAACACTGTAGAGACAAAGGATGGAGAGCTGAAGTTGCTACAGGATGATAGGGACCGGTGGCAGCAACGTACGCAGAATATCCTGCAGAAGTACGACCGGGTAGATCCCGCGGAAATGGAAGGTCTGAAGGAGAAGCTCGAGACTTTGGAAAAGGAGCGGGATGAGGCCATTGCTGCCCGGGACACTCTACAGACCCAGGCTGCTGGTTTCCCAGAACAGCTGAAGCATGCGGAGGATCGCGTGCAAGAACTGCGCACGAAGCTCACAGACCAATTCAAGGCTCGGTCCAAGGAGTTGACTGGCCGTATAAACGCTAAACAGGTGGAGCTCAACACGGTCATGCAGGAGAAGGAAGTCATTCAAGAAGAACTCAAGACGACTCGAGAGGAATTGAATGAGCTGAAGACGAAGATGGCCGAGAAACCCGCAGCTCCTGCTGCCCCAGCTGTTGAAGGAGCTACTGGTGTTGACTCAACGCCTGCCTCTCAGTTCCCTGCGCCAACAACGCAGCCGCCTGCCGCTTCTGACGATCAACGCGTGAAGGCTCTGGAAGAGAAGGTGCAGCGCCTCGAGGCAGCTCTTGCGGAGAAGGAGACGGCGTTGACCGCGAAGGAGACGGAGCACGAGGCGAAGATCAAGGAGCGGTCCGACAAGCTGAAGGAGATGTTCAACAGTAAGCTGGCTGAGATTCGAGCTGCGCACCGGCAAGAAGTTGAGCGGTTGAAATCCAGTCAGCCAGCCGCTCCTCAAGAACCTGGAACCCCAGCTCCCAAACCCGAGCAGGTGCCAGCAACGCCGGCGACTCCTGCGGCTGCTCCTGCGACACCCTCCAAGGACACTGGGCTGCCTGAACTGACGGACGCCCAAGCCAGGGAGCTTGTTGCTAAGAACGAGACGATTCGTAACATCATCCGGAGCAACATCCGCACCCAGGTGGCTAAGCAAAAGGAATCCGACAAGCAGGAGAGCCAGGCCAACCAGGAGGCTATGAGCACACTGGAGCAGAAGTTCAACGAAGAGAGAGAAGCGTTGAAGAAGGCCCACGAAGAGGGTGTGGAGGAGAAGATCAAGGCTGCTGTCGAGTTGTCGGACAAGAAATCACTGGCGAAACTAAGCATGCTGGACACCCGGTACCGGACAGCCCAGGCCAAGATCGATGTGGTTCAGAAGGCTGCTACGGAGACGCCTCAGAAGCCTGTTGTCGAAGTCTGGGAGGTCGCAAAGACCACCAGAGCGCCTCCGGCGGCGCAGGCCAAGCCCGCCCAGGTGGCATCTCCTGCACCTGCACCGTCTCCCGCGCCCGCTGCGGCCCAGGCAACCCCGGTGGTGCCATCGCCGTCGCCTGCCCCAACGGCTACTCCTGCGGCCACACCTGCAGCTACGCCTGCAGCTGCACCCCAGGCCCAGCCTGTGGAGGCTGCAGCAGCATCCACAGCGGAGCCAGCTTCTGCTGAATCTACGCCACAGACAAGTGCCCAAGCGCAGCAGCAACCGCAGCAACAACCTGCGCCTGAACAGGCCGCACAACAAGAAGCTGCGCCTGCGACGGCTCAGCCAGCTACCAATGCTCCTCCAAACCCGTTCGGTCAGAGCCAGAACAAGCAGCCCTCGTCGTTGCCCAGCAAGCCCCCGGCCGGTAATGCTTCTGGCCTTATGCGAGCACTGACGTCCGGACTGCCCGTCGCGCGAGGCGGCAGGGCCGGCGGCCGCGGTGGGTCGCAAGCGAATACTTTCGGTCAGCAACAGGGACAACAGCAACAGGCGCAAGGTCAGGCTCAAGCCCAGCAGCAAGCTCCTAGCCAGCGCGGCTCTGGTCTGCCCCGGGGTCGTGGCGGACGCGGAGGCCATGGACGCGGCGGAAACCAAAATGTACAGCCCACGAATGCCGCTCAGCAAGGACAGGCTAGCCCAGGTCGCTCGCTGAATGCCGGTGCTCGCCAGTTCGTCCCTCAGGGCAACAAGCGTGCTCGTGAGGATGGAGAAGTTGGAGGCGAAGGAGCAACCAGTGGAGGAAAGCGCATGAGGGGAGGAGGTCATACCCGGGGGTCATAGGATCTAGGACAGCGTGAATTGCATTTTTCTTTCATTTTTCTCATGTACTTTATGTCTAAATGTGTCTGCTGGGATAGGGTAGATGTTCTATGCAACATCAGATTTCTTTTGTTATACACATATACGTGCATTTGTTGAGTAAGATACATCGAGACTTAGCAGGGTCAAGAACGCGCACAAGATAACATGATGCTTGCTTGTTGGTAGCAATGCATATCAACTGGGTATAGAGCAGAAACAACATATCCAGCAACCTATCCATCCACTTTCTAAATAAGAAGAAAAAAAAAAAAAAATAGAAGAAATCATCTCCTCCTCCCCCCAATCAATCTAACCAACGCATCCCTCTCCCTTTGCAACACCATCAACCTCGCCTCCTCAATCACCCTCCCCTCCAAGCCCCCATTCCCTTGCCCCCCAGCACCATTCCCACCAGGCAAAACCACCTTACTGGGCTCCACCCTCCCCACAGCCCTCCTCCTCCTCCTCCCTCCCCCCCAGACAACCATCCAATCTGCAATCCCATCCCCATCCCCAACCTCAACACCCGCACACACCCGACAATGCGATCCCACCACACTCCGCCTCCCAATCACCGCGCGCGCCTCCACACTACTCGAGCTATGGATATGCGCTCCCGGAAGTATCTGTGCCCCTGGACCAATGGTCACGCTATTGGAGATGCGGATGGGGAGAATCGACCCTTCGTCTTTGCTGGCGATTCCGCCTGAAGTCGTAGATGTGGTGGATGTGGGTGTGGGCGCGGATCCTATCACGCTCTTCTCGCTGATTATGCATCCGTTGCCGATTATCACGGGCCCTTCGTAAGAGTAGATTCGTGCCCGGGGGTGGATTATTGTGCTTGCCCCGATGGAGATTGGGTGTGAGCCTTGAATTAGCAGGCTTTCGGAGATGGTGGCGCTGGGGTGGGCGGTTATGGGGGTGCGGTGGTGGTGGGATGGAGACGGGGGTGCGCGTTGCTGCGAGTGTTGGGTGTGGTGGGAGTGTGGTGTGGAGGGTGGTGGTTTGAGGTGTGTTGATGATGATGATGATGATGGTGGTGGTGGTTGAGTTGGGTGGTGTTGTCGCGGGTCCATTCTTAGGGTTGTCGTTTTGCTGTGTGGTGTGTGTGGTTGAAGAGACGAGTTGATTGAAAATGTGGTGTGAAAGTATGGTAAGTATGTAGGTGATAGGTTTGTGTAGTGTCTGTCTTGGAAGTGTTGTGGTTGCGGATGTTGTGGTGGAAGGTTGATTGATGTCCGCGGAGGTGAGTTGTGGAGACCGGAGACAAGACTGGCCCGTGAGTAGAGGAAGAACAGCACCATAATGTCTTACGAAACAATCACTGTTCATGATGTATTGAAAGCACTGCGTTTGCAATGTATACTCGTAACTGAAGTATATAGTCATCATCTATCCCAACCGGGTATCTAGCATCATATCTAAATAATCTAAGTAAAATCCAACAAAACGCCAACACCATATCTACAGCCCGCATCTACAACTCAAAACACACTTCACTCTTCATCCCCATTCTCTGCCTCCCCCTCTTTGCGCTGCTTGATTCCATTCCTCTTCCGCCACGCCCAAACGCCCCGATCCACCTCCTCCCTCGTCATCCCATCCTTGACCAAACAGAAAGTCACCCCCAACTCGGTCTCAACATTCCGATTCCTCGCCTCATCATCAAAGAACAGCATCTCCTCATACGCCACCCCGCTCGCCTGCTGAATGCGCGAGAAGTGCTGCGTCTTGTTCGCCGGGAAGATCTGCACGTAGTCGAAGTAATCCAGTGCGCGCACCGACTTAGTCTTCGCGGCGGGGTTATCCGAGAACGTAGGAATGATGTGCAGAGCTTTGAGCATGTCGCGGGCCAGATCCGGGGTGTGAGTGCGCGAGGCCAGAGCGAGAGGGATGTTCTTGCTTTTACAGGCGTAGACGATGGAGGAGACGGCGGGGTAGAAGGCGAACGACTCGTTCCAGCTGCGGGAGAAAATGGTGAGTTATATGGTAGTGGTTTTGCTTGGGGCTTTGGGGACATACCGATCCGTGCAGCGGGAGTTGTTGTCGCGGGGCTTGATTGGGGCGCTGACGTGCGTGTCGACCCAGAATGGCCAGAGTGTATAGTCGAGATCAAAGGCGATCAGTTTCGGGAGCGGAAGGCCGTCGTTGAAGGTGGCGGGCGAGATGGAGGCATCTTCTAACGGTTGGGTGTTGGTTCTCTTAGTCCGCATCATGATTATCTAATTCTAGGGGTGATTCTGGATCGACACGCTATCTCCTTTTTATGGATCTTGTTAGAAGGGGAAGAAGAAGTGAATGGTGGAGGTGAAGGTGAAGGTGAAGGCAAAGATAGCGAAGATGGATGGATGATGAGGGGTCACGTGTGGGGAAGGGGATTCACCAAAGACAGAGGCATCTTAGAGTGAAACTTCGATTCTACGTGTTGATACTTGTTAAATCTACGACGCAGAAATCAATCATCATCATCATTATTGTTATCAGTAAGCTATTATTATGGACTCGCCCGACAAGAATTCTGCTGATCAGTCTCATACAAAGACCAGGCTATCTGGCCGGCAGACCTTCCGATTCTGAGTCGAGCACCTTCATTGAATAGTCACTCATACAGTGGCTCTCCTTTTTAAAATTTCAAGTCATATGTCCTGCGTTCTACATTCTGCGATTTGGAACTCCTGTTCTGCAGTTTCCATTTTTACCCTTCATCGTTTGCGATTCAGGACACGTTTAGCTGGCTGGGATTCATCATCCTCCCCATGCTGTAGTTGAAGCATCCCAGCGTCTGGAGGAGCTTCCAAATTTGTTGGTGCTTCTCGGCGCCTTGAAATGTCTGCGCGTATTCAAGGGCTTCCCAGCTAGCGGCATACATTAGAATGCAATTCTGCTGATGAGTGTCGAGGATTCCATCCGCGCCGACGGCATAGGCAATTGTTCGTCGCCACACCTTAAAGGGAATGTTGAACCGGCACACGCGGTTTTCATCAAGGTCCTTGTTCCTTGTACGTGTGTTCGGGGGCGTTGCAGGAGGGGTTGACATCACTTCAGTCGGGACAGCCGCTCTCATCGGTGGGGATGGTTCATATGCCTCCTGGCGGGTGGGAAATTCGGAGTCGAACGCTTCTGAACGGGAGTAAAGTGGGCCGGTGCGTTCCTCAGCCTCTTCAGGGGCAGCTTCGGTGACCGGAGGGCCCATGTGCGCGATGTCTTCACCTGGATACGCGTATGCACCAGTATTAGGTTCAACAAACCGCACACGAGTCCGGACACGAGGCTCGACGAATTCCACATGAACGTAGTATGGGCCATCAGATGAGCTGTCGTTCTCTTCGCTCCACTCCACCTCTTCCTCGCCTTCGTCCGCGGATTCGTTATTCTCGTCATCGTCACCTCCCACTATACTATCCGATCTCGGATGATCGTCATCATCCAGCAAGATGGCCCGGGAAATGAGCATCATTTTCAGTGCGGTGCTCCAAAGTGTGCTGCTATGCACTCCTTCTGTCTTAATCGCCTCAAGTTGAACGCGCTTGCAGAGACGGGTGTATTCAAGATTTAGCTCATTCTTAGTCTGGTTTGCGGCTACCTCGTCATGGTCTTGTCCTTTGTTTCTGCCGCGGCTGGCAAGCTTCTCTGTGCTGTCATTCTCGTCGCCCATATTCTGCCCTTCATGCTCTGTATCAGACATCACATCACGAAGGCCTTCTGCCACCTCCAGTAGCCGCACTGTGTATGGCGGGAGATCATTGGTAGGGCGCCAAATTATGCTCTTGCACAGGGGTGCAGTTTGAGGCAGAGTCACAGACTTCCCTGGAGGAAGAAAGTCGAGTTGGTGCTCCGGCGTTTGTTGTATTCTGATCATGCTTTCCAGATGAAGGGCGCTGGTATTGGACAGTCCAATCTCCGATAGGACGAGATGAGGAATTGAACGCAGACCTCGAGTACAAGTATACTTTATCAAGTCAGCCGTATCGATTTGTGTATGGCCTAAAAGGGTCATCTGTTAGTTTCAAATGCTTACCTAGACGAGGAAGCCGTGCGTGCACTTACTTTTCGGACGAGCCTTTTTACCCTTGCTAGGCGACCTTTTGGATCTCTTGGGCTCATTTTCTTTGTCCGACAACTTCATTCTAGCCGTATCCTCGACTAGACCACTTTCCTCTTCAATGTCAGAACCATAAATGTCTTTAGCATCACTCGGAAGCCAGTCGAGGTCACTCTTGAGGTAGACCCGCGCAAAGTGCTCGAGGCCCAGACAACCGAGGGGGTTGCCACTTAGATCAAGCTTCTTGAGCAGGCAACAATGCTTGAATGCCTTGAGGAAGGCCTCCCACTTTTCGACATCTTGCGCAGTCTCGATGTGAAGCTGGTTCTTGGAAAGATCCAGTTCCCGAAGGTCACCCTCTGATAAAGTGACTACCTCTGCTAATTTAGCCAACGACTCCACAGTGAGCTGGTTACCTTGCAAATGGAGCTCAGTGACAAGTGCTATGCTCTTGGAATGCCCGGCATGTTTGTACTTGATGCACTCGATCAAAACATCGATGAACTGCTTGAAGCCCTCATCCGTCAGTTCTTTCCCCGTAACATCGATTTCAAGAACAGGGTCTCGCAAAGCCGCCTCATGGCTTGTCGACTTATTGCCATCTTCAGGCGGAAATCGCTTTTTCTATAAGCAGTCGTCAGTCTAGTTCACTAGTATTCAGGCCACTCGACTGCCACCTACCAGGCTAGTCCAGACGGCCTGGCCCGCTTTGATGCCTCTAATCTTTCTCTACGGAACAAATTATCGTCAGCCTCTGTTCTCTAGAGATATCATGTGTTGATACTCAGTGGAAGGACTTACGCCAAGGTAGTTGAGCTTCCCCATCTTGAGGAGCGACCACGAAGGTACAGTGTGCAATTTCTCTGATTCCAAGTTAGCATGCCTGCTCAAGAATACCGACGCGTCCAAGATAACGAAAGTGATAAAATTGAGTAGAAAAGGATACTGTGCCCAACTATTCGCCTAGTGGAAGTCAAGTCATGATGCAGTGAGGCGTGCGGGCGCGTCACCTGTGTCAGAAGGACACTATCTCGAAGACAAAAAGACAGGAACTGTGAAAGAAGGATCATATTCAATCACATACCTGACTATTGATGTGCTTCGAAGTTAATTTCGTTATGCTGTGATAGATAACTCGTCGATCGACTAGAAGTTAGAAAGCAGAAGATTGTTAGTGGATGGGAGAGAACTAGATCAGTGAAGAAGAATGCGTCAACAGCCCTATATCGAAATGTATACCGATCAGCACTAGCGTGAAACACTGACTGTGTGTTTCTGCACTGTTCCATGAACTCGCTAATGCAGAATAGGAAGAGTCTAGAAAGAGTGTTGGAAGACGTGAAGGCGGAAGATGTGAGACATGAAAGTCACGGACAAAGCTAAAGGATTATAAAAAGTAGGCCTGGTGGTGCGTGACATTCAACGCGTTTCCTTTTTGGGCTTTCAAGGGCTTTCACACCTTTTCTCATTCACTTTCACATTGCGATGGCAACTTATGCTTTGGAGCACAGAAGAGCGAGTGTGTGTTCTTTTTGTCCTCCTTGAGCAGTATGTAAAGGGCTTTTTACGGTGTTTACCCCGTGTGGGAGCCTCAGCAGTGGTTCACTGTACTAATTCTCACTTCTGTATGGCAATCTCCGCACATTCTGACAACATTCAGTTACCTACTATAGTACCAGAAGTGCTTGAGAAGGGAGGAATGTGAACGAACGGTCCCATATCTGCACCGTATGTTGAATATCACACAACGCAGTCTAGCTATTAGCCTTATAACAAATTGATAATATCCTTGAACTCATGCAGTATAGCAGGGTCAATATCCTCCCAGCTTGCGGGAACCCCAGCTCCTTCATCCGTGGTACCACTGGGTTGGAAAGAGCTTGGAAGAGTAGATACAATGTCTTTGTCCCTCTTACACCTCTTTCTATTGTCTTCAGCAGTCGTAGTCAAGAGAACCTTCCGTTTCTTCCCATGGGAATCAGCAGGAGTGGCTTTACGGCAGTTAGGTGTATCATCCTGTTCGTTCGAAATCATCTCATTGATCTCCGTGGCAGTTAAATTGATAATATCAGCCTTACCAGAGCCTTGTGATAGTTGAATTGACTTTTCCTGGCTGGCTTTAGGTGTGGAAACCATATCCACCACTGGTGGCAATTGATAATTGTGCCATCCATCATTATCACTCCAGTCTTTTGTAGTCATGTCTATCTTCATGTTGTCTTCGGTAGTTGGGGGTGCGAGATTCTGGTCTTTCGATGATGTTGCTACTAGGGGCTTTCCGAGCAGCAGGGCGGACGGTGAAGGGAAGTCGCTGAAGCTGTCGTTTCCGTAGTCACTTGAGGATTCAAGTAAGTTCTTTGGGGCTGGACAGCTGGAGTCAATTTCTGGCTTATTGTTGTTGTTGTTGGTCTCTGTGTTGCCTGAGGATGCCTTGTGTGTTGAGACTGGGCTTTCTATTCGGTGTCTGTATGCTTCGGAATTAGAAGGGTTACTCGCTTGGGTGGTAGTCTCCTTCTTGGCTATTGTTGCTGGAAGGGTTTTCTGATTGAGTTCCCTTGCCTTCTTACCCTTGTCCTTGTCATCGTCGCCAGATCGCTTCTTGTTTGCTTTGGGTGGCTTCTCGAGTCCATCTCGACAGCAAATATGCTTACATCTATCTACAATTAGTTGTTTTCCTTTGAACATGGGAAAGTTTGCGATACCTTGTCTTATCTTTGCACCGATGGTTGCAAGCCCATCGACCGTTGTCGAGTCTGACAGCCTCTGCTGCTTCAACTGTTTGATGGTTGCTTTCATTTGGATCCTCGCTCGTATTTCTTAGATATTGTACTTTGTCTACTGGCGGTTCTGGAAATTTGTCGACAAAAGACCACTTCTCGGCTTGGTCTGCAGATAATCCGGGTCAATCCGTTAAATACCTATCCCATTACAAGCATTTCGACTTACCATTATCTAGGAAGTCCCCGAAGAACAGATCGTCACTGTCCCAAAGGTCGATATTTCGGGTAATGAATTTGGTCTGGGACGTGTCATTACTGCGTCGGCGAGAGATGTTAGATCTGGGCCTCGCCGACACTGAATCGGACGGAGACTCTCGCTGAGACGGAAACAAGCTTGCGGGAATATCATGTCTCAGCTGTGCGGATCGCATAGTTCCAGCTATGGTCGTCAGTAGTCATCTACATGATGGTCAAGGGCATTCCTGAATACCGATATCGTCACACATTGCATAGCACGTCACAGATTGACCGGCGCTTTTCAACTCTGCGCTAAAGACAATCTCTTGGCCTTTGGACATCTTACAGGCACTATATAGAGTGAGCCTCAATGAAATGTGCTTAACATGCCGTCAGTAGTCCCAACCTTACGCGTCGGAAGTCGAGCAAACGACCATCTGAACTTTCCGCCATGAAGCAGACGTACACGGGGCGTCGTTGGAAGTATGTCGGGCATTTCTCGTTCATGAAGGCGACTTCGCTTCTTATATTGATCTGAACACCAGTACCAGTCTTTGATCCCTGCTATTGCATCAGTAAGAGGTCTAGATGGCTTTTGGTACAATACCTTGCCAATCATCTTGACGGACACTCGAAGCTTGGGAAAATCCATAAGCCGCTCCAACAATTTCCTCCCGAACGGAGGATTTCTGCTCAAGATCATATCAATTTGATGAGGTTCAAAAGCCTCCAGTGTCTCAATGCCAGTGATTCCTGAAGATGCTAGTTTTCGAACAGCAACCACACCAATTTGCTCAATCTGCTTCATCTGGAGTGGGGAGTCATCCCAAACTTTGGCCCCGAAGCTCCTTGCAAGCTCCAGTGCATTTCGTAGAGTGATTGAGTCTTCAAGACCTACTTGGCGGTCTATTATACAGCGGATGAGCCTGTTAATGTGAGAAAAGACGAATGTTTTGTCCTGTTGGAAAGTGAACCTGTGCTTTTGGAATGGTTCGCCATCTGGCAAATCAACAGCACCTAATTCGGACTGGATCAATAGCGAGATCTTATGTGCGGATATTGCGATATCCACGTTTACTGGAAACCGAATTGCGTTGGAGCGATTGATCTCTTTGTATAGGGACTTCTCGCCAGCCTTGAGGCGTATCTCACGGAATTCGTCTGCTCTCGAAATTACCGACAGCTATATAAATGGTTAGTCTTCGTATAGGCTCCGCGGTAAGAGATACTTATTCTTTACAATGTGGGATACGGTTGAGTGAGGCTTTAAAGTAAGCAAGGTCTTCATCGTCTCAAAGCGCACATAGTATCGCGCCATGGCATCACCAAACTTGGTGGATTTGAGACAATCGGCGGAGACCAGTCCACAATCCTGGAGAAGCTTGATATCTTTCTGACATATCTGTCGGAGCATCTCTTCCTCATCCTCCCTATCAGCGTCCTCTTTCAGTCGATAATATGTCGGATTTCTTCTCATCCTCACGAAGAAGAAGGTACCAGCAAGCCATCTGATAGCAGAGTCGATGTCTATGATATTTCCAAGCCCGATCTCTGCATTTAGATGATCAGTAAGATTCAAATGGAAGCAGCTTTCAAGGCTCTCGGAGCCAGACACAAGCCTCTCATAGTGAGCTTCGCGTGCTTGTCTTGTCATTATTACAGCTGTAGCACTATCATCGAACTGTGGTCTGCCGGCGCGCCCGAGCATTTGCATGATTTCTAGATCTGAGTATTCTTTGCAACCCCCTTCTTGCCATCCGACTGTTCCCTTTATGATGACAAGATGGCAGGGCAGATTTACACCGACTGCAAGTGTTGATGTGCAACAAATTATGCTGATTTGTCCACTGAGAAACCCTGTTTCAACCGAGCGGCGGTCAACTGGACCAAGGCCAGCATGATGAAAAGCTACGCCAGCAGCAATTGTGGCTAGACTGGATTAGCCAGTTGCTCTACCAGAATGTAAGGGAACATTTGGTACCTCTCAAGTCCACATTCTGCACTTCCATAGGACTGCCTGGTCCCTTCCATAACTTAGCAAGGGGATTGGACATGGTCCACAAGCGTGTAAGCTCCTTCGCGGTAGCAACGGCTGAGTTCCTCGTGCAGCAAAATATCATTATTGGCTTCTTTCGAGAATGAGATGATATAATGTCTGCAAGCCTACAGAAAAAATGTCAATAGCGGAATCTGTGTCTTTTGAGGATCACTTACTTAGAGGTGCACATTCTATCGAACGCAAAGTCGTTGGCGTGCGACTGGTAGCCGTACACGAACTTCTGCAACTTCACAGGGCGAAAGTCTTCCCCAAAGTGCTCTCTGTGGGCAGGCACATGCTGATTTACTGGGTCCCTACCTATCCAAGTTGCGATGTCCTCTGAGTTTGGAACAGTAGCACTCAGAGCGACAAAGCGAACGTTCGACCCGTTTGCTTTCATGCGGGATACGACAGCTTCTAGGGTTGCACCGCGAGCTTCCTTGAGGATATGGACCTCGTCAATGAGGAATAACTTGACGAGCTGCATTAACCGGGCATGATCCTTCCACTTTCGCGTCATGCTGTCCCACTTCTCGGGTGTCGTGATAATAACTTGGCTGTTCTGAACACTCCTCAGTTGAGTGTGGTCTGTATCCCCCGTCAACTCTGCACATTGCAGCCCTAATGTATGGAATTTTCTACTCCAGTCTCTGAACTTCTCAGAACAAAGAGACTTGGTAGGTGCCTGGTATATAACCTTGAACCGTTCATCTTTGAGGCAGTTGAGTAATCGACAAATTGCTAGTTCCATTATAGCGGTTTTCCCACTGCCCGTGGGTGCGGCAAGGACAATGTTGCTATCGGTCTTGTAGGCTGATTGGAAGCATTTTGATTGTACGGCATTGAACACGGGGAAGGGAAAGATTGACCGATATTTATCTGGGAGTTCATGCACAGATACGAGGACGATTCCTCGAATTGAAACCGGAAAATGTTGCTGGAAAGGGCCTCTCTGCCGGTCTTGACGGACAACTGACAATAACTCAGCAGGGTGGAAAAGTGGTATCTCACAACTGGAGAAATTGTGAGGATCATTGTTGTCCTCGAAGTCATGTTCAGGAGCATGTGCTTCCAATCTCCCAGCTCGCCTTCTTGTCAGTGGACTAGATGGCGATCTTACACCCGTATCCGGAGAACTAGAGCCGAAACTCTGACGAGGAGTGGCATGAGGACCTGCTGTTGTGTCAAACCATGTTAGTTCAATCCTTCAGGGCTGAGATCCGTGAACCTTATATCAAGCATGTATCCTGACCTTGAAAGAAACGAGAGACCCGGTTATAGTCTGTTCTTAGGGAAGGCCTGGACAACGAGCCACGGTCTGCAACAGAGCCCACTGTATAAGGACTCTGCACTTACTCATCTAATCGAGCCAGAAGTTCAAGATCTAAGACTTGAATGGTTAGCCTGATCTAGGCATTCTTAGATGTGACTGTGGGGTAATTGAGCGGCATACCAAAGGCATCCAGCTCTAGATTTTCATCCCGAGAAAACAACTGCAGCTTGGGCTGATCACTACTAGAGCCCTCTCTGGGTAGTCGGTTGAACAAAGGTTCCTGTTGTGCACCTTCAACTAATCTTTGATCAATGACGGCACTTGGGTTTGATCGACTGGGAGTAGGGAGTTGAGGAACGGTCCTACGCTTATAGGGAGCATTCCGGCGGGTTTGGGGGTTTGAAGAATAAAAACTGTGCCGCATGATAGATAAAGGAGAATCCTTGGTTGATACGATGTGCAAGACGCTGCCACGCCCACATTTACCACGGATAGGCGAGAGGAAGGGAACCAGAACTGGGTAGATGGGGAAGGGGAAAGTCACCCGTTATGCACTAAAGCACGTGGGGTCTTTTACGAACAGCATACAGCAAGCGGACAGAGGGCAAGGTAGATGATACATCATGTAGCGATTGAACCAAGGTCTTTATAATTTGTCAGTCTTCAATTCCTAGACAAGTAGATTGCTCAATGTTAGAATGATTCGTGGGTTGTAGGATTGCGAGTCGAAAGAATCAACAACGAAAGGAATGATGTGAATAAAGTACAAGAAAGTGGAACCTATATGACGAAAGCAAAAGTGGCATCATCGCTTCTATCCATCCTTATTTACTTCCCAGAAAAACATGATACAGCAACGCGAAGGTTATTCCTACGCGAAAGATGCGAAGATAATATCCGCAAATTGTAGTTCAGTTGTCTCGTGAGTGCTTTTCGAAATATCCACCGCTTGGGGTGCGGCCAGCGCGTACGTGGCCCGGAGATGTAGGCCTGGACGTCGAAAGCCCATCAGTAGAGAGAAAGGGCGTACCAGGAAGCTTTATGGAGATCTCGTTAGGCGATGGGGAGGCTGGTGAAGCATCCCCACTCTTGCTTTCCTTCTCATAGCGATCCACGCGGATTGGGGGTGGACGGAAGGTCTGACGCTTGGCCTGGGCAGATGCAGAATTTGCATCCTCGCAAAGGCAAGTAACCACCAATACTGCGAATGACCCCAGGAGATACTGTGAAGATTAGCACCTACTCACAACGGGAGGAATACGGGTCACATACATTGGCAGTGAGTTCAAACTCAAATAGCCAAACGCTAGCCACCGTGGTGAGTACAATACTCGCAGCCATGGCCATGTTCTTGCCATCTCGGAATGCATAACCAATGTAGAAGGACGTGGCAATGCCACCAATAGCCTGTACGACAACAGTAGACCAAACAATCCAGTTGTAGCCCTCGAAAAAGCCATTGGCAGCAACCTTCTCGCCATCCAAGAAAACAACCCCAATGAAAAGCGCCGGGAATATCGAGTAGACGGACAACTGCACGTTGCGAATCCAGAGTGAAGTCGACTTCGCACTGTCCTTCAGCACTTTCTCGAAGTAGACGCTTGCAACGCCGGAAGCGAGGCAGGCGCCAACTGTGGCCAAGAGGCCAACGGTAGCATTTAGTCGAGGGTTGGCGGTCATCATATCCTCCTCAATTCCCTCATATGTCGCAGAACGCTTATGTAGACTCTCACGTCCTAGCTTGGAGGCTTTCCACTCTTCCAGAGACCGCGGGAATGCAAGACGCGCAGTCTCATCTTGGAGGGTCATATCGTCAGGGTTTCCTGTGGGCATCTGCACCAAAGCAACGCCCGCCAAGAGAAGGACCATGAGTCCCAACTTCCGGAGCGAGACAGGTCTCTTGAGCAATACCAAGCTGGCTATGGCCACAACGATCAGTTTCAATTGGTATGATGCTTGGAAAGTGGCTGGCGGTAGGTTCGACAGAGCGATGTACTGCAGCGAATTCGCAAGCGTATAGAGACAGGCAGGAATAGCAAGCTTCCAGCTATCACCGGAAAATATGGCAGTTGTGAGGGAGAAGAAAAGAGAAGTCGCGGGTACTGAAGGAGGGGCTGTCTTCGAAACCTCGTAGAGCGCCATGGTCAGGGAGATGGCGAGCTTGACGACCTCATTGAAGAAAACGGCGGTTGACGTAAGGTAGCGCTTGCCGCCAGCGGGCGACATAATCCTGGAATAATGCAATAGCTATGGGAGGACAAGATATAAGCAACCAGGTACGCTATGATCGAAGTCGACGGGAGCGACTCACCAAGACAAAGGACGTACACTGCACGGTCAACTATTTTCAAAAACCCGATGTCAGTGTTTACAATACTCCAGAGCTTTTACCAGACAAGCAGCAGCATTGCCATAGTGGTGAATGTGTGCATAGGATAGGTGACTTACCAGTGCCCAAGACAGGTGTTTCCAAACCGATCCCAGTCCCGAGGACTGGCGCTGGGCGGACTCCCCCATATTGACGATGCTTGTCTTCCCCGTAGCGAAACTGTCGTTTCTTTTTGAAAGGTAACGAGCAGGTTGAGTTATAAAAAGCAGTCGAATTGTTGGGCGGCGAAGGGACAGGAACTCCGCACTCGATTACCGAGGATGTCGCATACAGATTGGGCGCGTGGTCGTGGTGGGAGAGGGGTGTCTTCACGCTTGACAAGGAATTTGCTAGCGAACTAGACCAGCACAAAGGGAACCGACAGAGTCGCGGAGTATATGAGAGATCGGAGAGCTCGAGAACGGAGCTCTCAAGGAATGAAGGCCTCAATGGAGGTCGAAAAACTAGGCGCAAACGGGGGGAGAACCAGAAGAATGAGGGAGCGAATGGACTAAAATATGAGGGATCCGGGGTATTCTTGAGACGCTTGTTTGGGCGGTGTGGATCACGGGGCAGGTGGCGGTCTAGTCCCTTTGCTTGTTCGGATGGGCATTTTTGGTTCCTCCCAGCCATACATTAATTCAGATCCAAAGCAAGTGCTTCGACTTTCGCCCAGAACTTCCCCCCTGAGGATCGCATCTGACGTCAGGTTAAGACATACATGCCTCGATCGACCTCGTCACTGCACTGCGCAGATCCAGCTGACGGAATATCTGCCCTTTGTACCCACAACAAAGCGCGCAATCTGCAGATTACGCTACGTTCCGCTCATCATCAACGTGCCATAATACTATTTGGTGAGGTCCGATCGGCGACACAAGATATTGCAGTCAGCTAATATCACCGTGATATCAATAATAGTAAGCATGCATGATCTGCAGTAAATCTTATCACGTTACAAGGCTTGGTCTTTTGACGGGAATCAAAGCCGACGGCCTAGCTACACAATACTCAACAAAGGGAGGGCAGGGCCAGACCCAGTCGAACGGACGTTTCTTGGCAGAACTCAGAACCTTGGTTTGTGTACCAAAGTTCCAGTTCCCCTCTATACTCGCAACGCACGGCCGGTGAGGCCTCGACGTGGGATTATGTCGTCGGGCGGGATCATCATCGAATTTTCTCTCACCGGGGTCATTACAGCCCATTCCATGCGGCTCGGACCGGAGAGATTTGGGGGCCCAACAGCAATTCTTCACTAATGCTTCAACCTAGGCCATGTAGGTTAAACTTACGGAAGCCGACTCTCGAAGTCCGCAAGGTGGGCCTTGCCATTGTGAAGACGAAAGATTGACAACACCCATATAAGCCGACTTAAGTTCCAGTGTTTGATGCTCCTGACTTTCTGGAGGGAAAAAAAAAAAAGAAAAGAAAAAAAAGAAAGAGCAAGAAGGTGAGACTATACGAAGTGGTCATTTTACCGCCATGATACTAAATAAAAGCGAGATCGTCGCGACTGCAACTCTCCTTGCAATAGCTTGCTATGTCATCTGACTGACACCTTCCGTTGGGTGACCGTTTGCTTCTTAATGCATGTCACTGTTTCGACCCATTTCCCATCCTTTCCCTTACTATTTACACCTTCTGAAACTCTCCTCGATATACACTTTGCGAGAGAAAATATCTGGATGAGTTTGAGCCAGCGAACGTCCCAGGACTTCTAATCATTTATGACGCAGCAGGAAACCATGGATTGCGGGTGTAAGCCCAATAGTGGAGTTATCAGCATAGATGATTCAATTATGTGGACAGTGTCCGATAGTAGGCTCCTCAAGTCTAGGTCATCAATCTACAAAGTGTCTTCTGCCATACAGCATGAGTAACCATAACAAAATTTGAATATTAGAAACTCAGAAATAAGAGCCAAGTGGCCGTATCTCGCTTGATCAATTTGAAAAGGAGAACATGAATAAGGAAAATCAAAGAGCGTATGTTGAGTCACAGGTATGGAAACGGGTGAGTGAGCGTGCGAGCGCTGGTAGGTATTGTAAAGATTGAGTAAAACATGTCATAAAAGTTCGAAATGGTAAAATGAGTGGGTATCATGAGTGCGAGCATCTTGAAAACAAGCAACATCATGTTCAGTGTACAGCCGTCATAGTTCCGTTGTCGTTATTCCACCGCAATGTCCACATGGGAAGCTCCTCCCTTTGCTTCGGCTCCTCGGACTCTTCCAGGACGATTGCCTCGCTGCTATCTGTACGCCGCCGTGAGTGCCGCCTCTTGTCTTGTGGCACAGCGGGAATAGGCCGACGAGGTGGTGGCTTTTGAGACGGTATAGGCGAAAAGCGGTGGATGGGGAGCGTTGGTGTTAAGGGTGAGGCAGCGCTGGTCGATGGAGACGAAAGACCCTCGGAGAACGCCAAGCTAGCACGTGGAGAAGGGAATGAGTTGATGGTCCTCTGCTCCTCGTCGGAAAAAGTGCTTTGACATACGGAACCTTCCCTTTCATTGCGGTTCGCACTGGCTTGGGCCGATTTAGGAGGGAAAGCAGGGCTAAGGCGTAAAAAGGACATGTCTGATCCATAAAACGAATCCCGCGAAGGGACAGACAGCATGGAACTTTGGTCAGGCTCCAAGGTACTGTTGAACCGGCTCTCCTGGAAGATGCTGGGCGTAATCTTCCCCTTCCTCTGTCTCATTGCCTCAAGGAGATGCTCCTCCTGTCTCGTCACCGCGATGACTCGGCTTCTTCTGTTCACCTCCTTCTGGGAGGCGGAGGGGGGCTTTCTGAGCTGGCTCTGTCTCTGATGATTGAATATTGGATCTCCATGGTAGAATTCTGGCTCAGAGATTGTGGGTATTTCGCTGGATCGACGAGATTGGCAGCTGGCCATATAAGATGACCTCTCCGCTGATGACTGAGACACATCTCGTCGAGCAGATTGAAGCCTCTGTGATGAGCGCGATCCACGGCTAGTGACAGACGTTGGCTGATCAATGCTCCGTAATGTGCCCTTTGTCGCTTGTGCCGCCGATGCTGTACATATCTCTGCTTCAAATTCGCCGTAGGTTGCAACGCTGTCCCTAGCATTTCGATCTCTGTTTAGTCGATCGCTGTTGAGGTCTTCGTCATCATCTTCATCCTCCGAAGAGGAGAGGCAAAGCACGCTGGAGCTATTCAAGTCCGCAGTCTTCAGTGTAGTTCGACTACTCTTTTTTGGCACCGAGCACTTCTCCAATGCAGCAGACGCATGCAAGTTTGGTCTCCTAGGGTCGGAGTGACTCGAAGCGTGATGTGAGCTTTGGCGAGGGCGAGCTTTTGGAGATAAATAGGTCTCCTTGCTCCACTCACTGCCGGAACTATTTGAGGTAACCTTCCACAAGTTATCCTCCGGGGCGCGAGAATCACCGGTTCGCCGTTTCTCTTGGCCTTGGGATCGTGAATGTGAGCGATTAGAGCGACCCTTAGGATTGCGCCGAGAATCTTGCTGCAGTTTCTGCAGAGCCAAGTCCATCTCACTGGCCCGCACAGTCCTCTCCAAGGACGGATCAAGCCAATTCGAAGTTTTAGTCTCGTAGGATGATGTCTCAGGAGCCCGATCACTGTAGGCTTGGTCGGTGGTCTTCACCAAGTGAGGTGGCGTCTTTGTGAGTCTAGTACCAGCTGCATGGTTCTCGACGTTCTTTGTCTTGATGACCGGATGCTCAGAAACTATGGAGATAGCAGAGGGAGAGGCCACCAAGCGCTGCGGCGACAACAGTGGCTCAGCGGTTGCCTTAGGCTTTGGAAACAGTAGAGAGAGATCGATCCTAGGTGGGCGCATTTTACGCTTTGAGTCTTTCATGGAGCCTTTCGGTTGCCTGAGGCTGGAACCAGACTCGGCGCTATGTTGTGACTCTGATTTACTATCAACTGCAGGTCCGAAGTCGGATGTCGCAACTCCAATGCCAGAAATTGCATTGGCCGACGAATCCCGTGAACTGAAGTAGGAGAATAGGGCGGAGGCTGAACCTGACTGATGAACTTTCTTGGTCGATGCTGGCATAGGATGTCCAGAAGCATCATCTGGGCGAAATTCATGGCCCAGTAGAGGTGATGATGCCCGAACACGAAGGTGTTGTTGGGGGATATTGGTCTCTGGAGCAGCAGTCGGGAAGGGAACAAAACCACCACTCTTCTGCGATTTGATCTCCGGAGCCCTCATGAAGCTTGGTCGTCTCGAGCGTCTTTTGTCGTCACGCTTGGGATGAGACTCGTGAACGGAGGCATCTGTTGCGCCGAGGATCTTGTAGGCCTTTGATGTGTTCTCGTTTCTCGAATCTCCCGGGCTGGCTGCGGGTGAACGCACTCCACTTTTAGAGGCATGCATGCTGAAAGTCCTTGGCGGGATAGGTATGGACTGCTAGAGCATCAATAGATTTAGTATGGGCGTGACCCAGGTCGACACTCCGGGCTGCAATCCCAAGGTCTCTTCTCCGAAAATCGAGCTATAACCAGATAGCAAGAAGTGGATGAAGGTTTTAGGGAGCAAGAACTGAAGAAAACAATTGATCCCGACGTCTTTTGGTCGGAGGATTCAGGAGGTTTGGTAGAAAGCCGGAGGTGTCTTTCACTGTTCCCCACCCCAAGTCGGTGAGTACCCCCAAGCCCGTATGTTTACCGTTTCGGTCACTAAAGATCCTCGTTTCCGGGCGCCACCAGACACACCAATTCGAGATTGAAGAAGCGGTCAAAAGAATGAGATTTCACAGGAATTGGCGTTCTTCTTAAAGACTGTGTCAATGTACCGAGCAGGGACTGGAAAGACGGATCAGGCGAGTCACGGAGAAATAAATAGAGAACTAGAAGAGTAAAAAGGGAAAAGGGAAAAGAGGGACTATGCAGGTCCGGCGGAACGAGTGAAATATGACCTGGCTAATAGTAGCAGCTCGCAGGAATACAAAAAAGAGGGTCCCCGAGGAGCTAAGTTGTGAATGATGTAAACAAAATTTGCAGGGAAATTGACCAGAATCAGAGAAGAACCGGCCGTGCGAGCCGAGAGACCTATTAGGTACTATATATAAGTGGCCGCGATTTCATTACATGTGAGCGACTGAGGATGGGGGGAAGGAATTTCAGAAGCGTGGAGGGTCGCGGCTTAAGGGGCAAAGTCAAAGACGCCAGAAACAGTCTAAACTCAGCATGGGCCAGCTCAGAGTTGAAGAGATCCGCGAGGAGCATAGAAGGCTCATTCGCCAATGGCTTGGAACCAGAAAATCGACGGGGAACAAGGCCATTCTCGTGGGCCCAGATGATACCTGGTTGTCATAGTACTCCCAGCCGAGCGAGAACCGGCAGAATGGTCCATCAGGAGAGAGCAAGAGACGGGCGACAGGCTACCTACGTTAGCCCAGAGAATTAAGATTCGTGTCAGCAGACAATTGCAAGCCGGTAGTGGCACCCTAGCACCCTACAATAGCAGTAAGAATCGACAGGCACACAACCATGGGTCCATAGATCGCAAAGCGGCTCCTGAGAGCTTCTGAGTGGCCCATCCAAGTGGAGGAGGTTCGAAGGTGGATTCAATGGCTGCTGGTGGCCCGAGGCGAGCGATTCCCATTCAAGGCAAGGCAAGATTTCGAGGAGGATGGGTGGAATGTCCGTGTCTTGCAGCTGTTTATTTTTTATTATTATAATTTTGTATTTATTTTTTTTCTGTTTTCTAAATTAGTTGTTCCGAAATCAGACCATTTTTCTGGTGGTGGCCCAATATGTGTTCGCTATATACGCATGAAAATTGTCAGAGCCCAGCAAAACGCATCGTCCAGCAGAGAGCGCATTCTCGTACCTGATGATAATAAGTAGTATGTATGAGTTGGCCAGCAGGGATGAACAACCGCGATATCCCACCATCATAGATCTGAATATAGTCTGGTCTCCCCTTGCGCCGTCTCTCGTTCGTAAACTTCGACCGTCTTTCCTTTCCGTCTTCTTTGGATTCCAGGGGATATTCTAGAGGCCAATAGTCGCTGCAGTCCTTCGTCTCTTTCTGGTTTAGACGCGGCTGGACACGTGCGCCCGGGTTCGAGTTGAACAATTCGGGCGATGCGGCAGGAAACCAGCGCAGCCACTTCATGATTCTTGCTAGCAGTCTGTTCTTTCTTCTGCCTACAATACATTCAAGTCAAAAAGCAAGTAAGACATTGCCACCATCTTTTCTCCGTCATGTAATAGGTCAATTGTGTGTTTTCGGAATTACTTACACGTCGTATGCCTCTGACGTCCGCACCGGAGATTGGACCGACGCGTGCACTCCGTCAGGAACCAGTCATGGTTTCAAATTAAGGGGCTGCAGCCGCTCGGGCTTCTCCACGGGTTCTGCCACTCGCGATCGATGGAGAGTGAACTGGTGAAGAACTACTCTACCATCGCCGCTTTGCCCGCTCAGCCGTCCCTTGAAGTCTCTTCCAATAGGAGTTGCAGTTGCTGCTGATCGTCATCCCGCTCACCAAATGTTATACTCAAGCGCCATAGTAGTGGGGTTCCCCAAGTGCCGATTCAATAGTCTTTGTGAACTTGATCCAAGCAGGAACAGAGGTCTCTCAAGAGATCGACCCTTCAGGCTGTAAACGGGATGTCATTGGGTCTGTTTATTTCTAATTCCTACGTACCATCCCCTGGCCCTGTTGACGCCCGTGACAATCCCGCTAATGGCTGTGAGGCAAATAGTCGTGCACAGGGCATCAGTCTCCGCCATGGAAATGCAATCCTCAACGCATAATCTCAAATCTTGGATGCATGTGCTACTCGATCGTCGTCAATAATCGACAAAGCCATTGCTAGGTTTCCATGGAAAGTTGCTGGAATAGCGCCCCGTTAAGACACCTTATCGAAGGTTGATGTTCAAACCTACCAGGCCATCGGAACAAAATTGATTGACATCAGCATAGTTGAGTGTTTAGACCCTTTGGTCATGGGGAACTGTATCAGCTCCTGTGATGTGCAATGGTTGCCATTGTTGGGAGGTCGCCCCCTATAGAAGAACATAACACACTGGCTGTAACCAGAACTAGGATCAGCTACACACCAGGTCTACACCCACAACACACTCTCACACAGATTATTACGTGCCGCTTCATTAACCCCTTCATCATGGAAGTAACTACAGCAGGTGAAGACCGAAATTGAACAGCGTCCGGAGCTCATCAGTACCCCTTGTCCGTCAAAGTCATTGCTTTTGCAGATCATCGGCCAAGCCGCCATCCGCCCGACCGTCAACTTACCGGATGTGTCCGGACGCTGAGGTTTCGGACGCGCACCTGGTGACGTGACTTGAATTACTCAAGGCGAGACATCTATCAGAGAAGCTCTACCGATGATCCTACCATCAAGAGAGCCCTACAAAATCGTAAATCTTTTTGTGACTTGCGTTTTTATCCTCAATTTCTTCCTATACGTCTTTAATGGATCAACTGTTATCTTCTGCTGTATAGACCTAATTATCTCATTCCAGTTCCACTAGCGGCACAGATCACAAGCAGCATCCATATATGCCCCTCTGGATGGGTGCTAAGGGAAAGTCGCAAGTTTGACTCCTTTGATCACTGAGACATCGGTTCAGCTTAGAGCCTCCGCCCTAGACGATCTCGAGGATATGGAAAGTACCCCCCGCAACGTATAGAGTCGCAAACAGACCTGAAAGGATTAACAGCACTATACAAGCTAACAATCCTTACCTGTGAAAAGGGAAAGCTTATGTTCCCCCATGAGGTCTTGCTGTTTGCCGAATAGCCTCCATAGCTATACCCACTGTTCCAGCACGCAGTTACTACGTACATTGAAGGATCCGCGGTTCAATACCACTCTTCAGTCAATAGAGTTGTTTTGTCGGTTTAAACGGCTTACTCGAAGATCTCTTTACTGCAGCGGTGATTTTCTCCGACTCCTCTCGTCTGTACTCGGGGAGTTGTCTACTCTCAAACCTTAGTATCCAGAGCTCTAGCCTGCTCCACGCCGTTCCGCAGAAATTATCGGGGAGGTCGGACTGTTGATAAGCTTGAACAGCAAATCATTGAATCTGCATAGACACAATGTCGGATCACTTGCGGGTTCCTTAACGACTCGGTACTACATAAGATGCCACTGTGCTCCAAAAGGCGAATAACAGCTCTAGGCTCCAAACGTATGCGAGACTGGCTGGTGAACATTTGTACTGCTTACTGCAGGTCCGAGTATTCAGATCATTTGACTCTATATCAAGCTCTTCTAAGCTGCCAGAATTCTGCATAGCTCGCAGCTGAGGGGATAATAGCGTCTTCGTATTTTGGACACACAAAGCCCATTATCAGCGGACTTCTCTGCAAGCCCATTAGGTGTTTAGCGATTTCAATACCTTCAGCGCATACTTCGCGACCCGAAGCTCCAGGCTAAGACCATCTCAGAGTAGTGGAGATGCTCTAGTTACCAAGGCGGAATGAGGTAGAGCATCCCCAGTTTTCGGTCCAAGCATTGCCATTGCTCCTCCACCATTCAATCTACAAACAGACCCATAGTTACAAACATCAACACAGACCCCAAATACTCGCAAGTTAACCTTCATCGGTGTCAAATAGTCGACAATAGCACCACTTTCTCCTCATCCACTTGCTAAGGAGCTTCAATTGCGGGGAATTGGGAAGTTTCGAATCTTAGTGCCCCTTTTTATCGGGTCCGTGACGATCAACCAAACCTTGATGTTTACTCGCTTTTCCTCCCTCGAACAAGAAAAGAAAACACCTGAACCAATCTTCATAAGCCAAAAATAGAGAAGCTCGTCCCAATAGTACAACCTGCAGAAAACAAAGCCCGAAAAAGAATCTTCCTCACCTTGGTCTCAAACGTCTTGGATTCGCAGACACTAGCACACACTAAGAATTGGTTCAGCCCTGAGGGACTTCAACATGAACTTGACTTGACTGCCGCACCGAGCGAGTCCGGATCCCCACGTCTATCATTCCCGCATTAAGTTATTGTATCCTCGTCTACCCGAAAATAGAAATTGCTGACTTGACACTTCTCTAACTATCGGTACCGGCCTAGTGTTAGCCCCATCCCTACAAGCTCTTGGGACCTGGATTAGTTGGAACTCTGGATAACTCCCCTCTTAGCCTGTAGCCACTCCCGCATCCCTAACGATCGATCTAATCCCCCTTTCGACAATGCTCCGAATATGACGGCTCAGCACCACGGAGCAGACTCTTTCACTTTCCTAGCAGATTTGATTTGATTCGGATCTATACAGACACTGGTCCTTATCTAGTCTACTCTATCTAAGCACATGCACTTTGCCGAGCTCGATACGCGAGCGGATAACTACTTACGTGCAGCGTGCAACTGCGTACTAACTAACTAGGCTACAATCATGTGAATAAGGAGTAAGTGAGTGAGCAAGTGGATATATGGCCGTCGATCATAGCCCCCGATTGCCTCTACACTACACTACAAACCATAGCAATCCATAAGGAGAAGAAGTGCGAAGCGAACTTAGCTCATCGCATCGCGCGTTTCACGATCACACCTAGACAGACTTCCCCTTCTTTCTCCACGGTATCCCAAATCACTCATTAGTAGCAGTAAAAGGATACGTTCGGTCATAAGGAAACAGAAGTAAAAAAAAGTTAAGAGAATCGGGTTCGGCAGTCCGGCAAGCACGGAACTGCCGGGCCAGACTTGGAGTTGTTTCACCTTGTTACTTAGCCATGAGCTTAAACCTGTCAGGGACTTTCAGGGCCATGTTTTCCATGGCACGACACAAACAAATGGAGAACTCCTGGACCCTTTGTGTCAGAGAGTGTCATCGCTAATTTGGGCAGGGGGAGGGGGAAGAGACAAAAAGATAGCGAGATTTTGAAGCTCTCGTTCGGTAGTTTTGGTATGTATGAGATCCGGATGATATTTGTAGTGGTAGCTTCTAAGGTAGAACTTCTACTATTCGCGGAGGCATGCTGAAAGAGCGCGCTGGACTATAATGCTATAGTTAGTACTCGGTAGCTATCTGAGCAGAGGGGCAACCTTTTCTTCTTCACTCCTTAAGGTACCCAGTTGTTTAACTACGAAACAGTGTCTGATATCATGTAGATCTAGGGTGCGTGTTCCGTTTTCGTTATCTCGGTGAACTACTATGGTATGTAGAATACCTAGAATACAGTCCGTCCCAAGGGCCGAATAGCTCCGACTATGGTGATGGGTGGTCATGCTCCCATAATACATAACAGGTAAGTAGCTAAGGTAGCTAGCTGCGAATCACTGAGCTTCTTCCTCTTCATACATTCCAGGGTCCTGCTCGTGCCATGGCTCGACTCCCTCCACTCTTTTCTCCCCATACCGGACCCATAATCTTCATTCTTGAATCAATAGTTGCTGGGTTGAAACACCGGGGTTGCGGGTGCACTGCACTGACCGGATACCTCAATTGTCGGGTGCACGGATATTCTAACCACTATCTTGAGAGGAGTTCCCTCCAAAGACGCCATTTTTGTCCCAACCTCTCCTCCTTGGTGCTTATATGGTCGACCTGTAATGCTCAGTACGCGAGGTTTAGGCTTTCTTCGGTTGTTTCAAGTAAGAGACAGCGACAACCTTCGTGCTCGGGGTGAGTATCCGACTAGGAACTGTCGTTCTCAGAATGCTCCGCGCCAACATCGACAAATTTGGAGTAATTGCTGATCTTGCGCCTCTTTCGGTTGCTGCGGCGTACACTGCCTTCGCTAGAAACCCGACGATTGGGTGTTTGCTTGGAGCGAGGGGTTACGTTTTTGACGGATTTGACTTGCTGTTCGGCTTGATTCCTACTGTCTTTCCTCAGGACTCGATCACTTCCTAGCTTTGTTGGGGACGCATCTTTTTGAGCAGTATCTTTCGGGGTATTGGGTTGACTGTGTTCGTTTGCCAATGACGCCAGTCTCTTCCGACTTCGGGTTTCTGCTACCATGCTAGTGGATTTCTCCGTGGGTTCGGGTGTCTTCCTTCCACTTTCGTGGGCATCAAGAAGCGATTCTTCTTGTTCATCTTCCTGAGAAAATGATCTTGTGATGCAGTGTAACTCATCATTTGTCACTACTTGAGATGGCTGAAACGAGTCCTGCGGAATATCGTGGACGTACTGTAGTAGGTTAGCATTGCGGTCTGCCCTCCGTTGCAGGTGAACTTACATGATGCTGAATTTTGATCATGGGGCTAAGTATCTCTGCTTGTAGTCGGAGTTGGATGTCCCCCGAGCTAGGGAACATGAACCTGGGCAAGCCCTTTAGTGAGAATCCTCTGACTTTACTTCCCGGAGTCGGCTGGAGGAGTCTGCGCTTCTTCAGCAGATCAGTGATTTGGACAGTGGTATGCCCGTTGCAATCTGTAAATATTAGAGGGTATAGCAATGTGAATTCTGGGGTACCCACGAAGCTTCTGTGTGAATAATGACGTTCTATGGGGATAACCTTCGTTTGATATGATCCTCACTGCTCTCCTCAAAAGTACCAAACTATTCATCTCATGGAGCAATTGAGGTTCGTCTGGCGTAAGCAAGCATCGATAGCAAGCATGAATGTCGGGAACTCTTGGGTCATGGGCATCTTCGTATCCGTAGCATAACAAATGTTGGCGCGTTTGACAAAAGGCACATTGGGCCTATCAAGATTAGTCTTAGTTTACCTATGGGTTGTCAACTTACCATGGCCTCCTCTTCACCATCCCAACCACATTGGCATCTGACACGGTTTTGCTCCTCGACTGTTCTCGTAGCAATGGAGTGATGTGAATGCAGATATTTCTGGATTCTGTACCTGCTTTCTTCTGTGAGGACAAATTTCCGACTCTTCGTTAAATTGCCGTTCTCAAACGTAGTGCCAGGTTTAATTGGCTGTGTAGGTACCAGTTCACCATCCAAACCTTCGGTCCCTTGCGACTATTCAAATCAGTCACTTTGCCAACCGTCTCAATGCTCAAGTCTCATGGGCCTTCAACTTACAGGTAGCATCATTTGTAATTGATGCTTTTCCACAAGATCCTGCGTAGACACTTTCTCATACTCAGCTTTCTGGCAAAACGATAAGCAAAGATCGGTGTCCTGGCGTAAGGAATTCTCCCTAGATGCACTGCCACTACCTCCCAGTATGCGCAAGATGCCCTCCTTGTCATCAAACCCTATATCTTTCATTCTTCGCACGGGGTCGTTGAACTCAAGATCAGGAGGTATCTGAGGTAGCGGTTCTGCTCCCTCGGGCTCGGGGCCAATCCACTTGAGCGAGGTGACTTTAAGCCCAACACTACGCCATCAATCAGTTAAGGTAACCAGAACATGGGTAGCCACCTACGTATGTCGTCCGCTGTTCATTTGTCCACAAGACTGCGATTCCCTTTTCCAGTTCTCGTTGAGTGGGAATTTGATCGTATCATCCTCTGCCCCATTGAACCCCGGAGGTTCATAGTCAAGAGGGCAATCCTCCGTATAGAAAAGGTGAACCCCTAGGCTTCTCTTGTCTGGGAATAAAATGAGCGGCAGTACAAGGGACTGTACAAAGATACATACTCGGCAGAGTGGGAAGAAAGGCACTAAGAGTGATCAAACGCCTTACGATCGTCTCTAGGCCTATCCGGGCTGTTTGTGCTGTTTTCATGTCGGCCACACAGCCCATTGGCTCGATAGATAAGCTTTCAAGGCGAGTGTTGACATCATTGTCCACCCCTGTGTATCTGAAGGAGAATGTGTATGACTCTAGTACATTCTCGGGCGCATCCTTATCGACGAGTATGGTCAATTGAACAGCTTCAAGCACGTTTTTGCTGAGTGCATCGAAGATGCCGGTTTCCTAAATATGTAAATAGCGAGGATCATTACTAGCGCTAAAGGAAACTGACCAGAATATCAAGTATCATATCCGCTTTGGGATCTGACCCCCGGAGTATGATCTTCAACGGCTGACCTTTCTTGCCTCTGCCAAATGGTACGTCTTCTTTGCAAGCGAGGACTTCGCTGTGTGTCTTCTTGTCAATGAATTGCCGATAAGAAAGATCGCCTTCTCGTTGAGCTTCTCTCAGGTCCCGATCGTCGAAACATGGAAGCGGTAAAAACTCCCTGCGCAACACGTATAAGACTGGCTCTGATCTGGGAATAATCTAGGTCGACACCCAACTAACCGAAGATAGAAAAGTGTTCCGAACTATGCTCTGATATTAGCGATATGAACGCGTATCATGGAAGAGAAAAAGCCGCATACCGAGACATGTAGCATGATCTGGACCATCTCCAAGCTTTGCAGCTGCTTCAAATGCATGCTTTCTTGGAGCTTCAATATGGCGGAAGCTTCGATCACATCTTGTGCCCTGATGCGAGCAACAGGCCTGCTGTCAGCGGCAAGGGACCGGAGATTCTGCGGAGTCTGTACCTGGACCGTCGAGGGAGGCCCGGTGAACTTAATTCGAACCATGCTGGGTAGCTATATGGTGCAACTGCGCTACATGTGGGCCTTCAGGAGTAATACTATGGAAGATGGCGGTCAGCAAATTATGCTAATGAAGGATGAGACTGGGAGTTGAGGCACCGTGTGAAGAACCAAAGTCAGGTTGACGACAAACGAATACCCACGGTATGGTCACGGGAGTCGCCAGTGCGTTTGTCCCTCCATCGATACTGGCATTTCTTTAGAACAGAATTGGGCAATGGCCATGAGTTGCTCTGTATGTATGGAGAGAATAGTGCGATTACTTCGTATGTCTCCTTAGTCTTTGAAGTTTACGTCTCACGTAACGTCGTCTCCGGCAGGTTTGGAACTATATATAGAGAGGGGGTGAAGTTGGGTTGGTATCTTGAAAATTACCCGTCACTTCAATGCTGCAGATACCACATTTTTGAAAAGCGGTACAACCAATAATGCTATAGCGTTGAAGTGGTCGGTTTGCATTCTTGAGCGGTTTCTCCTGAACAACGGGCAGAAGATTGTCCGAGACATCTTGTAGGGAAGATAAACATGATGCATCAATTGATCTGCTTGGCTTTAATCGAAAGGGTATCCCCCTTTCATGAAGCAGTACCATTTGCGGGTTGGTAGATTAGAGGACAAATACTAGTATCGCTACTACTTAATACCTAAGAGATAGTACATTCATATTAGTTGTCGTATACTCCCTCGCAGAGAGGAGCGTGATGGAATTGGTTTGGCTAGAAATCACACATGCCCCGGCTGATAACGCTGGCCTGAAACACTTGATAGGGCAGTCCCGCGGTAGATGAAATTACGAGCCACAACCCCCATCCCCTCATCCTGTGTGATACGCACTTATCTCTGGCACTTCCCCGCAATGTCCTCTGTTCACATTTCACACTTGGGCAGTTGCCATCCTATCCTAAGGCAATTTATGTAGTTATCTGAACAGCGTCTGATGTGTAACTGATAAGCTTCAATGTATGCAAAGCATGAGTGTATCAGTAGCTCCTTGGAGAGGAGATTGATGTGGGTTGTTGTTATGCCCACTAAATGTATGGTCGGATACCGGTAACCGAATATTCCAGCGAGTAAGTCAACTATGTATTCTATCTACCGCAAGCAGTTGAACCATCGAATCGAAAAAGACGCCGAAAGGATTCTGGACGATACCTTGGACCCCACCATGTCACGTGGATTGGACCAGTGGCAAAGCCAGCCAGGAAAACCAACGGTTACCGGGTAAAGGGCTAACTGGAAATTCTGCGAAAGTCTGAGGTCACATATCGAATGAATTTGCGAAAGCACGAGAGAAAAAACGTAAAACGTGAGATGTCATATGCAGTTGGTGTGCTGGAGCAATATCTGTCAAGTGTGAAGAGATCTGGGATGATGGAATCTGGCGGCGGCTATCATCCATCCACAAAGCACCAACAGCGGTCCGACAAAATGATTAAATTTCCTTGTTTTGGGATGAGCATTAGAGAGCCTGATGGCTCAGTGGGGACAAAGCAGGCACCGTCATGTTGATACAAAGTAGTCTACCCTCATAGTATCTACTACGTACTAGTAGTATAATTATCTGGTAATAATTACTTTAAAAGTAGGCAAGCAGGACTGCGAATCAATCTTGTTAGTGCTGTTGTATCCAGTGTCCCCTCCCGAGAAAGACTCTAGTCATAGTCTAATAGGCACAACACCCGTCAACTCCACCATTGGATACATCGTTAACGATCCTGGAAAGTGGTTCTCACCCCAGGGAGAAGTGCTCCGAGCGCTGGGTGATCCCCGACTGCAGGACGGCAAATTCAGAACCCGCCTTGCCTCTAAGGTTTTTTTCCTTGACCCTTTTTCATTTGTCTCCGTTGCTCCTGGTTTCTCTCTTGTCCATTCCCTTTCCCTCTCCATCACTGGTCATAGACTATCCTTCTTCTACCGCCCTCTCTCTTCCCCTCTTTCTCATTCTTCCTCTCTGTCTCACCTTATGGGGAATCATCGAACCGTCAATATTTTAAATAGGATTTAGTCTTCACATTGCGGAGCCACCAGCCTCGGGAAGCCGCCAGATTGGGCTAGCCGGGAGCCACTGAGGACAGAACCGCCGGCTGCTGCGAAGAGCCTAAGCCTGACCTGAAGGAGGCACAACCAACCACCTTCTGGTTCAGCTCCCTCGATCATTCTCCGCCGCCCAACACCTCCTTGTCAGCAGAGAGCACGCCACAGCCTGCCCTCGTTCACTTCCTTCTACCTTCTCTCTACACATCGGCCTATCTTCACACCCACCCAGGCCCTTATTCGATCGGTATCCACGGTCATGTTTTAACGAACACTCCTCCACAGCTGTGCGCATTCGGTTGCTCTTTCTGGGCGTGTATACCTGTTAGCGGTCCTTATTTGACTCCGACTTCTTGCCTGGACGTACGGCCGATCAACTCCCTCACATAAACAACAAATTCCCACATTCACCTCACCTGTTTCTCGATACGAAAGGGCCCTCCAGCAGCCATATCTGATGCGTCATAGCCAACAAGTCTGTCGAAGCTGATTTATCCTTGCCACGCCATCACGCTACTACACGCCTTTCTTCCTAGGAACCCAATCTCGGACAAACCACTGACCCAGTCGCATATTCATTCGGCAACCTGATCATGGAGGAAGATGGAAATGGTCGTGGCCTCGGTCCTGGGTCTCCCAGTGCCTCCGTCGGTCAATTTTCCTTCGCCCCTGCTACCCGAACCACTGTTGTTACGACGACAACCACCACGACCACCACGTTTCCTCCCGTGCTCATTAGGCCGCCACGCGCGACGCAGGATTTGGATCCTAAAGTTTACCCACTGGCATCTGCCCCTACACCATCGGCGTTACGGAATATCCGATTTGAACTTGGTGGTAAATCGGTTGTGTTTAATGAACCTGAAGATACTGCGGGCACATTGAACGAGGTATGTCTTTATTTCTTGTTGTTTGCGAGCTTTTCACTCTCCGGTCACGCGACCGGACTTCTGGATCCTGTGAACTGACTTTCGTAGTTGCACGAGAAGAATGACGCGCTCAAAAGTTCGAACGGTCTTGTGCGATCAGTGGCTTCCTTTACTTCGGACGATACCCAGCTATCAAGGCGTCTTGCACATAGAACCTCCAACCAATCTTCTAACCACCTTTCGATCTCCAAGCGTCGGCTTACGGAAGCACAACAGGGCTCACTACGGGCACGTCCGGCGCGAGTGCCGTCAGAGCCTTCGTTCCGTTCCGCCCGATCTCATGGCTCCACGCCAGTACATCCTACCGTGGCTGGCTTAGCCACCCCGGAGACGGAAACCAATAGCAATAACGCCATGGAAGGAATATTGTCGAGAAGGAGGATCCACAGTGCGAGTAATGCTCGTAGGGAGACATTACTACGGTCTCCGTTATCCTCAGAAGTCGAGTCTCAGGGGCCCTCGCAGACGGTGGACGCCAGGAAAGAGACCTTGCGTACAAATACTGTCATGCAGGAACATGACAGACAATCTGGCTGCGCGAACGAGACCCCTTTTGCCAGACCTGCACTGGAGAGGACAGGGTCTGACCCTAGGCAACACCTGACCGGGATTGCTGCTAGTCAGGATTCAGGATACGATGCACCAGGTGACGGTTCTCAGAATCTGCCTGCGGAGTCATCTTCGCAGCCTTTTATTGACAATATCGTTGCCCAAGATATGTGCTTGCCCAGTCCCAGTCTGTCTCCAGTGGCGGCTCTGAATGCTGCGAACATCGATTCTTCTTTTGATTCTGCTGAAGACCAAGAGGATACGGACTCCAGCTTTGACAACGGCGAGGCTCGCTTTATTGGGCCTTTGCCCGTAGGGGACACCAATGGCGAAGCGACGTTTGTTGCCAAATCCGAACAGCTTGCAGGCCCAATGATGCAACGCCCCACTTCCATGATGGATATTCCCAATGTGCTGGACTTCTTTGACTCGGTACCTGACGGAATGAAAACATATATGATGTATCAATTTTTGAGGCGCTGTCCGAAACAAACGCTGCACTTTGTTGCGGACGTTGTCAACCCTGCCTTGAAATGTGACTTCCTGTCCCTTCTTCCGCTTGAGCTCAGTCTGAACATCGTGAAATATTTTGACGTTCAGACCATGTGCCGCGCGGCTCAGGTGTCCAAGAAATGGAGGCATATAATCAATTCCGACGAAAAGTCCTGGAAGGAACTTTTTGATAGGGACGGATATGTTCTCCCTGAAGGGGAATTGGATCGTGCGATCAGGGAGGGCTGGGGATGGCAATTTCCGAATGGCTGCGAGGATTATGAAAAGGACATGAGTATGTCTCCTTTCATTAAGCCAGATCCAGAATCTTCTGTTCCTGCCTTGCAATCCTTTGGCGAGTCTAGTGACAGGACTTTGTCCGTGAGTCGCCGGCCTAAAAGGAAAGCTTGCACCCGCGTGTCTAGCCGTAAACTTTCGAAGCGAAAGATATCCTCCAGTGGCACTGATCACTCCGAATCTTCGGACTGGAGGAAAGAGGTTTCTGCTTCTGAGGGGCCTTATGCGGCGGCGAATGCGGCGGCGGCGGCCGTCCCATATCCGGACATCGGCTTGCCGTCGCTCCGCGGTCTTCACCTCTACAAATCGCTGTATCAGCGTCACCACTCAATCCACAAGGCTTGGATGAAACCCATTGTCAAGCCGAGACACATCGCCTTCCGCGCCCATGATCGGCACGTAGTCACTTGTCTCCAATTCGATACGGAGAAAGTGCTTACCGGGAGCGATGACACGAACATCAATGTTTATGACACTAGGACTGGGGAGCTAAAGGCCACCCTTGAAGGCCATGAAGGTGGTGTATGGGCACTTGAGTATTATGGCAACACTTTGGTTTCTGGGTCTACCGACAGGTCGGTAAGAGTTTGGGACATCGAGAAGGCTCGGTGCACTCAGATATTCCATGGCCACACCTCCACAGTGCGCTGCCTGCAGATTGTCTTACCGGTCGAGGTGGGAAAGAAGGCCGATGGCACGCCCGAGATGATGCCAAAGGAACCGTTGATCATCACGGGCTCTCGTGACTCGAACCTTCGTGTATGGAAACTTCCTAAACCAGGTGATCCGGGCTATTACCAAAGCGGACCTCATGTCGATGACACGGACTGCCCTTACTTTGTCCGTGTCCTCAGTGGACACCAGCACTCTGTCCGGGCGATTGCAGCGCATGGTGACACGCTAGTGAGCGGAAGCTATGACTGCACCGTGCGGGTATGGAAAATTTCCACAGGAGAGACCGTTCACCGGCTTCAGGGTCATACACTGAAGGTGTATAGCGTTGTCCTTGATCACAAGAGGAATCGTTGTATCAGTGGATCCATGGATAACATGGTCAAGGTATGGTCATTGGAAACGGGTTCTATCCTGTACAACCTGGAAGGCCACACATCCCTAGTTGGTCTGCTTGACCTCAAGTGTGACCGTTTAGTGTCGGCAGCTGCGGATTCTACGCTGAGGATTTGGGATCCTGAAACTGGACAGTGCAGGAACATGCTGAGTGCTCACACTGGCGCAATCACTTGTTTCCAGCATGATGGCCAGAAGGTCATTTCAGGATCAGATCGGACACTGAAGATGTGGGATGTAAAAACCGGAGATTGTGTCCGAGACCTTCTCACCGACCTTAGTGGCGTGTGGCAGGTAAAGTTCAACGACCGGAGATGCGTTGCTGCAGTGCAGCGTGACAGTTTAACATACATTGAGGTGAGTTCAGTCTATCAAACATCCAATTGCCGCCTACTAAGAAGCATTAGGTCCTTGACTTTGGCGCTTCGCGCGATGGAGTACCAAGCGAACAGTTAGGAAGACGCATCGTCGTCAACAGATGGGGTCAGGAAGTTAGTGACACTGACGAAGATTACGACCTTTCAGACGCCTGAAAACATTACATCTTGTCGCCCACCCTACCTCTACTTCACTGCTTGGGCAGATGAAAGATTTTTGTCCTCCGGAGCTTTTAAATCCCCTGCGACAGGCAACACAAACGGCTGTCTTCTCACGTTATATTCCCCCTTTTCCTTTTTCGCGACATATTCGAACCATGACATAACTACGATACCCCCCAATCAATGGAACTATAATTACCTTTATGAGAGTTTGCATAGCGCGGTTAGCATCCCTTGACATGCTGCATCATGACGGACAGGCGTTTTGGCATACAAAACGGACTCACCAACCCAGCCTCTTGTCTAATCATTATTCTCTCTTACCTCCTTGATCATACATCCGCATGCTCGATATGCATCCTTTTATCCTCATGTGCGCCGCTGTCTAACACGTGCGCTTCCGCTCCCGAACCCCTACATATTCCGACTACCCTGTCTCTGTTTTATATCCGAATAGTATAGACTTGAAGTGGCCTTATTTTGCAATCGAATACGATAAGGATTTAGTACATACATACTCAGCTACCTCACCCTTTCGTAAGCATCTCCGTGCTAGAATCAGAATATCTTTGTCGACCATCTTTAGCCTGGAAGCGCATAGCTCCGTCGTTGACATAGTCAAATATAAGACTACGGATCCCCCGCCCCCCGGGGAAACGTGGTGTAAGATGGCGCGGTCGTTAGGGGTCCATAGACCATGGTGCAGGCTCAAACGGCATGTGGAGCTTGTGCAACAACGGACTTGCATGGAGGCCACACATACCTTGGTCATTCCGCGGGACCAGTGTAGCACATCTTTCAGATGGTGACCTACTAGATCACCTAGAGTGGTTTTAGTCACCACAAACAACAGAGTAACCTCTACAGGCTCAGCCACATATGATCGAGAGAGCCAGTCTCTTCTCACGGCCCCTCACAGAGCTAGAGCATCTGTATAGCTCTCAGAAAACTGGAGAGCACCCCGCTATCATTTCAGACAGACAAAGAGGCACTGAGCTCCTCAAGGACCAGCCCCAGAGGACATACTCACCCCCGTCAAATCAGGTTGGCCGTGACTAGACTTCACCTCCATCGTCCCATCATAGCCAGCAGCAGACAAGATAGCCCACCGAATGGGACTAATTCCCAAATAATTCCCAGGAGTTCTGAGAACTTTCGAACTGCATGTCAATATCTCGCCCAGAGCACCAGGACCTTCATCCCGACCAACAGGCTGGATGATAGGACGCAGCTCCTGTATCTTCTTCTGCGTCTGGAGCAGACGTTCCTCCGTTACTCCAGTCGCGAGCTGGCTCGTTCTCGCCGCCATGATGTTATCCACTTTCGAGACGATAATCTGGTGTGGGATGGCGTAGTGGCGGAATAGTTCGAGGATGCCTTCGTCGGAGTGCTTGATGCCGTGCTGGCCGTCGATTAGGATGAAGGTGCGGCGGAGTCTATGGACGTAGACAGATTGTTAGCTTGTAACCCAGTGTGATATATGCCGTATGGTAATACTCACTGCTTCCTATTCTTTAAGTACTTCATAATCTCAGCCCCCCATTCCGATCGACTTCCCTTGCCGTACCCCGGCATATCAAGCAATACGACCTTCGACTCGCCGCCCTTTGTCCCTCCAATTCCGAATGCGTTCATCGTCTGCGTGCGCCCTGGTTTCGACGACGTCCAGCATATCTCCTGCCCCATGAGGGCATTCAACAAGGAGCTTTTGCCAACATTCGACCGACCTAGGAACGCTACTTCCGGGGTCGTCGAGGAGAGCGGCGTCGTGCGGAACTTGCTCAGGGTCCAGAGCTTGACTGGAGAGTGGCGCGACGGTGCGAAGACTTTGTCCGCGTAGGCTAGCTGGCTTTCATCCGGCGCTTGCGTGTCCCAGTAGTAGTTCACTGCTGTGGCAGGGATGTCTTTGAATTGTAGTTTGTTATTGGGCTGCGGCCGCGGTTGCGGTTGCGCATTCGGAGGTTTGCTTGTTGAATGGTTGCGACGGAGGGGGAGGACTTGCACTCGCGGATGGCAGAGAGGCCTTAGGGAGGGGATTCGGTTCTTCATGATGTGCTGTTGAGTCAACCTTGGCTGGTGAAGTACTGTGCTTGACTTTTTAGTCTTTGGCAAGATTCCTCTTAAAATCAATGAGCTTCTCCAGAAATTGTCCCCGGATAAGAAAGTCTTCCGAGCTGCGGTTCGAAGCTCGGGGAACCTTTGCCGAGTCTCCGCTCCAGGCCGATAAGGCGGTTCGAGGGACAGCTTCATCTATCACTCATCATCAGTGATTATTCCACCCATACACGGTCACTACGTTTACGTGCAGCTCTACACCGCCAGCCGGCTTGATCGCCTATCTTTACTCCATACTTAGGATTCTTTTTATTCGATCTTCGCCCCTCGCAGAAAGCCTCCATCCACCGAGCTAGAAATCACCCCGTGCCCCGCGGACACTGCACCAACATGATCAACGCCGTCCTCGTCTTCAACAACAACGGACAACCCCGTTTAACCAAGTTCTACACACAGATTGTGAGTCTACACTTGATCGCGTCTTCGCTACCAACCCAACCCAACCCCCTCATCCACCAAGCATCCCATACTCACTATGCCCAACCAAACAGGACACCCAAACCAAGCAATCCCTAATCGCGCAAATCTACAACCTCGTTTCCCAACGCCCCGCCAGCGCCTGTAACTTCCTCCCCCTCCCTCCACTTCTCTCCCGCGGCGCAAGCTCCGGCGCAGAAAATGGCCCCTCCGACGCGCCAACCCAAATCACTTACCGCAACTATGCCACTTTGTCGTTCATCATGATCTCCACGTCGATGGAGTCGCCGCTTGCCCTGATCGATCTAATTCAGGTCTTCGTGGAGGCGCTGGATCGCATGTTCGAGAACGTGTGTGAGCTGGATCTCATCTTCGGGTATGAGACCATGCATGCGGTTTTGAGTGAGATGATTGTTGGGGGTGTGGTGGTGGAGACGAATATTGACAAGATTGTCTCGGCGGTGAGGGATCAGGAGGGTAATTTGGGCAAAAAGAAGGCTATTCAGGCGGCTAGTTCGGGGATTGGGAGGACCGGCCTGCCTGGGTTGGGGGCTTGGAGGTAAGGTGATGTGAGGTGATGTGATGGGGTATGTTACGATTAGGTTATGATATTGGGTTCTGTTTGGTTTCGATTATGTTTGGTTCGATGGAAGACTATTGGTGTGTCATATAGATGGATAGTACTATGGATACCTGAGCATGAGTTTGGCGTTTCTAGGGGATGTATGTTGGGTATTGGATATATAGATGATGTCCTGTGTGGCCTGGATAGTTATTGAGATTGTCGTGATCACGGTACGACTGATACGCATACCATTTATGATCCTAAGGACCCACTGAGCTATAAGGGGATCAGTTCAGTCAATGAATGAGCATGTCAACTGAATACTAGTCGAGTGCCATCAAGGTCTAGAATATAATACGTAAAACATAGATAGATCAAAGTTCAACGTGATTGGTCCATTGCATTGAAGCAGCCCAAAGGGTTAGCCCTAGGTCACCTGATTGAACCACCAGCCAGCCCCGGCGAACAAGATAATCCGAACGCGGCCCACACAAGCAAACGGCGCTAATGGATTTCTTCTCGCGGCGCGAAATTAATTGAAGTTCTTCTTCTTTCCTTTCCCTTGACTGTCAATCCTGCACCCAACGCCGCCGCGGATCCCGTCGACAAAATGGTAAGCACATAGAATCGTCCATTTCACGCCTCTTCTATTCAATTAGAATTGAGCTATCGACTACGCTGCGAATATGTCGTGAGACGAATTCCACGTCCCGCTTCATCTCGCAACAGTCGAGAAGCGACAATAAAAAAAAATTTCCGTTGATTCGCTCTCTTCACAGTCCGTAAAACGATTGCGAAGGGGGTGATCAGCGATGATTTTTGGCTGGAAGACACAAAACTGTTTCTAAGGAAACTTGGGACAGTTTTGTGTCTCTCCCTAGAGTTCAAGGAAGATGCAGCAAGATGGTGGACAAGATTGCTGATCTTCTTTTCTCAATGATAGCCTGCCCAGAAGTCCGGAAAGAAGACTGCCCCCCTCCCTTACCCCCAGGGTAAGGCTGGCGCTAAGAAGGCTCCCAAGGTATGTGCTGACACCCTACATCAACTACTGAAACCACCATGAGAGAGAGATATACTAACATGGTATGGATAGAACCCTCTCATCGAGAAGCGCCCCCGCAACTTCGGCATTGGCCAGGACATCCAGCCCAAGCGCAACCTCGGTCGCTTCGTCAAGTGGCCCGAGTATGTCCGTCTGCAGCGCCAGAAGAAGATCTTGAACCTCCGTCTCAAGGTCCCTCCTTCCATTGCTCAGTTCCAGAACACCCTGGACCGCAACACCGCTGCCCAGACCTTCAAGTTCCTCAACAAGTACCGCCCCGAGACCAAGGTCGAGAAGAAGGAGCGTCTCCACGCCGAGGCCACCGCCGTCGCTGAGGGCAAGAAGAAGGAGGATGTCTCCAAGAAGCCCTACAACGTCAAGTACGGTCTCAACCACGTTGTCGGCCTCGTCGAGAACAAGAAGGCTTCCCTCGTCCTGATTGCTCACGACGTTGACCCCATTGAGCTGGTTGTCTTCCTTCCCGCTCTTTGCCGCAAGATGGGTGTCCCTTACGCTATCGTTAAGGGCAAGGCTCGTCTCGGTACCGTTGTCCACAAGAAGGTATTTATCCCCTTATATATATATATATTTCTCTACCCTCCAATAGCATTAAACTAATGAGTTGGAATAGACCTCCGCTGTCCTCGCTCTCACCGAGGTCCGCTCCGAGGACAAGGCTGAGTTCGCCAAGCTCCTCTCCGCCGTCAAGGAGGGCTACTCCGACAAGTACGAGGAGTCCCGCCGCCACTGGGGTGGTGGTATCATGGGCGCCAAGGCTGTTGCCCGCCAGGAGAAGAAGCGCAAGGCCGTTGAGGGTGCCATCCGTGTCTAAGCTAGCTAGCAGCGAGCTAACAACACCGACGGGATAAAAAAAATTATACCATCAACGAAACTTTAATGACTTCTTCGTCTTTCCTCTTTTATACCTCTTCATGTACACGTTGCAGATACCCATGAATGCTATTTCAGACATCAACAACAGCCCCAGTTTTGTCATTTTGTCATATTGTAGGAAGTTGTCTTGGAGTTTGAGCATTCATGTGACGTCTGCAATATGTACACTTTAGTCGTAGAACAAAAGTAAACCATTAGATTTTTTAGACCCTCTTGGTTGTCTTCACCAGTGAACTCATGCAAAAAGCAAGTGTTAAAATTTTCGTCTAGGCTGTGATCTAGCCATTTGACCCGGCCCCACAATATTAACTGCCGATTGCAAGCCAACCATACCGAATGAGCAAGCAGATCGTGACGCGTACAACACAGCAGCGAATATAACCATGATACAGGAAGATCCAGTTGTCTATACATCAAGTCAAGTAATCAATCAAGCAAATAAAGGTATAGCAATATGGTATGATGGTATGAAGCAAAAACACAAACAAGAAACACAAAACCAATAAATCACCAGCCCAAACGAATGCAACCAGATGGCCCCCCTTGTACCCATTTGTTTCCCAGTACCAGCCAAGAGAATGTCCGCGCGCGCACACCCCGATGTAATGAAAAAGCAAATACAATCCGAACTAGTGTGTATAGATGGTGGTGATGGAAGAAGGATATTGACCGAAGACCCGCCCAATGAGAAGATAAAAGAGACAATGAAGCTAATACAGCGAATTGGAGAATGAAAAACACTTCTGGGGAATAGGTAGGAGTAAGAGGAGATGGAGGGTAGTCGTGTTATTCATTCATTCATCAGCGTTGAGAAGGTGGTCGTGTAAGCCCTTGTCTTGCCTGTTGTAGATTCTCTAGGTCAGCCGATGTTTTGCCAAGAACAAATTATGGGAACAGGTCAGTGTTGTTCCGTACCTTCATCTGTTCGATTCTTGCCTTGAGTTGGCTGGTAACTTCCGCAGCTCTCTTCCAGCTCTCAGCTGGCTCGGCACTTCTGGCGGGTTGTTCTTCGCCAGAAGCACTGCCCGAGCCCAGTCCGGACGACCGAGTCGGACTTCCCAAGCCAGAGTAGCCGGTACCGAAGCTAGGACTGAGCTTGCGCCGACCAAGTCCTCCCTCTCTACTGCTGAGTCCTGAGTTTTCCAGGCCATTGTTCTCCTTCTCTTCACTCGGGCTAGCCGATGCATAGGAGCGCGGCCGTGAGCTCTCAAATCGCGAGCCCATGAGACCAGCCCGTGAGATCGGTGCACGACCATCTTCTTGGTATAAGGAGCCGGATTCGGACATAGGCATACCAATATTCTCCGGTAGGGTGTTAGGAGGGCTGATGGCACTAGCACGAAGAGCTCTTGCGAGCTCACGCTTCAGGCGCTCGATTTCCCGCTGCTGCTTTTGCACGGTCTGCTCCGCTGACTCTGCATCACTTCGTGCGCGAACCAGTTGGGTTTCCTTAGCCTTGATACTCAGGACATCCCTTGTGTGATCCTCAATGAGCTGCGCATTTTGGTCTTGAAGCTCCATCACTTGCGAGTTCAACTTGGTTCTCTCAGACCTCAGGTCCTCAACCATACGCATGAACCGCTCCTTCTCTGCACGTAGCTCATCCAACTCAGCTCGTTCCAGGGCCGAGATTCCGCTAAATTGAGGAGCTGCAGGAGCGGGCGCAGGCTCGCTGGGAGCCGCTGGCTTCGCAATTGGACGGCCTGCAAGTCCTCTTCCCAGACCAAATTTGGGAGGTGCTGGTGCGGGCGGCTGCTCCTCCGTTGGAGGGGAGACAACCCGCCGCTGCGGAGAGGCAATTCCTCCCGGGCCACCGAGCCTCTTCTTGAGGCCGCCAGGGGCCGGAAGACCACCAGGTTTGGCAGGCCCTCCAAGCTTAGAAGGAACGGACCTTGCGGGTTTGGGTGAAGGAGCAGCTACTGGTTCCTCAACAGGAGGCGCGGCAGCAGCAGGCTTCTTAGCTCCCAACGCCGGCTTCTTTGCGACGACCTTCTTTCCAGGGGCAGGCTTTGGCGGTGCCACGATAGGCTTAGGTCTATCTTTCGCCTTGACCTCGGCCGTTTCGAAGAATTCCTTAATCTTCGTCTTCCTGATGTCATCGAGTCCGTCCAGAAAGGGGTTCATCGCCCGCTCGCCCATGATCTTCATCAAAGTACCGAGAACTTCAGCTCCTCCGGCACGGTTGACCTCAGTGGACTCAGTAAGAAGTTTCGTGCCCGCTTCGGCTATCGACTTGACTTCCGGTTTCGCCGGAACGTCCCTGGTAGTACGTAGACAACGGATCAAAAACTTGAGTGTCTCTTGCTTGACTTGGGGGTTTTTATGCTTGAGGAATTCGAGAATCTCCTCCAGGCACTCTGACAAACTAGTCGCGATGAAGACCGCGTCCAAAGCTTGACCCAGGGCATCCGCCACACTCTGCTTCTTCTCCTTCAAACGCTCCAGCATAGGTGACATGACAGTAGGCCGATACTTGACGAATCCACTGCGAACGCCCTTGGCAAGAAGTTCAATACAGTTGGCGGCAACGGTTACCACGGCGATATTTGCGTCCTTCATGGATTTAGCCAGCATACGAACAACGTCATCGAAAGGTCCATCTTTGATCCGGGGAACATTCAACACAGTATGCAGAGCGTCCAAGGCCTCTTTCCTATCCTTCCACTTGGAAGAAGAAAGCTGCTCCTGAAAGTTACCGGGGATCTTGGAGAAGACATCAACGGGCTCGGCCAGGTCGAAAGCATCGACTTCACCTTCATCCTCCTCTGCCGGGTATTCCTCGCCTCCTTCGTACTCATCGTCACCACCTTCTGGCGCAGCGCTGGCTGCGGCCATGGCATCTTGCTGTGCCCTCGTGAGCCGCTCTTGCTTGGGCGCCGGCTCTTGCTTGACATTTTCGAACAGCTTCTCCAGATCCTGCTGTTGTACGGGTTTGAGTTCATTCCAGAAAAGCGGTTTGATGGCTTCCTTCAGCCAGCGGTAAAGTTCCACGGTGAGGTTTTGCGCTTCCGCACGGACGTTCTTATCGGCATGACCAAAGACCTTTGGCAGGGCCTTCAAGACAGGCTTGGGGTCGACAATCTTGCAACCGAAGTTGTGATAGATGGCCCTCAGTCCTGCCAGCGCAGCGGCAATAACCTTGGGAACTTTGTGTGACAGAGCGGGGAGAATTTCTTCGATGACGGGGTCTGATTTATCCAGCTCAACGCATAATAAGAGGGCTTCGATCGCATTCGTTTTCGCAGCGGGTCGTGTGGATGGGAGACCCTTTTCGCATATTGGGAAGACGGTAGTTGCCCGAGTCCTTCATCACACATGTTAGCCATCGACCACCATAGTTTAGTCAAACAGCATCAATCTTCCAAGAAACATACCTTGTACAAGCCTGAACACCACCGAATTTCAGGAATGCGCAATAAGACCCAAGACCTTCTTGTTGAGCTGCAACATTGGAGTCTGCCACGGCCCCTTTCCACAGGCCAGGATCTTGTATGAACGGCGTGAAAACAGGGTCCGATTCATCAGGCGATTTCTCGAATTGTTGTTTCGCATCCTCATATCCATTCTTGCGGGCTTTCCAGTTCTAAACCAAAAACGTAGACATGTCAGTATCCAGTAGTCACACACACATTCATAATAACAACAACCCCGCGAACCGGAAAGATGGGAAACGGGAGCAAAACAGAGACAAACTAACCTTGTGCGAGAACCGATCCGTCAATGGCAAGGAAGAGAAATCCTCCTCCTCGGCCATTTTGAATGTCTAAAAATAAGTCTGCAAAATGGCAAACAATTAGCATCAAACTTCGATATGGATTTCGCAGGTGGAGTCCTCCACAAGAGGGCTTTTATAGCGAAGACACTATAACATGAACCCCAAATAGCGATACACCGTATGGCCAAAAACACACACACACACACACACACCTTTGGGTTTGTTCGTAGTAGCGTATATTCCGATCGCAGATCTCGTGCACGGGCGGCGGCGGAAAGTTGACAGGAAGGTTGGTTGCAGTCCGGTCTGATGGAGAGGGGCTTTTGCTTCGGGTTAGGTTCGCCGGGATAGAGTACTAGTTTCGAGAAAGGATGGCGTCGGGGAAAAAAAAGGGGGAAGAGCGCGTATGGTCGACGTCAGGGGGGAGGAAGAAAGAAAAAGAGTTTATTGGAGGCGGAAGTGGGGGAGAAATTGATGAAGTCAACAAGAAAGTTGAGGAGGGAAAAGGGAAGCTGGAAAGTAAACAACGGATCAAGAGTCGCTGGGGTGACTTTCGCGACCCAAAGGAAAGGCTTGGCTTGGCGGCGAACCACTTTGTTGGTATTTCCTGCCCGTTCAGGTACCAATTTAGGGGGAGGGTATATTATAGATGGTGGGGTTGATCTTTGGCGAGATATTGAGGAGATAATTATTATTCTGAACGACTGGATCATGGGTGAATATTGGTTCTTTCCTTGTTGTGGTCTAATTGTTTCACTGTTCGTGGAGGTTGTCTCCTGTGAAGTAGAAGTACTTTGGAGTACATCTTCCGACATATATTTACCGTGTGGAGTTGAGGTTACTTTATGTCAATTTGGCAGACATATCCTGGAGAACAGTATCAATTACATACGACTGTATTGACTGATCATATCTATAAAAGGAGACAGTCAAACATTACTATACAGAACATTATACATTCGAGTCTATACTCAACCCCGCAAGTAGAATGGCAGTCACCTGATCCTCAGAAGAACAGTATATGCTTTTCACCTGGGTTATTCCTTCTACATCTTCGAAGGAGTATCATATAAACTTGTTGGTAATAATATGTATCTTCGATCATTACAGGTGTATGCCCGAGTAGTCGTCTAGACTAGTTGAGGCTGTTGTCGCGGATTGTGCATGGAAATTTCCAGTACAGAATATTGTAAGAACTAGATGCATGTATATTGAGGCCCCGGTAGATGACTGCTACTTCGCGATCAGCTTTATACTATTCATGAAGTAATGATAGTATCTCACCACAGAATTGTACATTTGGTGTATACACTCAGACCCTAGTTATATTACAACTACAGGTGCTCAACCAACCCAACAAACAATCCAAGACAAAAGCACAATATGCCATGAAAAAGTAAATAGCTAGTAATATACAGACACACAAAGTTTACATACAACATATTGGAACAGAATAAAACGAAAGCAACCCCACAACCAATAAATCCATCTGTCTAGCTCTTCATCCCCATCATCTCAAACCACAATCCTCATTCAAAAACAGGATCACAACTTAGACCTCAACCCCACCAGTTCTCTCAAGTACCAACCTCCTAATCCTCCCAACATGCTCCCCAACCTTCCCCTCACCCTCAGGGACACCAGCCTCCACCCTCCTCGCCTCCCTACGCTCCCACTTAGCAGCCCTCTTTGCCGCACGCTCAGCATCCCTCTCCTCGCGGGTCATAACAGCCGGTCTATCTTCAATAGCAGATCCAAACGGCGCAATGATTCTCTCGACAACGTGCCGCACATTCCGGCTCTTCGGGTACCCGGACGAGAACTCAATGACGTCGCCCTCGCGCAGCGAGTTCCGCGGATCCGAAACCAGGTAGGTAGTTATCTTGGGATAGGGCTTCTGGATGTGCGCGTCCCAGATGGTGTGGCGGTGGCTGACGCGGACGGTGCGGTCCATACGGCCGACGGAGACGACAGTGCCGGTTTTGGTCTTGTAGGGGTAGCTGCGGAGGGAGGGAGGGACGACGGTGGTGGTGGTAGTAGTGGAGGAGGATGACAGGTCTGCTTCTTGTTGGGGTTGTTGTTGTTGTTGTTGCTCGTTAAGTCGGGGGACAGTGGTCGTGAGAGAGCGACGAGTGGTTTGGTATAGAGAGGGCGCTGTTGTGGAGGAGGTAGTGGTGGTGGTGGAGCGCATCATGGAGGAGCGCAGGGGCTGGAGAGCCCGGAGAAGATTGGCGGGACGCATTGTGGTGATGTGTATGAAGGATTGAATGCTCCTTTTGTTGTAGAGGTGGTGCTGGGGAAGAAGCACGGCCAGGTCAATCCGCTTGGACGGGAGTTTTTGTAGACCGTTGCGGTGGTGCCGGGCAAGGGAGCGACGGGAGGTGTCGGCCTTCGGAAAGCTCCGAGAAAAGTTGAAAGTCTATCCGCTCAGCGAGATAGCAATTAAATGGCGATTGACCCGGTTGAGCACGATGGGGCTTGATGTGAGGCTTGCTGTCCAGGCCGGAGGAGCATGGCGGCCGCGGACGAGTTCGCCGAGAATTTCAGAAATCTCGGGCATGTTTGCATGTTTTGCATCACTCTTCTCCACGCAGCCTCCGCAGGGTGCTTTTACAAACATCTGGTATCTTTCTAGTTTGGCAAGTAACTGATAGTCACTAATGAATGCAATATTGGGTCTGTAAATATGTGTTTATATGTAACAGGAAATGGGCCGCCGACTATTTTATGCCACTGAAATCCTAACAACACCGACGCCGAACGCATAACGTAGAGTAGAGAGGAACCAATGGCCGGAGGGATCGCGATAATGCTCCCGTATACACAGAAAAAAACCAAACGCTCCGATGTCTGTTGCCCAACCATACCCTGGAATTAAGGCCAGAACAGAGTGTTCACTCTTGTAATATTCCATACGCGGACCGAAATGTAAAACTGTATGAAGAAGAAGCCCTTCACCACGCCTTGTGCTCATATACCAGTAAAATAGACGTCTTAAATCAATCATTTCACGCATCGCCCCGTTGAACAATCATACAAAGCCGAGGGCACCAAGCTCACTGTGCCACCTGCTCCTGGGCCGGAGTCTCTACACCGTTGGAAGGTTCCCCGTTCTCGGAGTTGTTGTCGCTGAAAGAAGCCTTCTTAGCATGGAACTTCTCCGCCGAATGCTCCGATATGCGAGTCAATTCTGTCACGAAGGACTGGCCCCAGAATGCACTAGAAATGAGGTCAGTGTCAAAGCTCCTCGCCATCTCAGATATGATCGAACCTTGTATATTTATTGACATATTTGTCGAGCTTGGAGAAGTTGAGGGCTCTCTGCTCGTCGCTCATGGTTACCGCTTCCTGATAAGCACCCGCCAGCTCTTCGGTGTTCCAGGGGTTTATGATGATACTGCCGTTAAGGCTCTGAGCAGCACCCGCGAACTCGGAAAGCACCAAGACACCATGACGCTTTTTCTGAGTGGCGATGTACTCATAGGCGACGAGGTTCATCCCGTCGCGGGTTGACGAAACAATGCAGGCGTCAGAAACCGCGTACAGGGCAATTAGCTCGTCAAAGTTGACAGACTTGTGCAGGAAATGGATAGGCATGAATTCAACCGTGCCTGCTCATCGGTCAGTGATAGGGTGTCGCCTATGAGCAGCGGTAAACCTACCAAATTTGCCGTTAATCCGGCCCACCAGCTCATTCACAACAGCCCTCAAGTTCTGGTATTCCTCCACATCTTGTCGACTAGGAACAGCAACCTGAACCAGGACAACCTTGCCAACCCACTCCGGATGATCGCTAAGGAACACCTCAAGGGCATGTAATTTCTGGGGGACACCTTTGATGTAATCCAGGCGGTCCACACCCACCATGAGTTTCACGCCCTGGAATTTTTGTTCCAGCATCGCAATGCGTTTCTGGACTTTCTCCTTCTTCAACCCCTCTTCAAACTTCTCCGGGTCGATACCGATAGGGAAGGCACCGCAGGCAATGATCTTGCCCTGAAATTCGATCCCATTAGGCGTAGTTGTTAAGCCCCTAGAGATCCACATGATTAGCGCCTCCTCAGTCACTGACAGAATCTAGGCAATCCAAAACATACAAGAGTCGCGAGCAAGCACTCAAAAAGTGCCTAGTATAGTCGTAGGTATGGAACCCAATCAAATCGCAATGCAAGACACCGAGCAACAACTCGTTCCGGACTGGGAGAATTCTGTAGATCTCGCTGCTAGGGAAGGGCGTATGGAGGAAGAAGCCGATCTTGACATTCTCCTTGCTATCGCCGATCTCCTCACGCAGCATCTCAGGGAGAAGCATCAAGTGATAATCATGCACCCAGATCAAGTCGCCATCTTGAACTTCCTTCGCAACCGCTTTGGCGAAAAGACGGTTGGCCTCCTTGTATGCTTCCCAGGCGGACTCGTCAAAGGTAATCTCACCGGGATGGTAATGGAAGAGGGGCCAGAGAATGGAGTCTGTGAGCAGTGGATATCCGTCAGCAAGCAAGCGCCTTCAGCACGGATCAATGAGGGAGCAACAATCACAGATCCTCGACATGATAAGCAGATCGGTAATACTAACTAGAAAAGCCATTGTAGTGACGGTCTGCCAGCTCGTCATCAATGAACACTGGCACGGCGTTATACTCCTGCTTCAAGCGTTCCTTCACCACGGGAATCTCCCCCTCCGGGACCTCCAAACCGGGCCAGCCGTACCATTGGAAGGTTGTGGATTTGGACAGGCCACTTAGTCCACTGACCAGGCCACCGGAGGACATGGAGAAGTCATAGCGACCGTCATCCGATCGCTTGATCGTGATTGGAAGCCGATTGGAGACGAGGAGCAAGCGAGCCTCATTCTGAAAGGTGGGGTTTTCGAGGGAAGGCATGCTGTCGGAAACGGCGGGGCACCGACACAGACAGTCAAATGTAAGTATGTACAAAAGTACTAGTGAGACCGAGTAAGCGACCAATGAGGGTCTGAATTGAAGACAAAGGGCGAGACTGGCTTATCAAAGAAGATGCCAGGGACGATGAGTAAGAGTAGGCTGAGGAGGGGCTCTGGAGTCGTAAGCTGCAGGGGCGGTAGTTATCGGATTATGATTATTGATTCTTGGTGGTCTCTAGTGAAGAGCAAGGAAGAAGGGAAAAGCCGGATTGTTGAGAGTCTTGGACCACTGTCACCAATTGAATGGAGCCAAGTGAACCCAGGCACCGAGTAAGAAAGCTAGAGGACGACGAAGAAGAGTGAATCGTGTGTAAGGTTAAGAGAATAAAAAGGGGAGAAAAGAAAAGCCACCGATGGCGACCTGGATTGCCTTGAAGCCAAGAAGCTGGTGCTTGGTGCTTCCTGATGCTGGAAGCTGCTTGAAGGCGGCGGGGAAGAATCGAGGGAGTGACCTCACTTCAGAGACCGGCGCGCGGACCAAGTGACCCAGGTTTGGGCCGAAGAAGAACCAAGAGCAGTAGTGCCGGGAGTCCACCTAGAGCTCCTCACTAGCAAGTTCATCGACAGGAAGCCAGAGAAGATGAAGAAAAGGTGGGCCAGCAAGCAAGCAGTCAGTTGTTATCCTGAATGTGCAAGGTTGTTAGGTTGAAAGATAAAGATTTATTGTCCACAGCACACTCTGACAGGCTGCTTGGAACTCCCTTTTTCCTTTTTTTCAAATCTCCTCTGAAATTTATTTTTCAGTCAGTAAAGCAGTAAGTCTCCACAGCCTATCGCTTTCACAGGCAAGAAATGACGAGAGGGGAAAAAGGAGGTGTGAAGAGGAGTAGAGAAGGAATTCGGAGACAAGGGACAAGAGTAGTTCCGGCAAGCGGGCGATGAAGTCAGAGATGACCAGCGGTCGCGATGGATGCGGGAATCTTGCCAGCCACTCACACTCGTCCTTGACTTTGGATGATGCCAACACTTCCAGTTTCCCCTCAACAAGGGAACTCTGGGTTACCTACAACTTACTCGTCTCGTACGGCTTCCTCGTTTCAGTGCTCATGTAACTTGATTCGTCCACCCAGTCAATATGGCCTGATGACGGTTCAACATTGTAATGTCACCCCAGCAGTAAAAAACCACCGATTAATTGATCCTGGTATAGAATCCGACCTGACTACTACTACTAGTACTCACTTGATCCAACATGCTGGGTGGCGTTGGGAGAGAAGCAAGTCATCTGCATGCTTTGCCTGTTGATCCCCGCAAAGGAACAAACACGAGCATTGCAGGATTTCTCTCTGTGTCTTTTCTTGGTAACCTTTTTCATTCTTGCTGCCCGAGAGGCGCTTCCAATCGGGTGTGAAATCAATTACCCCGCGGTTATCGAAGGGTCTGGACTTCATACTATTCCCATCCATCATTAATGGATTCGATGTATATATCTCAATGCTCTAACACTCGCTAGGTCTTGCAATGTGATGGCAAAAAGCCACCACATTTCTTGGTGTAGACAAAAGGTCCAAATACCCTCTAGTGTCTCTGAAGGTGAGGTAATTATGCAGTTCAGTTGATCATGTTTACCTAATGGCATTCCATGGCACACTCGGCGCATCTACTACAAAGTATGGAATCGTATGTTTGACTCGAGAGAGGGGCCCTTTGTCAGATAAGATCAGTGCGCAGGATGCAAGTCTTGGTAGCTCAGGTCTGATGTGGGGACATAACCAGGAAGCATACCCAGCTATTACCCCTACCTGGTACTCGGATCTCGCTGCTCCAAGGCTAACTGGACGATAAGAGTCTGGATGGTCATGATGAAGTCGGTCTGGCTAGAAGTGGTCAACCAATCACTACTACTAGTAGAAGAGGCCCCAATCTGAACTTCTCTCGGATATTCTGAGACAGCCGTTTTCAATGCTGTTACTAACTTCGGAGTCTTTATCTTTTTTCTTTTTTTTTGTGTGTGGTAAGGGTGATGCGATGAAATCAGACCGCCAGCTGACAAGGTTCATTCTGTATACTGAAGGAAGGGGGGAGGAGCTTTGCTGAAAGCTTCAATAGTACAATGATGTGGCAATCTATGTTCTTCTCAATGATGGACACGGTATGGCTATGCTGTGTATGTAGTATGTAGAAGCATGATGTAGAAGCATGTAAGGGATAAGGGTTGTGAAAGACCGTCAGGAATGTCATATGGTCTATGATAAAGTGAATATGCACGCACGCCATGGCGGTCACAAGCATCTTCGCACCGGTGTGCCCGTCTCGAATCTTTCGGCTAGTATCGAATCCTCGTAAAGTACTAAGCCTTATAAACCAGAAACAATGATCTACTGATATAACTACTATGATAATCTAACGAGCCAACCCTTCTCGTGATTCTTCAAAGCGCAGATCGCCCAGTTTCCAGAACCCATCGCCCATCGACATCTCGGCTTACCCGGCCTTCTTCCTCCAATTTCTTCAGAACAAGCAACACTCCATTGGAAGCAGGCAGATGAAGGCTTTCCGGCACATCTTTGTAGATCACTTTGACTAGTTCCAGCGGGGTCCAGGACCGTTTACGCTCCGGGGATGCTTCCCCATCTGCGACATCGAGGTGGTTATACCGGAGAACGCGAACCACTTCATCCTCTCGTTGTTGTCGGTGCTTGATGTACTCTGTGATCTTTGCTGTCGCATTCTCGATGACAGCTCCGTGGCCCGGATAGCCGCGACCCGAAAGCCGGTACTGCATTCGCTTTAGGCTAGATATATAGGTCGAGAGGTCCTCGAAGACACTCGTGCCATGACCCAAGACATCTGAGAAGAACATTTAGCCCTGAGGCATGGCATGAAGATTGCCACAATACTCACTATCACCCGTAAAGACGGAATCTTCCTCCTCATGGACAAACATCATATGGTCAACGGCATGACCCGGGGTATGGTATGCTCGTAGCGTTGCACCTTCAACACTGAATATCTGGCCGTCTTCAATGCTCTCTTGGCCGAGATCGGGATCATTCTTGTAGATGACGGCGTCCGGGCATAATGCTAAGAGGTCAGGGACGCCTTTAACATGGTCTGGGTGCCAGTGCGTAAGGAGGGCCTGATGCACAGTTGCGTTCTCTTCTGCCAAGAGGGTCTTGAGCCGGGCTGCCCAGGAGGGTTCACCCTGACCAGTGTCAATGAGGATGCGTTGACGACCTCGGCCGATTAGATATGTATTCGTGCCTGTTAAGTCTCCGGTTAGAGCAACACTCCTGCGCCGCTAAAAAGATTTGTAAGATACACACCTTGTAGTGTAAACTAGGAGAAATCTATGTCAGTTTATCTGTCCAACAAGGCCGGACTGATATCTCAAAATTAGCTCACCTTGCCGGGATTGCCCCCCAATATCCGTACGACCGAGGCGCTGAGTCTCTCCACCTCCGCCAGAGAAACTAGCTGAGTAGCCATGTCTCCGGCCTAAATCACACTTCAGTGCAATCGATCTGCAACTGCCAGACACCAACTTGCATTAGCCGTCGGCACTGCGTTGGTTGTCTTGAATGAAGGTCAACAGCCAGCATGGACTGTACAAGTTGCGCAGAACACAACCAACATACAATTATCTTTCCAGGTCACAGAGGTAATAAAGCTGGTACTTGAAATACGTACTATCGCCGGCCTATATCGCAGCCTTCTATATAGAATTGAACAATCAGCAGGACGATCAGAGTGAGAACAGGAATGAATTATCAGAGGCTCACGCGCAATTAGGTTAGTGGGTCAGCTGCCCTCAGTCACGTGGAAAATATAGAAAAGAGAAGGATCCGACAGTGATGTGCTTCCAGCCGTGGATGCAGCTGGGGGATTTCGAGCAGGGAGGAGTACATACTAGTATGCGTCTACTACAACCGAACTCTCCTTATCATGATGGACCGGCTATACTATCAGGGTCACGTTCCGAGGCGGGGTGAACAGCCGTGTAGGCCTCGGTAGAGATTAGAACTTAGTTATGTCAGCACTAATAAAGTCGGGCCTATTTGCAGCAAGTCGCAAAATCGGGCAAATGGTAACATCAGGAAGTCCGAATACGCCATTGAGGGGGTAGTGACCGTTCTGCTCACCGGCAATGCTACGAGGAACGGTTATAACGTCTACGGGCATGATCCAGATTGGAACAGAAGGAAATGTGGTATGCACGCAATCCCTAACATACAGTGTATGATATAAAACAAAACAAAGATATATCCATGTAGTCCACCGGAAAATCGCAGGGGTACAAAAGAAAACAGGCCCAGGCGGCAACAGAAACAATTCGTTAAATTTTTCGAAAAACGACGCCGGATATTCCCATCATAGAGGTACCATAGGCAGCCGCTTTCGCGTCCAATGCACTTGTTTGGCATCAGAGCAGACTGCCATGGTGCGAGGGTAGGATAACCAAACCCCGCAAGCAGATCTTTCAGGTATCATATCTTTTCGCAACAAATAAAAAAACAGCGATCATAATATACAGACGAGCCTATGAGGCCCATGTCATGCATGTTGGCAATCGCCATTTGATTTAGTTGCCAGCCTTGCGGGCCATGGTGTTGAGGGCGGAACCATCGCGGAACCACTCAATCTGGGACTCGTTGAAGGTGTGGCTGAGCTTGATGTCGAAGGAGGCACCGTCCTTGGGGTGGACACGCAGAGTGACGGGCTTGCCAACCTCGAGCTCAGTGCAGAGGAGGTCGACCTTGTCCTCGGGCTTGATCTTGTCGTAGTCGGCGGGGTCGGAGAAGGTAAGAGGAAGCATACCCTGCTTCTTCAGGTTGGTCTCGTGCTAAAGGATGACGTTAGTTCGCGTTCAGAGTGTTATGGTAGTCAAGACTGGAGAGAACTTACAATACGAGCGAAGGAGCGGGTGATGATGGCAAGACCACCAAGGTGGCGGGGCTCCAGAGCAGCGTGCTCACGGGAAGAACCCTCACCGTAGTTCCAGTCACCGATGACAACCCACTTGACGCCACGGGCCTTGTAGTCACGGGCAGTAGCGGGGACGGCATCGTACTCGCCGGTGAAGGCGTTCTTGACCTTGTTGGCCTCACCGTTCTCGGCGTTGATGGCACCAATCAGCATGTTGTTGGAGATGTTGTCAAGGTGACCACGGTACTTCAACCACGGGCCAGCCATGGAGATGTGATCGGTGGTGGTCTTGCCCTGGCACTTGATCAGGATAGGGATGCCAGTGGCATCCTTGCCATCCCACTTCTCGAAACCAGCAAGGATCTGGAGACGGTCACTGGTGGGAGCGACAGCGACGTTGACGCCCTCGCGGTTGGTGGGAGGAGCCTGGTAGGTGTCACGGCCGGGGTCGTAGCCCTGAGCAGGGAGACCCTCGCCGGAGGGGGGCTTGAGCATGAACTCCTTGCCGTCCTTGTCCTTCAGCTTGTCGGTGAGAGGGTTGAACTTGAGGGTACCGGCAACAGTCATGGCGACGACCAGGTCGGGAGAGGCGACGAAAGCGTGGGTGGCGGGGTTGGCATCGTTACGACCGGTGAAGTTACGGTTGTAGGAGGAGATGATAGAGTTGGCCTCACCCTTCTTGACGTCCTTACGATCCCACTGTCCAATGCAAGGACCGCAGGCGTTGGCAAGGATAACACCACCGTACTCCTCGAGGGTTTTGAGCTGACCATCGCGCTCAATGGTAGCACGGATCTGCTCGGAACCGGGGGTGACGGTGAAGAGGGACTTGGACTTCAGACCGTGGTCAAGGGCGTCCTGAGCAATGGAGGCAGCGCGGGACATGTCCTCGTAGGAGGAGTTGGTGCAAGAGCCGATAAGACCAACCTTGAGCTCCTCGGGCCACTTGTTGGCCTCAACGGCCTCCTTGAACTTGGAGATGGGGGTGGCCAAGTCAGGAGTGAAGGGACCGTTGACATGGGGCTCGAGCTCGGACAGGTTGATCTCAATCAGCTGGTCGTACTCAGCACCCTCATCCTCGCGGAGCTCCTTGGCGTACTCGCGGGAGAAGTTACCGATGTGCTGACGCTTGGTGGCCTTCAGGTAGTCGTACATGCGATCGTTGAAGGGGAACATGGAGGTGGTGGCACCAATCTCAGCACCCATATTACAGATGGTGGCCATACCAGTGCAGGACAGGGAGTTGACACCAGGTCCGTGGTACTCGATGATAGCGCCAGTACCACCCTTGACGGTGAGGAGACCAGCAACCTTGAGGATGATATCTAGATTTCACTGTTAACGCTCGTCCAATCTTGTAAGACACGTAAGAAGTCAACTTACCCTTAGGAGTAGTCCAGCCGGACATCTGACCGGTGAGCTTAACACCGATGACCTTGGGGGCCTTCAGCTCCCAAGGGAGACCAGCCATAACGTCGACGGCATCAGCACCACCAACACCGATGGCAGCAGTGGCGAGACCACCAGCGTTAGGGGTGTGAGAGTCGGTACCGATCATGAGACCACCGGGGAAAGCGTAGTTCTCCAGAACGATCTGGTGGATGATACCGGAACCGGGCTTCCAGAAACCGATGTTGTACTTGGCAGTAGCAGAGGCAAGGAAGTCGTAGACTTCCTTGTTGATGTCGTTGGCACGAGCAAGATCCTTGTCACCACCGACCTGGGCCTCAATCAAGTGGTCACAGTGGACGGTAGTGGGAGTAGCGACGGAGGGCATGCCAGCGGACATGAACTGGAGGATAGCCATCTGGGCAGTGGCATCCTGGCAAGCGACACGGTCGGGGCGCAGCTTGAGGTAGGAGCTGCCACGCTCGATCTCCTGTCCGTGGGGGTCGTCAAGGTGAGAGTACAGAACCTTCTCGGCGTATGTGAGAGGACGGCTCAGACGACGACGAACGATGTCGAGGTTCTCGGACATCTTCCTATAGAAGTGGTAGACATGTTAGCTAACAGCTCATTGACCTGACAAGGCGCGATTGAGAGATCGCGCCGATTTTTCCGGAGAATCAAGAGTGCTATCATACTTGTAGTTGATGTAGTTACCCTGCACAATTATTGTTAGCGGATCATATTCCCTAATCTGGCGCCCGCACTACCCGAAGCCAGCCGAGACGTAATGGAAAGTTCACTCACCTTCTCCAGGTTGGACATCTCGACCTTCTTGTCGAGGGGAGAGTCGGTGACGGTGGCCATACCCCGAGCCCCGAGCATCTGCACATATGATTAGTCTTTCTGTTCATCGAATCATCGCACTTCCGCTGTAATCTGGTGATGCGAGCTTGGACTGGATTGCGGGTAAACGCTTACAAGGCGGGACTTAGGGGCCTAAGGAGCAGATCTGGTTAGTTTCCATTGAGCTACAAAGACGTCCAGCTGGAAGCATTTCATTCCTGGACAGAATGCCATGACTTCTTCGCCAGGCGGGGGACAACGTGTCTGGAGTGGACTTACCAGCGCACCCATGCGCGCAAGCCTTGTGGTAATCATGGTGGAAGCTCTCTATGCGAGGTGGGCAGGGCCGCAACACATTCAAGGAGAGCCAATCCAAACAACAGCAAAAGCTAGCTTCGACGGGAGGAAGCAGCAAAAGATGGAGTGGAGTGGGAAAAGAAGAGGAAAGGAAAGGGATAAAGGAAGAAAGGGAAAATGGAGTAGATAAAAAGGAAGCTTGAGTGGGAAAGAATTCTTGTTTCCACCACCGAGAGCGATTTACTGAACCGGAGAAGAGGACCCGTAACCGCTCCTGACAGTACCGACCTTTACGCAAGCGTTGCATGCGACCGGAGAGAAGGAAGGTGGCTGGACCATCCGTGGGACCCCTTTCTTACTGTATGGATACGGGTACACCTGTAATTTCCGTTTGACCTGCAGACCTCGCTCCCTCCTTTCTGACCACTCCGTAAATGAAAAAAAATAAGAAGGACCCATAATGGCTCTACCCGGTCAACGTAAGGTTGCTTTTGGATTCGAAAAGGCCTCACTGTCAGTGGTTTTGATCCTTTCAGCTGACCCTCAAAAAGCATAGTTTGATCTACTGGGTATTATTATCTCCCCCATGCACTCTCCCCCATGAATTCCCACGAACTAGTGTCGTACCTAGGTAAAACCTAACTTCACTACCGTTGTGTTCATACCTTGTAATTCCGACCAGCCTGTGCGGCGGCGTGCACAGGGCATGTGAGGCACATAGTCCAATCATGTGCCCTGGATTACATCCATTCATCCTGGGGACATCATCGACGTCACTGACTATTAGTACTACATCCTAGCTTAATGCTTCAACAAGACTTGCAAACACAGATATAAAAAAAAATGATGGAAGCCTCTACATCAATGAATTTGAAGTATTATGACAGATTCTACGCGCCCAACCTCGTAAGTAATGCTAGACCGCTTGACTGGGTTGGGTTGCTTAGGAGACATGGTGGCAGTTAGCGTATTATTTCACCTGGATCGCAACTGGACGATGCTTTCCGGAGCAACGTGCCGGAACATGGCAACGTCATAAATTACGAGACACCGGGGAAATGGCCGTACGGAAGCGACCAAAAGCGCTGACAGAGCCGAGTCAGAGCCGAGGCCTACCGATGGGAATCCCGCGGCCCGCCGCCAAGACCCAGCTGATTTCGACCAATAATGAGCAACATGTTTCAGGAAATTCTTCTTTCGCACACAAAGGCGGAAATTTTAGTGATAAGCGACCCGCTCTTGCACCGCCTAAACTCTTAGTTTCATTCCGGATATCGGTGGTAAAACACTTTGCGACGCTCACTAGCAAATCCATCAGGCAGTTCTGTTTTTGGGCCGCAGTCTATCAAAATGGGAGCTGTCAGGAAAATCAAGACGAAGCGCAGGACCAGGTATGTAGGCTAATATCTTTAACGATGAACATGATGATGGCCCTAAGTAGAAGGGTTGCGTAAAGCTGAATAGACGCTAATGATCTGCTACAATCGACAGAGACTATGATCAGGTTCGAGCTGATATCGCATCCGCGAGACACCTCGAGCTGTACAAAGCTACGAAAGACGAGGAGGACCTTCCCGGCCTAGGAAAGCATTACTGCGTCGAGTGCTCCAAATGGTTTGAGAGCGAGCATAACATGGTCGCCCATACGAAGGGCAAGAACCACAAGAGAAGGTGTGTGGCCAACATATCTACGATGTCGCTGCTGCGGGCGCAAGTACTTTTCTGGGCGCATGAATGCTAACCTATGCGCTCGTTGTTAGACTCCGCATCTTGCGCGAAGAGGCACACACACAGAAGGCTGCTGAGGCTGCTGTTGGCTTGGGTACAGACAATGGTGTGAGATCGCAAGAGACCACCGAGATGGTCATTATGGAGGATTAGGTTCTCGCCATGAAGTGAGATTTGCCTATCGCAGTGCTCTCTCGACTGTCACTGCGATGCAGGATAGCTCCAAGAGCATCAGCTTGAGCTCTGCTGGCAACATATCTACTCTCAACGGGCTTGAAAATTTTTTCGCGCATCTACGCCTTTTTGCCGTCGTTGTTTCACGGACGATATTACTGGCTGCATGTTGACGAAAGAATCACCCAATCAGCGATGGGCCAAAATCGCTGGATAACACGTGAAACCACATGCGCCGAAAACCGCCAGTGGGGGTGGAAAGTTCCCGGATACGCCGGTTTCGTTCTGCGGTAAAACCATCAAAACTGCCGTTTCTCGGAGCCCCCATATAGCTTGGCCCCACTTTATCAGACACGGCTCCTTTAGGATGAAATTAATTTACGAGCTGCAACAATACAGCACTTCAATATTGAGATGCGCGTGTCCTTGCGGAGTACTCCGTAGTTTGTAGATGCTTGGGCATTGTTGCATTGTACGTTTATGGATTTTGTAAATACTTCATCAGCCACTCGTATGCCGCCCACTTGGAATGGATCGTTAGCAATGCGGTACAACATTTCAAGCTCAGATTAACATACCTGAACAGCATTGACTATGAAGGCCCTCACACTACAAACTCCTAGGCCACGATAGAAAGCTTTGAGTCCTTCATTGATATAAGCTTCTTTGGCAATTTGAATGGAGCTTGCGGTGTATGGCTTGGCTGAGGGCTGCACCAAGGGGCGATGTTCTGGGGACAATTCAATCGTCCTCGCCTGCAGTCTTGTCTTGATCACATCTAATGGGAAGACAGATGCCCAGGTAACAATTCCAGCAATACCACCGCATAATAAGACTTTCGTAGCAGTCATTGTCGCATCATCGTCATTAGAGGCCGTAAGCCGCTTGCAGTACTCGTAAGACCAAAAGCTGCAGAGAAGAATGTATGTCAATACTCCGTGAAGAGCCGCAATGAAATAGCGGGGGACGATCCGGGGAAGGGATTCACATACTAAAACCCATAGCCAATTGCATCTCTAGCACAAGTGACCCCTCCTCCGTAATAAAGGCCCGTCCAGCCGCGTGTTCGGACAATGTCTTTTGCAACTGTCCATGACGACACCCCGGGTCGTGAGTCAAGCTGGGCCCTACATTTGATGAACTCCGTCGGAGATGACACAGTCCAGCTGGCCACCCCACCTGCAGCACCGGCAAGCCAGATCTTGCTTAAGGGGACACCTTGTGGGTTTGTAGGGTCAATGATTGAACTATCCAAGAACTTCAAGGATCGGTTATAAGCCACAAAGAGTAGTGCATTGAGGGCCCCATATCCGAGTATTGGTGCAGCGGCGCCTGGTGAAACGGTTAATACTAGACGCGTAATTTACATGATCGGAAGATTTGCAAACCTCGAACAAGAGAAGTAGCGCTATCAAAGCGACTCAGTTGCTGGGGTGTGGTTGAGGCGGCGACATCTGGAGTGCTTCCTGCCTGCAACCGCACTTTGATGACATCGAGGGGATTGCCGATGATGATTCCAATGGCACCGCTAAGGTAGCCAGCCCAGAAGTCGGAAGACATGGGCCGAGGGGCCAGTGCTGAATGAACGATTTAGCAGCAAATGGTGATAATGAGCATTGTAGGAACAACCTGGTTATTATCATTCGACGGACTGAGGTTCCATTGACTAAACGGTCCCACCTCAAGAAGGCGAACCGGACGCTATACTGAAAGAGGTATACGTCTCTCATGCAGCCTTACTGCATAATAGTACCGGTACTAAGTTCATGACAAGACTACGTACATATATATATTGTGCAGATCAATGCAGGATTTGGTGTAAATGCTGCCTTGTCTGGATAACAACACCAGAAGTGGCCGAAGTAGTATTATGTCCTCCTACAAGCCCTTTTTACTTTTATTGAACCACTATCCCTTCGACAAATATCTGAAGGCCGCATTTCCTCCACCTGCGTCATTCAAGTGGCGCTTCCTCACCCGGATGTTGTGTTCAAGACCAATGGCACGTACACATGCAAAACACGGGATATTTTATCATCCGAAGAATACTTGAGCACTGGCCCTACTCAAACAAGACGTTTAAGAATCTGGTCCAAAATTCAATTTGCATGGCGATATACCTTATCTATGAGCCGGGTAACGTATACTATTGCCATGTGATATCACGTGACAGCGTGATACTTTGGTGTTGCCAACAGATGCGGGCGACGCGCTAGGCAGTGGCAAACACGCGTCGAGTTCGGCCAGCCATTATTGACAACCACAACCGCCGACTAATACGATCAGAGCCAGCCACGAGTATTTGATAGAAAAGTGCTAATGTGAGATCTATTATGACTTTCTTGAGGTCACCTTGCACTCTAAGCTTACGCATTCAGGTACCGGCCACGGCCCGTCGTGAACCAAGATGGTGCAGGCACACCGTCCAAGCCGCTGCAGGCCAGCTCCACGAACAGCGTCGACCGTCTATCGAAACCCTTCAAATGTCCAGGCATAGCCACGGCTACACGAACATCAGACAAGCCAGCGAGGAAGCGTAGGAAGGTGAACTATGCAGGGGCCGATGGCACGGTGGACGACGACAGCGTCAAGCCATATACCAACGAGGATCGCTTAGCGCTCGCAACAAGAGATGCGAACAGGTTCCCTAGCTTCAAGGTCAAGGACAAAGAGATGACGTTCAAGCAAAGATTCAAAATTCCTCTGATCAATAAGTCGTCTGACGCCTATAATAGCTCTAGACCAGCGCCCACGCTTGGTATGAGGCAAGGCGCTACATTTGTTGTGAAACCATTGCATGATCCGAGCGGGGAGTTTGCTATAGTGCTATATGACCCAACGGTCGATGACGTTAACGAGCCAGAAGTGAAGGAAAGGGCCACGGCCGATACAGAAGAGCAGAAGCCAAAGTTGGATGAGCCATTGGTACATAAGAGTTTGGCAGATATTCTTGGGCTCAAGAAGAAGACTGAAGGGCGACCGAAAGTTCCGGTTGTTATAGATCCACGGCTGGCGAAAGTGCTACGACCTCACCAGGTTGAGGGTGTCAAGGTTAGCATTTGCTCCGCACAAGCTCTGTTGCAATGTACTAATGCGTCGACAAAAGTTCCTTTACCGTTGTACAACTGGCATGGTTGACAAGAATGCGAATGGTTGCATCATGGCAGATGGGATGGGTCTGGGCAAGACGGTAAGCTGAACGGCCTGTGGCACGGAACAAAAGACTAATGGCGCTGGTAGCTTCAATGTATCTCATTGATGTGGACGCTCCTCAAGCAATCTCCAGAAGCGGGAGTAACAACCATACAAAAGTGCATTATCGCTTGTCCGTCAAGTTTGGTCGGAAACTGGGCCAATGAACTAGGTGAGTTGACTTGGCTATTCGATGACACATCTGCTAACAGTTGCAGTGAAATGGTTGGGCAAGGACGCCATCACACCTTTTGCGGTCGACGGTAAAGCCTCGAAGACAGAGCTCATCAGTCAGATGAAACAATGGGCCATTGCTTCGGGACGGGCTATTGTCAGACCAGTACTCATCATATCGTATGAAACACTCCGGTTATATGTTGACACACTGAGGGACAGTCCTATCGGCCTACTTCTTTGTGACGAAGGTCATAGATTGAAGAACAAGGAGAGTTTGACATGGACAGCGCTCAACGGCCTGAATGTACAGCGTCGGGTGATCTTGTCCGGCACTCCCATTCAGAACGACCTTTCAGAATACTTTGCTCTTCTCCATTTTGCTAACCCTAATTTACTGGGGTCGCAGAACGAGTTCCGGAAAAGGTTCGAATTGCCCATTCTCAGAGGAAGAGATGCCGCAGGAACAGAAGAAGACCTCAAGAAGGGTGATGAGCGTCTTGCCGAACTCTCCGGCATTGTAAACAAGTTTATCATACGACGCACGAACGATATTCTGTCAAAGTACTTGCCAGTCAAGTACGAACATGTTGTTTTCTGCAACATGTCCGCCTTTCAACTGGGCTTATATAAGCATTTCATTCAGAGTCCTGAAATCAAAAGCTTACTTCGAGGCAAGGGAAGTCAACCCCTGAAAGCAATCGGTCTTTTGAAAAAGCTTTGCAACCATCCGGACCTTCTTAATCTCTCTAATGACCTGCCGGGTTGCGAGTACACCTTCCCAGAGGACTATGTCCCGCCGGAAGCAAGAGGGCGTGATCGAGATATCAAATCTTGGTATTCAGGGAAGATGATGGTCTTGGATCGAATGCTAGCTCGTATTCGCCAGGATACTAATGACAAAATTGTTTTGATTAGCAATTACACCCAGACCCTCGACCTTTTCGAGAAGCTGTGCAGAACCCGGGGGTACGGCTCCTTGCGACTGGACGGAACCATGACTGTTGGGAAACGACAGAAGCTGGTCGATAAGTTCAATAATCCCGATGGGGAAGAGTTTGTGTTCCTGCTGAGCAGTAAGGCTGGTGGCTGCGGCCTGAATTTAATAGGTGCAAACCGCCTTGTTCTTTTTGACCCCGATTGGAATCCAGCGGCCGATCAGCAGGCTCTGGCGCGGGTGTGGCGTGATGGCCAGAAGAAAGACTGCTTCGTCTACCGTTTCATCGCGACTGGATCAATTGAGGAGAAGATCTTTCAGCGTCAGTCTCATAAACAGTCACTTTCTTCGTGTGTCGTGGATTCGGCCGAGGATGTCGAGCGACACTTCTCGCTGGAATCCCTCCGAGAGCTCTTTCAATTCAAACCGGAAACGCGGAGCGATACACATGACACGTTCAAATGCAAGCGATGCCGACCGGATGGAACACAATACATTAAGGCGCCAGCCATGTTGTACGGTGACACGAGTACTTGGAATCATTTTGTTAATGACGGAGAGCAGGGAGCTCTCAGCAAGATCCAGGACTTGCTGATACGCCAAGAGACTGGAGAGCGTGATGTCTCTGCCGTTTTTCAGTATATCAGCCATTGATGGTAGCTTACCTGTTGAACGTCTTCATGACCTGTATTTCTTTGGAGCGTCCTTGACTTTTTGTGAAATCTACTTGCTTTGGGAAGCGTTATCCAGAACATGTGTATGTTGTTGCTGAGCGTTTGTATAAACATGAACTAGAAGACATGATACAGTGGCGTTCTAGACCTCACCACATCAATAACGATGGTTTTGTATTCCATAAAAATCACTATATAATATCATTGCATGAAGGGAAATCTCTTCCTTTGTAGAATGACAGCATGATCTGCGGTGCAAGGGGGCATGGCATTCAGTTACATTCAGTTACACTATAGGGATGAACAATGCAAAACGGTAGGGCGGAAAGCCGACAAAGCGTTCGTTTCGCTGCTGACACTACGTCACTTCGCATCCGCTAAGACAGCCATCCACGTTTGCCAACGCATCTTGTTGTGAGTCCTCCCCACCTTGACAGCCCAGCAACCGCCTAGCGACGAGGCTAGAGCATCTGACGGGTGTTTTCTGATCAGAAAGAGCCTGCATCTGTTTTGTTTACCCTGAAACACTTACCATTAATAGCCGATGGCTCGGGAATAGCTACAGGTCTTTGCGAACACGAGAGAGTCGAGACCGTCGTCTCACCGCCCAGCCTAGCCAGACATCGCCTTCACGCCATGAAAACCACTTATCTACATCAACAACCCCGGAGCTTGTGACTCAGTCGTCAATATCCATGTTTGTTTGAGAGATGGATCACTCAATTCAGCGCTCGCTGAATGATAAGCTCTACGACCGAAGGAAACAGGGGGCCTTGGAGTATGCATTATCGATAAGGGGACATATGTCAGACAATAATGTGGCGGGTGGCTAACGCACATGGGATTATTACCAGGCTCGAGAAGGTCGTCCGCGATGCTGCTTTCAGGGGTGAACACGAGGAGATTCAAAAGATCGTCGACCAACTCTGCCATGACTACGCCTATGCGGTACACCAACCTCACGCGAGAAACGGCGGTTTAATCGGACTTGCTGCGGCTTCCATAGCATTAGGATCCGTGAGTTGCACCAGGATAAACTGAATGGGTTTCGCAGGGGCTGAGTTCAAGATTGCTAGGAAGGGGTTGCTCCTTATCTTAAGGAAATCGTGCCGCCGGTGCTTGCTTGCTTTTCCGACCAAGATGCGCGAGTCCGGTATTATGCCTGCGAGAGCATGTACAACATTGCCAAAGTTGCGAAAGGGGAGGTACTACTCTTCTTCAATGATATATTCGATGCATTGAGTAAGGTAACGGGGTTTCCTCTTATGTCCCTGCTATTCTGGCCCAACAGCTTACACACCGCCAGCTAGCTTCCGATTCGGAGCTTTCGGTCAAAAACGGTGCAGAACTTCTCGATAGGCTCGTCAAAGATATTGTATCGGAATCCGCAGCCTCCCACATCTCCGTCCTACAGCTTAGTGAAAAGGAAGCGACAGATCCTGAGGGCTTGGACGATGCTGAACTTCCTACCGCCTTTTCGCTCCCCAAGTTCATACCTTTGCTCAAAGAGCGAATCCACGTCATCAGCGCATTTACTCGCACGTTCCTGGTATCATGGCTGACTCTGCTGGATACAATTCCCGATCTGGAGTTGATATCGTATTTGCCGGAATTCCTAGGAGGCTTGATAAAGTTTTTGGGTGATCCGAACAGAGATGTCAACGTCGCCACCCAAGCGCTTCTCGATAGGTTCCTGTCGGAAATCAAGAGAATTGCGCGACTGAAGAAGGGGATCGAAGAAAGTCGGAAAGGTCAAGGCAGCGATATCAGACAGTCAGCTACCAGCGATAGTATGAGCGTTGCGACGACTACCGATCAGACTGTAGCTGTCGAGTCTGAAGTGACTGACAACGCCATAGAAGACTCTGAGGCAGGGTCAGTTACCGATGAAGAAGGCTTGCACGTGGATGGGGACTGGATTCCCGGACAAGATGTTCAGATTGACTATGCCAAGATATTAGACATCCTCGTTGGTTTCGTTGATACATCGTTCGGTAAGCAAAGCATGATGCTCAGCTGCGATGGATCGATACTAATTAGTCACTAGTCGAGGAAATGCAGCTGACTGCGCTGCGCTGGATCGACAACTTCTTCGAGATCAGCCCAGAAGACATTCTCCCTTTCGTACCTCGTCTCCTCACTCAAGTGCTCCCAGCAATGTCCAGTGGCTCGGATCAAGTGCGGCAGGCCGCCAACCGGGTCAACACGTCTTTGATGGAGTATATTGTCACACTGTCCGAAGATATACTAGACGAAAGTCGGCAAATGGTCTTGAAAAATAACAGCAAAGAAAATACGGAGCGAAGGTCGTCTACGCCAGTTAGCAAGCCTCCCGAGACGCCTTCGAGCGAATCCAAGAAGCAATTGTCTCAGCCAGAGGCATCGGTCGAGCCAACCCCTCGAAGCAGCATTTCAACACCATTACCACCCGCCGATCTCGATTATGCTGCTGCCGTGAACTCCCTTACCCTACAGTTCCTGAACGAAAACGAAGCCACCAGAGTAGCTGCGCTTTCTTGGCTTATCATGTTGCACCGGAAGGCGCCCAAGAAGGTAATAGCATTTAATGATGGCACCTTTCCTGCTCTTCTGAAGACACTGTCCGATCCGGCCGAAGCCGTCGTCACCAAAGATCTCCAGCTTCTGTCTCAGATTTCCAGAAACAGCGAGGACAGTTACTTCAAGTCTTTCATGGTGAATCTCCTGCAGCTGTTCTCTACGGACAGACACCTGCTCGAGGTACGGGGAAACCTAATTATCCGACAACTGTGCATGAATCTTAGTCCAGAGCGCATTTACCGAACGCTGGCAGATTGTCTCGAGAAGGAAGAGGTGAGACCCACAACTACTCCGTCTATCAAATGTAGCAACTCACACCACGAAAGGATATCGAGTTCGCTAGTATCATGGTTCAGAATCTAAACAACAACCTGATAACCGCCCCTGAACTGTCGGAATTGCGAAAGCGCTTGCGGAATTTGGATGCCAAGGTAAGGACTCATCTACAGTCTGAGTAGCAGCGGAAGCTGACGACATCTACAGGATGGACAGATGTTCTTTGTAGCGCTGTTCCGGTCGTGGTGCCACAATGCCGTCTCTACTTTCTCCCTCTGTCTACTCGCGCAAGCTTACGAGCAGGCGTACAACCTTCTCCAAGTTTTGTAAGCATCCTCCACCCTTCCCAGCTAACCCAGCATCACACCACTAATCTATCACAATAGTGCCGAGCTCGAAATGACAGTGAACATGTTAATCCAAATAGACAAGCTAGTCCAACTCCTAGAATCACCCGTCTTCACATGTGAGTCCATCCCCCATCACTCACTAAACCACGCATCAACTAACCCTACCCGACCAACCCTCAGACCTACGCCTCCAGCTCCTTGAACCAGAACGATACCCGTACCTCTACAAATGCCTCTACGGCGTCCTCATGCTCCTCCCGCAGAGCTCCGCCTTCGCAGCGCTCAAAAACCGCCTTAACAGCGTCAGCAGCATTGGCCTCATCCACACCGGGCCTCGACAGTAAGTCCATTTCCCCCACACCCATATCTACCACCCCACCACACCCAACTAACACTCCAACCCAAAGAACCACCCTATCATCCTCAACCTCTACCTCCTCGACATCCACCTACGACCGCTCCACCAACAGCCGGCTCAAACGCGACGACCCGCCAATCCGATGGGTCGAACTCCTGGACAAGTTCAAAACCGTTCAAGAGAAAGCCCGCCGCTCTCAACGCGCCTCCCAGCGTCCCTTCGACGCAGACGGGCCCTCGTCCTCCAGCAATAACAACAACAATAACGCAGGCGACCAGGTTCGCGGCGGCGGCGGTAGCACCAGAGACCGTGTCTCGGCATTACCTGACACGCCGCGCGGAATAGTCGGAGGGAATACCGGCGGTGGGGGAAATGAAGGTGGTAGTGGTCGGGGGACGAACGAAGGGGGTGCGGGCAAATCGTCGCCGGGGGGCATTCTGGGCGGTGCGCATAGACATAAATCTAGCTTGTCGAATCTGGGGAGATTGGGGATTGGCGGGAGAAAGTCGAAGAGGTGAGATGATTATTATGATTATAGTATAGTATAGTATAGTATACTGCTGGTGGTGGTAGATTGGTGTGTTATGGATCGCGTTATAGCGTGTCATTCATACATTGCTAGAAATGAGAATGGGGTTCAGTATCTATTATCTTCTTGAGGTGTGATGATGGTATCATGAAATGAGATACGAACGAATGAAAATACTAAGGTATATATACATGGGTCATGGTGTTAGTAGTGGTGTTGCTACTTCCCTGATCTACGTAATCTAAGGGATTACACTAAGGTAGTAGAGTAGAGGGGCCGATGCAAGGCTATAGATCTGCGTATTGATCTGGACGATTGTCCTATTATATCCAAGCATCTCAGGATTTAAGCAACTACTTGGGTGGGGGCCACGCTGGTGATCGTCGTATCTCTTGATTGGAATATAAAAGCCTATGTACAGTAAGGCGCATGGCCTCAAATCGGCGAAAAAGGGTGTGAAGAAATGATACACCAACAAGTCAAGTCAAGAACGACTCGCTAATGGGCTTGAGGGGTATGTGAAGTGCAAAAAATGGCAGCACAAAGCTCTATCTCGCCAACTCTAGAACAGAGCGGAAAGGATCCAGAAGGATTGTAGCAAAAAGAAGTGCTTGTAGCCAAAAAGCAAACAGGCATAAATCGCGTCAATAAGATGATGCCAGATAACTCCAAGATAGTTTCGGGAAGAAAGTATTCGATGGCCCTTGGACCAACGGCCCGAGACGCGCGTTGATGGTACGGCAGGCAGTAGTCAATTTGACAAGCAATTGCGCAGATGAGAGCAAACCAAACCAAACGGCTGATCGAATATGCAACGCTAGCTTTTTCAAATGTCGCGGCTGAAGCCAATGGCCAAAACGGAGTACCGAAGGAGGGAAGTAGAGAAAGATAACATGAACTTTTTGCGTTCACTTTCTTCACCCATGAATGAAAAACAAGGATAGGTCGTCGCATCCTCGACATGGACATTATGAGGAGGATTGGTAGTCGAGCAAAACGAAAAGACAGCGCTTGAAGAATGACGAAAAAGGTGCATCACCGCCAGCGCGAGTCGCCAGACGATCCCCACGTAGAGGCCTTCCAGTAGCTGCCTGTCGAGTGCTTGGAGACGGTCCCTGACGAGGAGTTGGATCCGCTGACGTAGACGTATTCCCCGTCGACGTAGGGAACCCCTGAAAAGGTGCTGCGGTGTTTGCGACGAGCATAGCGCTGCTCTAGCCGGTAGAGCTCGATTTCTGTAAGAAATGGATGGTTAGCACATGAATTGTCCGTTGACACAATAACCGTGATGCTCGAGGATAAGGTGTGGTGGTAACGGGAAGGAAATTCCTAGGCGCTGGGGACAACATACTTGCTTGCAACTTTTCGATGAAACCCATTGTGTATGTATGTAGCGCCTTCCAATATATGGCCTTAAATTCTCTTGTGCAACCAAATCCAAACCGGATCGAATAATGAGCCCAGAGAGTTTCTGGGAGTGTATATGCGGGATTCGAGGATGATGATCTCCCAGAATTGTTGACTGGGGGAGAGTGCGAAGGTGAAGCGATAGCAATTGCTGAGATAACGGTTCGGAAGGGTGGGAGAAAGGTAACACGGCGGACACGAGAGGGGCAGGTTGGCGTAGATAAAAAAGAAAAAGGAGGGAACACCGATCTGGGGAGGGAAGAAAGACCCGATTTGCGAAGAGGAACGACGACGGGCTAGTGGACGTTGCAGCAGATGGTGGGAAAAGAAAGTGTTCACACCAAGACAGATAGTGCTCCGAAGCTAAGCAATAGTCAAGAAGTCAATGATAAATAAGGCGCCGATAGTGATTTAGTGGTACCCTTGGTGGGATGGCTGGTAGGAATTGATTTATAAAGAGAGAGGCTTGTGGAGAAGGAATGCAGCTGACTACGCAGGGAAGACAAGCCACCGGGGGTTACGGGGCCAATGAAGAATGCAAGGTGAAGGAGTAGAAGATAGAAGAGGAACAAAGAAAAGGTTTAGAAAAGAGAGACGAGGTGGAGGAGAAGCAGCAGAAGAAGAAGAAGGAAGAGGAGATAATGGAGAACGATGACGATAGTTGGATAGATTAGTGTAGTGTAGTGTTTGTTCCGTAGGGAAAACAACGAAACGGAAAGAACGACTGACTGGAACTGGGGGAATAATTGGGGAGGAAGGAGCCGAACACAACGTGTGGTGGGAAAGAGAAAAGGAAGGCACGATGGACGGATGTGGACTTGCTGCACCGACCACCAGTCAGGAAGGCGCAACGTGGTTTGGGGGAGGGGCGTCCCTTCCTGTCTGGGCCTAGCCAGGGGAGTCCAGCCAATCATCAGCTGTGACTAAGTATGCCCACCACCGTCAGGTACGAAATCAAATACACTAAGGAAATACTAGACCACGAACTAGACGTCCGTCACCACCACACAGACCAGACCAGACTCTTCAATACCCCTGACTATCTTTCTCAAGAAGAGACATTCAACGGCAGAGAAGCAGGAATTGCTCAATTGACTTTTCAATCAAAGATAGTCATCGACCAATCTAACCGACACTATCGTCTATGATCTCCCGCTATTGGCGAGTCTTTCCATCTTCCATCCAGAACTTCTCTCTCTCTTCTTCTTCTCTTCTTCCTTCCTCAAACTTAAACCCTCCCCACTTCCGCCCGGAGATTTGTTTCCTTCTCTTACCCCCTAACGCACGGTTAACTTATTAGACTCACCCTCAGGCAGATAGATAAAACCACGGATGGAATCGTGCTCCTACTTGGCCCCCAGCCTTCCAATAGTGAACATTAATGTTCCTTTGCCCATTCACTATGACATCTTAAATCAATCAGCACTCTCTCCCTCTCATCCCTGGTTCTTCGAAAAGGGACCCTGCGTACCAGATCGGATCCTTGACTGGGTCGAAAAGGGTACAACCGAGACGGGGAAGACGCTAAGGCCAGTTTCGAATGTGCCGGTGGTTCCGTCTAAATGGCCTGGCCGTGCCTTGCCCTGCCTTGCGTGCTTTTCTTCCATGGCTCCAGTTATTTTTATTGGAACCGCCCGCTTGCCTTCCTTCGGTTCCGTTCCCCTCGTGGCAACTCGGTAGACTAGTCCGTCGTTTAGATTGCGTGTGGGATGATTGGGAGGGTGGTCCTCTCCCACATTCCACAGATTGGTGCACGTACACGACTAACACGACAGCCACAGAGCAGGGGCGTTACGTAAGTTGGTGGACAACTGACTAGTAACATAGATGGTTATTGTGTAGATATCTACTTAAGATAGTTCCCATTTGTATCATTCACTCAAAAGAAAGTCTAAAGCGCCAAGAGATATAGAACAAGAGAAAGAAAGAAAGGAAGAGAATCATGCAATTCCCTTCCATTGGGTGCTTGCTTGCTGCTTATCGTCGTGCCTCGCGCCCCATACTACTTACGAGTGATAGTGCTACTCTCCTCTTCCTCTGCAACTGTCGGTTCGCTGTCCAGGTCCTGTGCGAGGGACATTTCCTGGGCTGTGGCGCAGGATTTAGTTAGCTTTCTTTGCTCACCAATCCCTTCCGGGACTCCGTCGGCGGGTCTCTTACCGTTCCACAGCTCGGCGTAGATGCCATTCTGCTCCAGCAGGTCGCGATGCGATCCCTTCTCCGCTACGTGCCCCTCCTTCAATACGAGGATCTGGTCGCAGTCGTATATCGTGCGCAGTCGGTGCGCCACGAACACGCTCGTGCGTCGCTTTTCCTTTAGGATGCTGTTGATGTTCTGCAGTAGCGCTTGTTCCGTGTAGGTGTCCAGAGCTGAGGTCTACCCGTTCAGAATTAGTACACTTAGCCGCCTGCCATCCTAAAAGAATAACGTTAGACTTACCGCTTCGTCGAAGAACAGGAGCTCCGGATCCTTCAGGATCAGTCGAGAAATGGCCAGTCGCTGCTTCTCGCCTCCAGAGATCATCATGCCTCGCTCACCAACGGCGGTCTCGTACCCGTCGGGCAGCTTCTGGATCAGCTCGTGGATGTGTGCGCGCTGCGCCGCCTGGTACACTTCTTCATCGCTTGCTTCGATCCGGCCGTAGCGGATGTTGTGCGCGATCGTGTCATTGAATAACGGGGTATCTTGGGGCACAACACCAATAGCCTTGCGGAGACTTTCCAGGGTCACATCGCGTATATCCTGACCATCAACCAGGATCCGTCCCTCCTGAACATCGTAGTAGCGGAACAGCAGTCTCAGGATTGTCGACTTGCCGCAACCGCTGGGTCCAACGATAGCGAACTTCTGACCGGCAGGAATCGTAAAGCTAGCGTTTTTGAGAATGGGTCGGTCGGGGTGGTAGCCAAAAGTGACGTTCTCGAATCGGATCTCGCCGCCCTGCTTCAACTGGAGTGGCTTGGCATCCGGTCGCTCGGTGATGTTCACGTTGACTTTCTGCAGGTTGAAGAGGGTCTCCATATCCAGCAAAGACTGGCGGAGCTCACGGTACACCGAACCCAAAAAGTTGAGCGGGACCGAGAGCTGGAAGACGAGCTGGTTGACCATGACCAGGTCACCTACAGTCAGACTGCCGCTAGCCACCCCGTTGGCCGCGAGATACATCATACCTGCCAGGGCACTCGAGAAGATCATGTTCTGGCCAGAGTTGAGGAAAGCCAGCGACGTTGTGACCTTAATAGAAGCGTCCTCGTAGGCCTTCAGGGCCTTATCGTAGCGTGCAACTTCAAATTTCTCATTGTTGAAATACTTAACCGCCTCATAGTTGATCAGAGAGTCGACAGCAACGGTGGCACCACGGTTGTCTGCAGCATTTGCCTGTTTGCGGAATTTGGTTCGCCAGGCGGTGGTCATGATCGTGAAAGTAGAATAGGTCACCATGGTTGCGGCTGTGATCGCCGCAAATTGGACACCATATTGGTAGGTCTATCACAGTCAGTAATGCCATATCTAAACAGATGTGCAGCTCATGCCGTACCAGAATACCGCAGACAAGAGAGATCTCCAAGGCAGTTGGCACTACGTGAAAGACCATGGAAGTCAATAAGAAACTGATGCCCTTGGTTCCACGGTCAATTGCACGCGTCAAACCACCGGTCTGCCGAGAGAGATGGAAGTTGAGATCGAGCTGGAGCAGGTGCTGGAATACATTCCCCGCGACTTTGCGGATCGCCTTCTGCGCAACACTGGCGAACACAGCATTGCGCAGTTCTTGGAACAGTGTAGCGCCGATCCTAGTAACACCGTCTGATATTCATTGTTAGGTACAGTCTTCCTGCATGCGGGGATCTCTTACAGGCAATAATCATCGAGCCTGCGACTGTGTAAGCGGTTCCACCAAAGGTCGCAAAGTCGACGTTCATGGAATCAACGATATTCTTGAAATAGAAGGGTACTTCGACGTTCAAGATCTAGTTGTATGGTAAGTACTGACGCAGGATACCCAGTATATAGCGCAGCTCACCTTTCCTCCAACCAGCAACGAGAGAGCAGTGCCGACACGAAGCTTCGTTCCCCAGTCACCCTATACCGCTTTCCATTAGCACCCTATGTCCCAACCGTTCCAGGACGCCACAAATCCTCACCTTTGGCCAGAGATACTTTGCCATTTCCTTCATTATCGCCCAGTCTGCCTTCCTCTGCTCCTTTCTCCCCACGGTAGCTTCGCTGAGTAGGTCTTTCTTCGGGGTCGCGGTAGCATTTTGGGTACCCGGCGGACTCTGCGCGACATTGGCAGCGCTGGGTCGAGTAGTTGAGGGATCTTTAGGGTCCGGTGTCTGCGACTTCGATGGAGGGTTTTGAGGGGTCTGGCTCCTCAGTGGGCTTCTAGTAGTTGAAAACGGTCTCAGCTGAAAGCCGTAGGAAGCAGATGCCCATGACGTTGGGCGCGGAACGGCCGAAGTGTGGTGTAGAAAGCGTCCCGAGGCACGCCAGCAAGGCGTGCGGGCCGCCCTGGGCAGCATTGTGGTCGGTAGATGCTCTTCACAGCAAACCGAAGGTATGCAAGGACCGTCTTTATAGCCAATGGAGCATTGCGGTGGTGGTGAGGCCTTGCGCGAATTTCCGCCTCGTGATGGGGACCGCCGGGTTCGGAGGAAAACGTCGGCGGCGGCGGGGGATAAAGTATGGGGGCGTGAGATAGAAAAGTACTGAGGACCGCGGTGGATCAGGTCAATGTTTATCCACGACGCCCTGTATGGTGGGTCATTGAATGGATGTCCAGAAGGAACCGGGCGAAATAAGTAGAGGTGATTCAACGAGGGAGGCTGCAGCGATAGCACCAGGAAAGGCAGTTCTGTCGCAATCGCCGATTCCGAGTATCTCCAGGTCTCCGGTAAATTACGTTACTCTCGGTACGCATGCGGCAGTTTAACATCAAACTGTCTTTCTTATGTTTACTCACATCTCTCCTTGAGTCTACGTGAACATAGTCGTCTGTTTGTTTTGTCGACTCCTGCTTGTGCACTTGCTGCGTAGCTTGAAGGAATTCGCTATTAGTTTGAGAGAACGTGACGTCGTGAAGGTAATGTGCCGATATTGATTTGGAACATGGTCAACAAACATGTCCACCTTCATCGCTACTTTCAGAGATTGAAGAGAAATGTTTTATGTAGTAGAGGGCAGCATATAGCAGCTAGTCCAATAGTCCTCTGTAGTAATACAGAGGCTTCTTAAAGGTCTCTAATATATTCAAGGGTAGACACGTGAGATAGGTATGACATCAGTGCAACACAGTCTGTGTCCCCCAACAACCACCGGATGTGAGAAATTTAGCACAGCTTCGACTATCTGAGCAATCTTCAGCACAAGATATATCCAGTAATAGTGACCATAACACCCTCACCGCAGAGGAAAAGTGGACGAAGAGCTTCGATATTGACAAGCTCGCAGTGCCAAGCCGCAACAGCGCTTTTCCCAATCTGGAACCGTGAATCCGGACGAGAAGAAGAATTACCGCGGAGGACGAGCAGTTGCATTCCCACCCCAGCTTCTCTCCATCTGCACTTCGTTCGGCAGAACCCTCCATAATGGCATTGGCTCAACCTTGGAGGAGTGCCGCGAGGACTTTGTCCTGGACTCGAGTCGTCCCTCCCCGGGCGCGACAAGGGGCATTGCTGCGCCGCGGATGGCAGACCAGATGCGTCCAGATTCGCGCGGCGCCTGCGGAGGAGCCAGCTACCGTCAATGGTGACCATCTTCCCATCTCCAGCACTCCTAGCTCTGCTGAGTCTGCTGGTAAGTCTTGAGGCTGTATCCGAACCCGCCCTTAAACCCGAGCAGACCGCGCTAACAGCCGCAATTCTTAACTAGATGCACGATTCGATGTCATCGGCGCGCCCTACTCTCTACTATCGGTTTCGCTCTCCGCTTCGCAGAATCTCTATACCCGTCGGGGTACCTTGGTTGGACTGAGTGGGAAGGCAGACAATGTATGCGCACGTTGTTGTGGTTAATGCTCTACCCTGTACGCTGCTCTAGGGTTAACGACTTTGGCATCAACGCAGGTGGTTTCTACATTGAGCGTTCTAGAACCCTTCCGGAGGGCTGTCGTCGGCGTGCCATTCCTTTACCAGAAGGTTAGGCTGGTCTCCCCAGGATTTGAGCAAATGGTATGGTCATTGACACTTAAACGCTAGGTATCCTCGGCTAGTCCAGTAACCGCGCTGGTTTCCGTTCGTTCTCCGAATACGTCCTTTGCTGTCGTTCACTTGAATGGCTCCGTGGATTGGATGGTAGCCCAGAAACGGGCTTTGCTTGCCTGGACGGGTCGCTCGCTCTCTATCCGCCCAACTATAAACACAAGTCTGGTTCGTTGATCCTCACTAGTTCTAGTGTCTACAGCTAGACTAACCTGCACAGAGCCTTGCCCACTGGGGTAGCTCCGAGGTCACAGGGCGGGGTTTGTTAGCGTTGGTCGGTAACGGTCAACTATATTCCGTGGAGCTCAAGGCTGGAGAGCAATACATCGTTCACCCGAGGTGAGCATGCCATGTTCTCTTGACTGACCTGCCTTTGCTGATGTCATGTAGCAACGTCGTGGCCTACACCATGTCGTCCAACCCCCCACGCCCCTATCGCTTCAAGTCTACGACCCTGAGGTTCCAGGTCCCGGGTCTCAAGAGCCTCCCGGCCTTTATCCAGAATTCCAAGTTCATTCAGAACATGTCGGAATCGAGTACTTGGAAGTCGACAATGAGAATTATGCACACGATCCGTACGTGGTCTCGGAAGACCATCTGGGGAGATCGGGTATGTCGCACACACTTAAGACCGTCAAGTCTGCTGCTAACCCTATATAGCTGTTCCTGCAATTTGATGGACCCTCGACCATTCTTTTACAGACACGCGGTCCTCGTATCAATGAGGTTCTGACCTCACATGAAGTTAACGAAATCGCCAGTGCCCCTAGAGGCTTGACCATTGGCCCGGCAAAGCCTACTGAGGGAAAGCACCAGCCAGCAGACGAATATGTGAAGGCTGCTGAAGAAGCTGTTAATGCTGGACCAGGACCGCACAGAACTGTGGACGAATTGACCAATGAGCTCAAGGGCACGGAGCAGAGCATTGCAACCCTAACGAAGGAGGGCAAGGTCATTATTGAGAAGGTAGGACAGAAAAACTAAGCTGAAACAGTATCATTCTGTTGCTGCTGCTTCTCATGCATAGATCATAGCGCCCGGCATCCAGGTATCTTTTCATTTATTTTGTTTCATTGCAGGCTCAATGTACTATAGACAATAGCTTGTGTCCGACCACACCCCACGTGAACGTTTTTTTTCTTCTCCTTTCTTCATTATCTCTTTCTACTGTCCGTGATGTTGAGCAAATCGAAGCAAAATTTCCGCCTTGCATTGTCTTAGACTACCTAGCCAACAGGCATCCACGTATAAACCGGTTGACATGTGGTGGGGAAATTCCATGAATGAAGGGCTCTCGCAAGGGGCCGCCAGTGTCTCACAGCGAAAACGTTCCTTGAGTCTCACGCCAAGGACCTCCCTGGCGGAATGTTGACAGGAAACACACCGCTGGTCGACTCTTTTTTACTTGTGGGGGGTCCGGGGTCGGGGCCTGTTATCTAACGTCTTCGAGGCTCAGATCGATTCCATCAGATTTCCGCACGCCTCTGACCCCAAACCCCTCAGTTCGTTCTGGTAGAACTTTCTAACTCGCAGCCGCGGAAAGCAGATATCCTTGTTACGGAAGCCAGCCCTATCCTTCTTCAGAAACCATGACGCAACAGCCAAACGAGGCCATTCCAGCCAGCGATGTCGTGGAAGATGATACTAAAGAGCCCTTCCAACTGCCCGTTTCTGCTTCGGATACTAGTGAGGATGTAGAGGCGAATAGCAGCGAGGAGCAGTGCGACACACAGTGTACTACGCCCGGAGAAAAGGGCGGAGAGAATTCAAATTCAAATGCAGGTCATGCTTCGGAGAAATCCAGCGCTATCGTCCAGGACCAGCCAGGATCGACACCTGAGGGACCTCCAGATGGCGGAACGGCAGCCTGGATGACGGTTGTTGGAGGGTTTTGCAGCATGTTCGTCAGTTTTGGCTGGACTAATTGTGAGTACTGGATATTAGACTTTGTCGTGATATCGCAAAATACACCTGCTGGAAGTCTCAGATGATTAAGGCGCTGTTGCTAACATTTAATCAGGTATGGGGATATTCATCGACTACTACCAGACTCACCAGCTGAGCGACATGTCCACCAGCTCCATAACATGGGTCACATCCCTAATGACATTCATGATGTTCTTCGGGGTCAGTCTCCTCTCTCCAGCCCTAACGGAACTCCCAGCCACCATCACCACCACCATCACTCCTCAACAACACACACTAACATCATCCAACAGGGGCCCTTCGTCGGCATCCTCTTCGACAACTTCGGCCCCCGCTACATCATCCTAGCCGGCACTATCCTCCACGTCCTTGGCATAATGATGACCTCCATCTCCACCGAATACTACCAATTCCTCCTGGCCCAAGGCATCTGCAGCCCCATCGGCACCAGCGCGCTCTTCCACGCCAGCATCAACTCCATCAGCACCTGGTTCCGCCGTCGTCGCGCCCTTGCCCTGGGCATCGCCACCGCTGGCGCTAGTCTCGGCGGCGTCATCCTCCCCATCATGCTCACTCGACTCTTCCACCTCCTCAACTTCGGCTGGGCCATGCGTATCTGCGGCTTCCTGATCCTCTTCCTCCTCGTCATCACCAACTTCACCATGACTTCTCGTCTCGTCCACACCAGAAAACAATACCATCTCCGCGACTTTGTCCGCCCCCTGCGCGAACTCCCCTTCATCCTCACCACCGCCGGAACCTTTTGCTTCTTCTGGGGCATGTTCCTCCCGTTTTCTTTCATTCCCTCACAGGCTCAGCGCCACGGCATGTCTAATACCATGGCTTCGTACCTGATTCCTGTTCTCAACGCAGCTAGGTAAGCCCACCACCCAACCGATCCCAATCATACCCTTTCCCCCCACCCCAGGATAACCCGCTAACCCCCCCCCTCTCCCCCCTCCGGGGAGGACTGGAATCGCAGTATTCCAGGCCGCATAATCCCCCCTTACCTCGCGGACGTCTTCGGACGCTTCAACCTAATGATCCTCACGACGCTAGCATCTGGGATCCTTGTTCTCGCGCTCTGGCTTCCTTCTACCGGCAACGCCCCTGCCATCGTCTTCAGCGCCCTGTATGGCTTCACCTCCGGCACGGTGGTGAGTCTTGCCCCTGCGCTGGTGGCCCAGATCTCTGAGATCAGGGAGATCGGTGTGCGCAGCGGAACGTATTTCTGTATTGTTTCGTTTGCGGCGCTCACGGGGACGCCGATTGCGGGGGCCTTGTTGCCGGATCCCCTTGGGGGAAGTTATACGAAGCTTTTTATATTTTGTGCGGTGGTCATGTTCTCGGGGGCGGGGTTTTATTGTGCTGCGAAGGGGAGGATTGGGGGGTGGAGAGGGTGGTGGGGAATGAGGGTTTGATTATTGGGATTTATTATGCTTGGGGGAGGCATGGTTAGATGTGGTGGTTGGAGGGTTTATGGCAATGGTGGATGGGTTCATGAGTTATGTGCATGCATGCTTGCTGACGAAAATAGATAGTATAGTATTTCAGAGTATCTCGAACAATAAGTAATTGGCACGACACGGATAGATATCTATATAGATGCTTCGATTCAATCCTCTCGCAACTCCCAAACACCTTCGCTGTGCAGTGCAAAGCCAGACAATGATAAATGTGCACAAGAAAGCAGGTATGCTAGCAAACAAGCAACTGGAAATGTAAGTCGACAAGGTATATAATGATGTCCCAGCTCCAAAACGCAGAAACAATGCATGATGTCTGTACTGTTATACCAGAACACCGTTTCGCATGCTCTGTACACTCTTCACACCCACGCCCTTGAGCTGGCTCAGTTCGGCGAGGCTGCTGATGTGGAACCGTGCTTCTTCATCTTGATTGGCTGTGTTTTGGTCCATCTCGCATAAACAGTCAACAATAGCCTCGGCCTTCTTGACCCCCACGCCTTTCAGCAGCTTGATCTGGCTGATGTCCCGCGAATTGATGATGGAGAGGAGGTGGATTGTCCGTGGGGAAGGTGGTTGCTCGTTCATGTCGACGCTGGCGCGTTCGTCGTCTAGTGGGGACTTGGTCTTTGTGCGCTTCTTGCGTCGTATGTGAGTAATTTCCTCGATGTCTTCGTCGCTGAATTGTTCAAGGGACGCTTCAGGTTCCTCGTAGTCCGCGTCGGAGTCTTCAGCAACACGCTTGAGGTTCGTCTTGGCGGGCTGCTTCTTGATTGATAGCATACTGCCGAGTTCTCTCTTGGGGCCGGAGTGGCTGATGGTGGTGTCGGCGTCCTGACGCGGTTTACCTTGCATACGCTCCTTCAAGCTGGCAATCTTCCTGGATAGCTTCTCGTTGTCGGGGAAGTATGGGAGTGCTAGCTGGTACATCCTCAGAGCGAAGCTGTCCTCGCCACGTGCTTGGTGCTGCTTGGCCATGAGCAAGTATGACAGGCCTTCGGCCCTTGCATCTTCGGAGCCTTCGATGCGTTGTTCGAGAAGTTCTAGGCGACGCTGGACTTGCTCATTCAGTTCGCGAACCTGCGTTTGTCTCGACTGCTCACTGACGGCTCGCACGGCCAGGATTTCCTCGACTTTCTTCTCTACCATCTCTTCGATCTTGGCCGCGGTGATGTCGTCATGGTGCTTTTGAGGCTGTGTTGGTTGAGCGGGACGAGATGGCTTCGATGAGAGGCGAGAGATTTCGGAACTCAAAGAAGGCCGGGAGCTCATAGACGTGCGCTTAGGGGGCTCAGGCTTCTTGAACTGCGTGGTGGTTCTAGGGTGTGATTTATCGGAGTAGACGTGGAAGGCTTTGGCAGGCTTTTCGAGGGTCTTCGTCGTGTCTTTGGCTGCGGCAGTCAGGTTTACGTTCACTGAAGCTGTCAGAGGCCGCAGGGGTTGCCGCAGGGCTGCGATCGAAGGCCGCGACGCTGGTCTAGGGGGACCCTTGAACATTGGCTCATTTTCTACCTCGCGCACTTCGATCTTCTTCGTGCGATTGGCGAAGTTGAGCGAGCTTATTGTGTCCAGATGGTAGGACCTGACAGGCGCCAGGTTCAGGATCATCACAGTCAGTCCGTTGTTCTGTCCCAAAGACAGGATCCTCGTCATCTTCGACTCTCGATACGGTATCCTCGAGTGCTTCTTGCTGATTGCTTCGACACACTGAGCCAGTACGAAGAGGCTCTTGTTGATACTAGCAGACTCAACCATGCGTTCTTTGTCATTATCCGTCCGGCGGTTATCCTCAGAGCCAGCAAGGTCGATAGCAGATGCGGTACTGATGCGCGTTTTGTCTCCAGTAGTGACTGCGACGCGCACGCAGAGGATGGCATGGGATCGTGACGAGTGGGCGTTTAGCTAAAACTGTTAATATTTAACTTATTCCAAGAACAGCGCGGATGCAAACCTTTGTTGCAGATGTAGACCTGTTGGTATTGGCCTGGTCATACAAGATTTCGAATTCCTTCAGAGTATGGCATGGCCTCTCCGTCAAACCCACGACGACTGTCTTGCCGCCGTTGTCTCGAAGAGGTAGTCCCGCCAGCGTCCTCTTTTCGGGGGGTTCGAATAGATCGAAGACTTTGTCGTTGTAAATCTCGTAGTAGCTCAAAGATACCTTGACGGTAGTTTCCCCGTCACTGTCCTTCTCCATTTTCCGGCTGCGTCTGTAGATGCTGCTTAGGAGACGGGGAATGGCGCCACGGTCAGCCAGGCTTTTACCGCCTCGCATTGTGTGCGTCTTTCCAGTTCCTGTGACTCCATATGCGAATATCGTTACGTCGAAGCCGTTAAAGAGATGCTTGACAGTAGGAGCAACTGCGCGTTTCATCAGCATGCCGTTCCCCTCCCAGACAATTGGCGTCACAAACCCTCTGCATCGAAGAGCTCCTGCTGCGAAGCTTCCGCATCATAGACAGCATTGAACTGAAACGAGTATTCTTCGCCTTCGTTCTTGGGGTTCGGGATCCGCACGAGGTTATCTCGATCCCTCAAGGCTGCCAATGCGCCTTTCCCCTGGGAGCTTGTCTTATCGCTCTTGCCGGGCACTGCCTGGTTTGATGATCCTGTGCGTAGGATGACATCCAACTCCCGTTCCGATTTGAGGAGCGGTCGGACCCGCGCGACTACCCGGACGCTCATTGTATATGTGATATAGATCGAATTCTAAGATTATCGCCAACGGTTGGTGGATGTAGTCCCAGGACGTCGTTGTATGGTCGCTTCAAGCAGTCCGATCGAGCCCTGTTGACCAATTGATATGTCGATACTTATGACGGCATAAGAATGAGTTCCGACTAAGCGTAGAGGTAGGACCTATAGTGAGCAGCTAAACGTAGATTAAGCTGCTGTTGAAATATTCTGCACTCGTGGATCCGAGAAGTCAGGCGTTGGATCGACAACCCGCAATCCAAGCACTCCAGGCGGCAATGAGCAGGTAATTGAAGGAAATGAAACAGAAAAAAACCGCAGAAAGCAAACTGACGATGAACAGTGGGCCGATTAACTGGTGGGTAAGAGACAATATGCCCTGTGAACCGACAGGGATAGCTTCGTTGTGGTGCGACTGGCAGCGGTCAGCGTTGTTGGCACGGCAACCTCCCACGTTCGTCTACCCCAGGCATCCCACCGACCCGGTTCCGGGTGCAATATCGTGCATCGTCATGTTTTCTTTTGCTTCTTTCCTGCAGAGCCATATTGAGGAATGTCGTTGGATTCAGAAGAATGTGCTTGTGCTACTTAGTACGTTAAGTTCTTTGTTATGCCTGTGTATATCAAGTAAGTTGTGTGCTTGGAATGCTCTCTCACTCTAGAATATAAATTGGGCTACGATCACTGGCAACCCCCACTGGAATATGGCTGCATTTCTGTAGAAGCGCGTGACTACTACAGTCGTCCTTGATTTTATCTTGCGGAGCCCGAGAGATCTGGTCGATGAATATTAGAGCTCCATCAGTCTTCAAGCTCCCCATTGATAGTCATAGGGATAGAACCGAGTATAGTAATATCATCCCTGATGAGTATGAGATCATAAGCGCAAGGCAGCGACCACCACACGACTATTACTACCACCAAACGACTTACTCCATATTTCAACACAACCATTATATCGTACAACTTGTTTAGTTTGAGAGAAAGAGAGAGTATACTTGTGTTTCTTTTATTGTAAGCTTATCTATATCAAAATGGTCCATCAAAAGATGCACAATAATGGGCATCAGTGAAAGTGTTTGAGAGTCGGTTAGGCCGCGGGGAGTTGATTGGCCCAGGCGAGACAGCCGCAAAGGCCACCGTACACCATCATCCATCCTATCATCCCCCATCGTTCATCGTCGCCTTTCCGACTCCCACAGCTCCTCCCAACCCTTTCAGGACACCTCGCCTGCTCCGGAGTGTGGCATTGACGTGCTCTTCCCCTCCATTTGACACTTGTGTTCCTGCGATCCGGTAAATCCTTGGTTGTTCGTACGCCGACCTCTCTTTAGCCTTCCACTCCCCTTTCCCACCTCCCACTTCGAATGTTGACCGACGATCCAGTTAGCCAGTGACGATTTAGCCGACCGCGCAACACCCCCGAAATCGCCCTAACGAACTCTCGGGAAACCACATCTATCTCTCCTGACAGACAATAAACACACACAATCCTCTATGGCAGCACCACAAGGGGGCTACCCTCCCCAGGAAGGGTACGGTCAGCCTGCCGGTTATGGGTCTCCCGTGCAACAACCCGCGGGGTTGGCTGCTGGTGCTCCGGCCCAAGGCCAGGCTGGAAGTCGGAAGAAGCGTGTTTATGCCGGCGAAGCGTTCGACTTTGGATCTGGTGCCAATGCTGCTCTAGGAGGTCAGTTGCCCGCCGGTGGCAGCTACGGAGCATACCCGCCGCAACCACAAGCTGCGGGATACCAGCAACCTATGTATGGAGCAGACCCGACTCAGGTGCAGGCTGCGGCCCCAGGATATGCAGCGCCGGTCAGCCCTCAAGTCGCACAGATGACCCAGCAGTTTGGTGCAATGGGCATGACTGATCCGCACCTCCTGCCACCGCAGCCGGTCGCCCCAGCTCCCCAGGCTCAGGCCCCGCGGGCTGTTCCCCTCAACCAGCTCTACCCAACCGATCTCCTTACCCAGCCCTTCAATGTCGCCGAGCTCGATTACCCACCACCTCCCATTGTTCTGCCGCCCGGTGTATGTCTCTGATGTCTTCAAGTTGCGGGTAACTGGATTGCTGACTTTCCCGCTAGACCAGCGTTTACCCTTCTCCCTATGCCAACTGCCCTCCGAAATACGTTCGCTCGACCCTGAACGCCGTCCCGACCACAAGTTCGCTGCTGAAGAAGTCCAAGTTGCCTTTCGCACTGGTCATCCAGCCCTATGCAGCTCTCCATGACTCCGAAGATCCCGTTCCTGTTGTCCCAGACCAAGTCATCTCGCGTTGCCGACGTTGCCGATCCTACATCAATCCTTTTGTGACATTCCTCGACCATGGACACCGCTGGCGTTGCAATATGTGCAACCTGACAAACGATGTGCCTCAGGCATTTGATTGGGACACCGCGCTGCAGAAGCCCGCAGACAGGTCGTTGAGGCCTGATCTCAACCATTCGGTGGTCGAATTTGTTGCTCCCCAAGAATACATGGTCCGGCCCCCGCAGCCGCTTGTCTATCTCTTCTTAATCGACGTGAGCTACGCTTCTGTCACAAACGGCCTTTTGGCCACCACTGCCCGCTGCATCAGGGAGAGCCTTGACCGGATCCCGAACGCGGACCGTCGGACGCGACTGGGATTCATTGCGGTCGACTCCAGTCTCCATTACTTCAGTATTCCCCGCGATGGCTCAGAGAACTCGGAGCCCAGGATGCTGGTCATCAGTGATCTGGATGAGCCCTTCCTTCCCATTCCTGGCGATCTTTTGGTGACCCTGAGCGAGTGCCGTGAGAACATTGAGATCTTCCTCGATAAGCTGCAGGAAATGTTCCAGAACACTCAGAGCAACGCCTGCGCCATGGGATCCGCTCTGCGTGCTGGTTACAAGCTCATCTCCCCCGTGGGAGGCAAGATGACCGTGCTCAGCTCCTCCCTGCCCAACATTGGCCATGGCTCGTTGACCATGAGAGAAGACAAGAAGGTCCTTGGCACTAGCAAGGAGAGCAGTCTGCTGCAGACGGCGAACAGCTTCTACAAGAGCTTCGCTGTCGAGTGCTCCAAGGCGCAGGTCTCCGTGGACATGTTCCTGTTCTCTTCGCAATACCAGGATGTTGCGTCTCTCAGTAACCTGCCCCGCTACACTGGCGGTCAGACTTACTTCTACCCTGGGTGGAACGCTGCTCGTGGGGAGGATGCGATCAAGTTCGCTCGTGAATTTTCCGACTACCTCTCTTCGGAGATTGGCTTGGAGGCTGTGCTCCGTGTCCGCGCTACGACCGGTCTGCGCATGAACACTTTCTACGGTAACTTCTTCAACCGCAGTTCTGATCTGTGTGCATTCCCTGCATTCCCGCGTGACCAAGCATATGTCGTTGAAGTGGCGATTGACGAGACCGTCACGAAACCCGTTGTCTGCCTGCAGACGGCGGTTCTGCACACTACATGCAACGGCGAGCGCAGAATCCGGGTGTTGACTCTGGCGCTCCCTACGACGCAAAACCTGGCTGATGTCTACGCTTCGGCCGATCAACAAGCTGTTGCTACTTACTTCAGTCACAAGGCCGTTGAGCGGGCACTGAGCAGCGGGCTGGAGCCTGCCCGCGAGGCTCTGCAGACCAAGGCCGTGGAGTTGCTGTCAACCTACCGGAAGGAATTGGCTGGAGGCAGTGTCAGCGGCGGTGGTCTTCAGTTCCCTGCCAACCTAAGAGGCTTGCCAGTCCTCTTCCTTGCCATGATCAAAAACGTAAGTCCCTGCCAAAGAAGGTTGTATGTTCAATCGTGATTGCTAACACCGATTAGCTTGGTCTTCGGAAATCCGCGCAAATACCCACCGACATGCGCTCTGCTGCCCTCTGCTTGCTTTCGACGCTCCCCCTTCCTCTCCTCATGCAGTACATCTACCCTAAGATGTATTCCCTTCATGACATGCCCGACACTGCCGGATTGCCCGATGAGCAGACTGGCGAGATTCTTCTCCCTCCCCCGATCAACCTTTCATCCGAGCGCATTGTTCCCTATGGTCTCTACCTCATCGATGACGGCCAGACGCAGTTCCTGTGGGTTGGACGCGATGCGGTGCCTCAGCTGATCGAAGATGTCTTTGGCCTGCAAGACAAGTCGCAACTCCGCGTAGGCAAGCAGAACCTGCCGGATGTGGACAACGAATTCAACCAGCGGGTGCGGGCGGTGGTTGAGAAGAGCCGGGATCACCGGTCGAAGGGCGTGGGCAGCATTGTGGTGCCACACCTGTATGTGGTGAAGGAGGATGGAGAGCCTGGACTCCGCTTATGGGCGCAGACCATGCTGGTTGAGGACCGTGCTGACCAGAGCGTCAGCCTGGTGCAGTGGATGGGCTCGCTGCGGGAAAAGGTTTGATCACCCCATTTTATTTTCCCCCATAAGCGCTCTACCTCCGCCGGCATTCGACACCTCGTTCCACATACTTGGGAGTCAGATCGGGCTGACGAGCTTGAACACGCCTACAGGTTGTTCAGTAATGATAAGCTTCTAATCGAGTTATCCTTGTTCCTTTTCCTTTGTGTTGGTAAATTATACGGAAGAAATTCCACCATACATTCCCCATGGATTATGCTGTCTGTTTGGCGATGTGGTTTGTTGTAACTTAACCGTGCTGTTGTTGTTAATGGGAAGAAAAATGGAAGGCAAAGCACTTGCCCATGGTTCTCTTCATACAGTATCTACTACTCCGGAGTAGTCAAGTATATACTTCTAACCCTGCGCTTCGCTCCATAAAATAAAAGTCTCTATATTCTATACTTAGTAGTTTCAACATCATCCCTCGGCAGTGGTCATCTCCTCTCCCTCCCGAAATATACCCGCATGTGCCATCACACCGACAGGGCACTGACTTCCCTTCCCGTCCACACACAGTGCTTGTCCCCACTTGCTTTAGTTAAGTAGTACTTGGATGGTTACTAGATAGTAGAATAGTCTGACATCCCTCCCGTGCCAGAAGTTAGGGAAAAGAAAAACAAAACAAGGTTCCCCAATCACTGCTTTCAAACTAAGAATTTACTACGGAGTATGAGCCTGTGACATGCACCATAAACTTCAGATCACAGCATGGAATGGCGCAGGGCTGGACGAATCGGGTGGGCAGAATGGCTTACTTGCCGCGGGAAGGGCACGAAGTACGAGCAAGACATGACTATGTCGACTACTAGACTACTACCCAAGGAGGGGGACGGGTAGGGAAAATGTGACGAGTTCTGGTAAACTAGTTTATGTGGTGAGATGAAGTAAAGTAGCGTAGTGTGATTTGATTGATGGATGGGGGGGTATGTACTGCGCCTCCCTTCCCTGGTCAAATTTACCTGTGCGGGCAACCAAGTAGATAGGTAGGTAGTAGTTACTAGTTAGTGTGAAGGAATGTGATTAGCAGACACACACACAGAGAGAGAGTTGGTTGGAGCTGGTGGTGGTGGGGGGGACTGAGTGTGAAACGGAGGGTTGGGTTGCGGTTTGGCGCCGTGGCGGTAGACTAGACACCTAAATAGTAGTATCTATCTATGGAGTAAAGTGACTGGTAGGTGTGTGTCTCGTCTGGGCGGAGAAAAAGGCGTTGAAACACTGGTCGAGACGTAGCCTCAGAAGTTAGAGGAGGGGGGGAGGGGCCCATTCTAGGGGGATTGACGGCCACGTTAAAATGACAGGATGTAAGGAGGGACCAAGTTGATCGACTGTGAGGCTGTTGTGAGTGATGGGTCTGCCTTTCTCCTACTTGATGGAGTAGCTAGTTGGTGAGTTGTACGGAGGACTCATTTCGAATTCTTGGAAGAGTAAGTAGTAGTGGTTAGTATGGGGTTAGTTTGGGTAGAAGGAGGGGGCCAGAATGGTATGGAAAGGGTAAAAGGTGAGATGAAGAGATGAAAGACGAGTTTGGGATTGATGGGAGATAGATGGATAGTAATGGAAATGGTGTATAGTTTAATCTATAGACAATCAAGATAAATAGATCTCTTTCATGAAGAAGAAGATGATAGTTAGTGATTGATGATGGCGATGTTCCTGGTGGGAACTGAAGTGTGGGAAACACTGGATCAGGCACGCGTACCGTACCGTAACCAAATAGTTGCTAACCAGCTGGTCTGTCCTCGCTGCCAGCTTCTTCAGGCAACCGGGGAACTTGGATCTTCTTCCCCTCCAACTTGACTGGATGGGATGGAATTTCCCTTAAGTTTCGGTCTCTCCCACTGGTGGGTGTTGTTGTTGGTGGTGGTGGTTTCTCCATTGTTGGCTCAAGTGCTATATTTATCAATTTCACTACTCCCCTGGGTCTTCAAACTTCCCTAAACTACGACTACTACAGCTTGTGGCTTATCTGCTATCGAGTGTCGTTCCCTGGGTCGGTGCCTTCTATCGATAACTTGCTCCACGTTTTCCGGGTCCTCTTCAACAATCCCGAGATTTGGTAGGTTCTTCCCCCTCATCTGTTGTGTCTTCAAAGAGAGGCCACGCATTCACTGAGCAAGAACACTTGTTCACCTCTCTCTTTCTCTTTTTATCGTGATCGCTATTGTTGTTCGTGTTATTGATGACATACCTTTGCTATTCATCTCCCTCATCATCTTTCATCTCTCCCTCTCTTCTTCTTCTTCCTCCTGCCCCACCCCACTCTGGCCGATCCGCGCCCGGTTTATTAACTTCCAACTACGTACGCTAGTCTCCTCATTGTGTCCTACTACTGCCTTCACTATTGCTCTGTGTCTCTCCATCCCCTCTCCACATCTCTCGAACTGCTCCTGCTGTCTTTTTTCCCTCCTCTGCGCTTACTCTTCTGTTTCCCCCCTCCGATCTGCCCCTGGTGTGTTTCCACTGTCCATTCGAGAAAGCTCAAAGAACCCTTTGAAACTGACTCGCGGTTGCATAGCGCAAGCTACGAGGGAGACACCATACAACGGAATTAAAAATAGAACGGAACTGTGAAACGCCAGACGGAGTGTGAAAATAGCTCCTCAACATTGGTAAGTCCATCTCCTTTTCAGCGACGTCTTTCCTCTTGACCTGGAGTATTACAAAAGGTTCTCTTCGCTCGTGCTGGATCGGTTCATTGACATCCTCCAGTTCCTTTTCAGGTCATCACATACATCCACCGCACGTCCTTGCTGAGCGGTTCGCCCGGCCTGCCTCACGACCAACCGCCCCTGGTTCCCGAATCTACATTGAATCCCTCCCATCCCGAACGTACAGGCGCCTCCGGAACTCCTGGCGGCTACTTGCGGGTCCTCCGTGGTTTCGATTGCAGACGCGCTGTACCCCGCTTCCGATCCTTGACAGCTCCCGAACGACTGTCACTCGTCTACCACTCTCGCCCTAGCATGCGCATTGGCGGTTATTAGCCCCCCCAACATAACCAACATCAATTGAGAGCCCTCCTGTAAGCGCTAGCCTGGTATCTGTTGCCTGAACATGTGGTGGGTCGCGGTGTTACTCAATAGGCCATCTTGTTGCATGTGACGGGCCTACCTTGTCACTTCACTCAGGTGTCATGGGGTGTGATGAGATAGTCTACTGAGTACACGACCCAACACAACTGAATGCAGCAGATACGCTCATTGATTTCAACTGACACTTGATAGTTCACAAACCGCAATTATGGTGCAGCAAATGCCTCCTCAAGGGGGGTCGCGAAAGATCTCTTTCAACGTTTCCGACCAGTATGAGATCCAGGATGTCATTGGTGAGGGGGCTTACGGTGTTGTATGGTGAGTTTGCTCACTTGCTCAGCGTGAGTGATAGCAGCATACTAATGAACCGAAGCTCTGCTATCCACAAGCCTTCTGGCCAGAAGGTCGCCATCAAGAAGATCACCCCCTTCGACCACTCGATGTTCTGTTTGCGGACTCTGCGTGAGATGAAGCTGCTGCGCTACTTCAACCATGAGAACATCATTTCCATTCTGGATATCCAGAGGCCTCGGAATTATGAGAGCTTCAACGAGGTGTATCTGATTCAGGTAACGCTCATTGTCATTAATTCAGCGAAGATTGGACTGACGGATCCAGGAACTGATGGAGACGGATATGCACCGGGTCATTCGTACCCAGGACCTCTCCGATGACCACTGCCAATACTTTATCTACCAGACCTTGCGTGCGCTCAAGGCCATGCACTCCGCCAATGTCCTCCACCGTGATCTCAAGCCCTCCAACCTTCTCCTCAATGCAAACTGCGACCTGAAAGTCTGCGACTTTGGTCTGGCCCGGTCAGCCGCATCAACCGACGACAACTCTGGATTCATGACGGAATACGTCGCGACACGGTGGTACCGTGCCCCGGAGATCATGTTGACATTCAAGGAATACACCAAGGCGATCGATGTCTGGAGTGTTGGATGTATCCTGGCGGAAATGCTGAGTGGAAAGCCGCTCTTCCCCGGAAAGGACTATCACCACCAACTGACTCTGATTCTTGATGTCCTGGGCACGCCAACTATGGAGGACTACTACGGCATCAAGTCTCGCCGGGCTCGGGAGTACATTCGCTCATTGCCCTTCAAAAAGAAGATCCCCTTCCGCGCAATGTTCCCCAAGAGCAACGAGCTGGCGCTGGACCTTTTGGAGAAGCTTCTGGCGTTCAACCCTGCGAAGCGTATCACTGTCGAGGAGGCGTTGCGTCATCCGTACCTCGAGCCGTACCATGACCCTGATGACGAGCCGACGGCGCCCCCGATTCCCGAAGGCTTCTTTGATTTTGACAAGAACAAGGATGCACTCAGCAAGGAGCAACTGAAGCGTAAGTAAACCGCATCTGCATTCGAGACTCTTTACTGACATGCGCAGTCCTGATCTACGAGGAGATTATGCGGTAAAGGCTTCACGAGTCGATGAATGCAATTGATATACCACCCGACATGGAACGAAGGCAGAGCCTGACATGATGGACGGAGTTGGCTTAGCACATACCCATGGATGCATAGAGAACAGGCCGCGGCACCAGGCGCGCTGGCCTTGTACGCAGTAATATATTGAATAGCCCAGTTGTGAGGGAGTCATGACTGCAGCATCTCGAGATTGTTGTTGATGTTGATGTGGAAGCGGCGTGCAGTTTCAGCGATAGTCCAGCTTGAATATACATTACGTTAGCGATTCATAGAGTGGCATGAACCTTTAAGCTAAGGGTATCTACACATGCTGATATCTTACACTCCTCTCTTTCTAAGTCTACAAAGAAAAACCATCAAGATAGATTCTTCTTCTCCCTCATGAACCTCTCAATCCCCTCTCCCACTCCCTCCGGACTCGGCCTCTCCGCACAAACATCCGCCTCAAACCCAAATTCCTTCCTCAAATAATCCCTCGTCGTCGGCCCAATCGTCGCAACAAAGAAACTTCGATCACCCTTATCCCCCCAATCACCCTTACCACCCTTATTATCAAAATATCCCAACCCCCTCAACATCCCCTCACACCCCGTCGGCGAAAACACCACCACCCACACCACCCTATTACTATCACCCTTCATAACCTCCCTCTCCCGCTCAACAACCCCCCTAAACTCCCCCTCAAACCCCTCCATCACCCCCGTCTCATACACAACCACCTCATCCACACCAATGCGTTGTTCCGGGACAAGCTCCGAGCTCATAAGTGTCCGCGGGATAATATCCCGTCGTTGCTCGCCAACAAGGAAAAGCAACGGTGGCTTCGACACATCCCCATTAGTGTCTGACGGGGTAGTAGTGTAGAGAGAATTATAATGTTGGAGAATGAACTTCGCTAATGCCTCTCCATTCCCTGTATCCGCGCCGTGGATGCTCGCGTGCGGTAAATAGGTGTTCACGATGGTGGTCAGGGAGCGGTGGGTTGCGGGCCCGACGGTGTAGATTGGGAGGTTTGTGGAGGAGGAAGCTATTGTTTGTTTTGCTGAGGGGTCTGGTTTTGTTATATATATGTGTTAGTGTTTGTTTCTGGTTATGTGGTGTGGTGGTGGTGGTGGGGTAGGGAATACATACCATCATCAAGTTCGGCAAGTACTCTGCCGAAGCCTTCGACTGCGCGCTGGCTGGTGAAGATTAGGCCGCCGTATTTTCGAGCATGGTGTTTATCTTTATCTTGGGATTGGGGAGGGAGGAGGGCTCCGGAGGTGAAGAGCGCGCGGATGGAGCGTAGTCTCTCGGTGTGGAAGTTGTGCGAGAGGACCGGGATGAAGGTGGGATTGTAGTCGCTGGTGGGTTGGTGGAAGTAGTCGGAGTAGTTGTCGTGGGGGGTGGATTTGGTTTTGAGCAGGATGATGGGAGGTTTATTGGTATTCTCTGGGGAGGTCATTATGTATGAGTGTTTTTGTCTGGTGGTGGTTGTGGGTGTAGGAGGAGTTGTTGTGGTGGTGAAGTGGGATGGATGGATATCCGGATGCGGAGATGCCGCGGCTATGCTTCTACTGAGTAATACCACTACACTGTGACAGAACAAACGAAATTTGGGTCTAGTAGGTTATGTACACTAAAAAAACAGACTACTGATCGTCGAGAACGTGCAGGTACTTCTTCTCCTCCTGTCTCTCGCGCTCCGTGGCCGGAGGGAGATCGTAGTACGAGGCGCTACGGTAGCCCAGCTGTATCCAGTTAGCTTGATCCGAAATACTGTTTATAAGGGTATGCTTACCAGGTAGTGGAAGGTCAGAGTGCTGAGCTCGACAGGCTCAATGTCGAGGTCCTTGAACGTCTTGGCGTTGGGGTCGATCACCTGGTCGATGAACTCACGCTCCACCTCGTCGGCGGAGATGGTGGGCCACCAGAGGAACTTGTTCAGGTAGTGCGCCAGAGGCTTGAGGATGGCCTTGGGCACGTTGACGTGACGGCGGTGCTTGACGATTTCGCGGTCGACCAGCTCGGCAATCTCGGCGGTGGAGTAGTTCTTGGGGCCGTACAGCTCGAAGGTCTGACCGACGGTGCTGTCGTCGTGCAGCATGCGCTCCAGAGCAGTACCGACATCAATGGCCTAAGCATGTTAGCATCAATCCTAACAAAGTCGACCTCTTAACCTACGTGGACGGGCCAGTAGCGCTCCTGCATGTGGTTCGATGTGAGGAGGTTGGTCACGCGAGCGAGCTTGTGGAGGAGGTTGTCCTCGAAACCGAACATGGGCGCAGGGCGGACAATGGTGGTTTCGGGATAGATGTTGCGGACGATCTCCTCACCCCAGGCCTGCGAAAATCAGTATGAGCGTAACCATTGCGGATCAATCCACGGACCTTGGTCGCAAAGTACTCGGAAGGAGAATCCCGGCTGGCGTTGTAGGAAGAGACGTGAATGAAGCGATCAACGTCGTACTTGGCGACCGCCTCAACGATGCGCTCAGTACCGTCGACGTGGACGTCAGTGTAGGAGAAGTTCCTGCGCGATTATTAGCAGCCGGCGCTAGTATCATGCCCGTGTATAACTGACTTGGTGGGATATTGACGGCCGACAAGGTTGTAGACGACATCGGAATGGCGGACAGCCTCCTCAATGGACTGGGTGTTGCGCAAATCGTATTCCTAGACCACGATTAGTGGGCCAAGCCAAACCACCCAATTGCTGACGGATTATCATACAATGAAGTTGACACGACCAAGGTCACCAGTGACCTTTAAGTGTCTCTTCGTCATCTCCTCACGGTAGGGGACGACAACGGTGCATCCCTGCGTAGCTGGATGGCGTCAATTCCTGTGCTCCCTTCCGACCAATTGACCAACATACCGAGCTTGTTGACGATGTAACGACCGAGGAAACCAGTAGCACCGAAGACGGTCGCGGTGTGACCTAAAGAAGAGCAATTTTAGCCATCTGGCAGCGTGAGACCGGCGCGGGCAGAAGAGGGATATGTACCTCCCAAAGAGGACCTGTAGCAGAGACTAGTCAGCATCGCGGAGCTCCATAACAACGGCAATGCGCCTTACCGGCCACCCTGGACCTTCAGAATCGGCTTTCCAGTTCTAGTGATCGCGACATCCTGAAGATTCCGGCGCTGAATCTGGAATCGGATCTTAGGAGCGGGGACAAATGCCCTGGCGCCCATGGCGGAATTGACGGCCCGGGACGTCTGCATGGTCTCAATTCTGGATATGAAACGGATGAGACCACCGAACTGCGTCCGGATCGGTGTTTCAATGGACAATGGTGAGGAGAGGGGAGAGAGCGTAGCTCGACGTCAGGACTTGTACTGCAGCTGGTCGAAAGTCGTGGTCCCGAATATCCTGGAGTTGGCACGGGACTTGGCGCTAGTCCCGTTTCGGACAGCACCCTCGACCCTTCAATTGTTGGCCAACTCTTTCCCAGTTGTTTCAAGGACAATTCAGAGATCAAGTTAGTACCTAAATGAGTAATTCTTTCATTCATCACCCTCTACTCGCATATCTAGCCAAGATGGTGTTGTTGTGGCCGTCACTGCAATTTACACCGGAGCGCGTCTGACTATTAAAAGCCTCTGATTGGTTGCTAGGCGCTCATAATCGTCATGTCGAGATGCAAATGAATCTACGCCTGACAACCAAGAACTACAATGTCAATTGCTGCAGAAGTAGTGATTTTTGAACATCGCTTTGCTACTGAATGAACGGGGCACTTGTCGTATCGCATTATTAAGCCATCACCAAGACATGAGCAGCTATTCCATCGGTATCACGCACGCTGCCCACGAGCAATAAATATGGTCTTTAAATGCTCTTTTCCGTCCTTGCGAAATACAACCTGCTCCTTCGAAATATCATATTTGAAGCCCATCCCAAGCCCTGCTCCTCCGTATAGCTGCTGTATCTGCTCCGTGGTAAACCCGTGGCTTTTGACCGTATGCTCAGCATCGCCAAAGCCATGCTCAACCTTGTGACAATGGCCATGGTGGTGATCGTCTGGCACAATGTCGACGATAACGCACACACCACCTTTCTTCAGACGTTCACTAAAGCGGGCCATGGCTAATTCTGGTCTCTCAAAGTGGTGGAGGGCCATGCTGACAACCACGAGATCAAAGTCAAAGTACTCGGGCCCTGAGAGCTCTGCCGGAGCAGTCTCAGCCAGAAGGTCACCCTTGAGCGCGATAATCTTGTCTCCATAGCCCGCTTCTTCGGCATTCTTGTTGTACTCGCTAATCATATTATCTGAGACGTCGAGTCCAACGATTTTCGACACAAAAGGTGCCAATGTCTTATGGAATCAGCTTGCGGTTCATGACAGGGCTGCTTCAACAGGAAATCTAGTAAGACATAGTGACTTACCAAAGACACAGGCCCAGTCCCACATGCATACTCTAGCATCTTAATCTCTTTCCCCTTTCCAGCCTCCGTGTTGACCCATGCATCACTGATCCAGGGACGGTGACCATCCACTAGCCTGCAAATAAATTCCAGGACACTCTTGAAGTCGTTGGTGTAGGACTTGGCCAACTTGCTGTAGATTGTGAGACACATGATCAATAAAACTAAAGATGGGTGTGCACATACTCAAAGTACTGACGATTCCTCTCTGTGTGCTCTGCGTGCTCTGCCATGTTTAGATAGAGAGTCGACTTAGGTATTCACAGTATAGGTATGTATGAATGATTAATTGATCAACTGCCGCTTGGAAAAGATCTTGGGATGACTACGAGAAAGGAGGAATACGGGTGTAGAGAGCCATATTTATAGCTTGCTTGACCATGGCTGAGCAGACTGACTAGGAGCTGACAGTAGGCAAGTTCGGAGACATATCGGATACTTCTTGTAAACCATCCAATGTCGTCGTCAGGTTAACTCCTAAAGCGGCAAAGATCAGGCCTCTCCAGCTAACACGCTCGCGGAAGGACCAGCAATTTCTGCCCAATGATTTGATTGGATACGCTACTTCTCATCCTAAGTGAAGCCGGAGAAGTCGCGGTATAGTAGACGGAAGATGATGTAGGATGTCATGTGCCTCACCGCCCGAGCTCGACGGCGCTGCATCACGACCAGCTCCGCTTCCACTTCAGATCAGCTTCCCTGCCTCCATCTCCCCCCCATTACGTCCATTCGCCTTCTCACTCCCTCCGATCTTTTCATCCATCACATTTCAGACCTCACGCCGCATTTCATAATCCTCCTCCATCATGGAGAACCAACGGATCTCCGATTTCCTTGCCGACCAGCTGCAGCAAGCTCCCGAGCAATGCCAGGCCTATTTCCTGAGCTTCGAAGATTACTGGGAACGCAAACTATGGCATCAGCTTACGGATTCCTTGATTGAGTTCTTCCGTCTACCAGAGAGTGCAGCTCAGCGACTACCGATATTCAAGAGTTTCGTCCTCAGCTTCGCCGACAGAATCAATCAGCTCAAGTTCGTCTCGCTGGGGTTGATGGCGTCAACAGAATGCTCAAGTTCGTATCCCAGCTATCGCTCGCTAGAGCTTTCGCAATACAAATCCATCGCTAACACTACTGCAACAGATGACCAAGAACGCCTCACCTTCCTCACATCGCTGGCAGACAAAGTGAACAAGCCCGAGTCACAAGATGCTTACATCTACGCCCTCGCGGATGTCGCCAACGTCAAGCAACGGCTACAAGACCTGAACGGTGCGCAGAAGGACCTGGAGACATGCCAGAAAGTGCTGGACACGTTCGACTCCGTAGAGACCGTGGTGCACGCCTCCTTCTACAAAGTCAACGCGGACTACTACCACGTATGTTCCCCCCGCACCTGCCACCTAGAACTCACTAACCGTTCTCCCCCCCTTCTACAGACCAAACAAGAATTCGCCTCCTTCTACAAGAACGCCCTCCTCTACCTCGCCTGCATCAACCTCGAGGATCTCAGCGAAGCCGAGCGCGTCTCCCGCGCATACAACCTCAGCGTGGCCGCGCTCGTCTCCGACACCATCTACAACTTTGGTGAACTACTCCTGCACCCGATCCTGGACTCCCTCACCGAGACACCACACAGCTGGCTGCGCGAGCTCCTGTTTGCCTTCAACCGCGGCGACTTGACCGCCTACGACGTCCTCGCCGGAAACATCTCCAAGAACCAGCTGCTTGAGCAGCACCGCATTTTCCTGTACCAGAAGATCTCCCTGTCCGCGCTGACGGAGATGGTTTTCCGCCGGCCCCCGCACGACCGCAACCTGACTTTCTCGGCTATCTCCGCCGAAACGAAGGTCAAGCCCCAGGAGATCGAACACCTCATCATGAAGGCCCTGTCGTTGGGTCTGCTTAAGGGTGCCATTGATCAGGTGGCTCAGGTCGCCCAGATCAACTGGGTTCAGCCGAAGGTGCTGGATATGAAGCAGATCGAGGGCATGCGGAACCGTCTGAGGGATTGGGATGCTGGTGTCAACCAGCTGGGTCACTGGATCGAGGGCGTTGGAAAGGATGTGTGGGCTGCATAGGCCCCCTTTTTCCCTTTAATTAAATCGCCTTCTTTTTCTTATGATTGGTCCTGTCCTGACTTGGGTAAAAGAGTTACCTTACCATGCATGTATGTACGAACAAGTACTAGAACCTCATTATAATTGAGATCTACGAAGCCCTCCCTAGCTCGCTACACTCACATTCCGACAAAAACGCCTGATATAATATAATTCAGCCTATACATAAATGCATGCCTAGTATAATACAAAAACGGAAGAAGAAATAACTAATGATCTATCCATCCTTACCCACCCAACCTTCGTAGTAAGATTTCTACCCATCAAGAACCGACCGAACCACAGGTTCATGACTCTTGATCCAATCCCCCAAACATACTCAACCCATTCGATCAACAAGAAAACAACGAAAACCCCACCAACGCACACCCAGCTACCCACGCAGGCCACCAAACACACCAAACAACGACCTGCGTCCACACGCCCCAAACATCCCATCCGAAAGCGGCCTGCGTCAAGACCGTCTCGACATCAGCCCCGAAGTACCAGCACGCCGCGAGCAGAACAACAGGTGGGGAGAGCAAATTCAGTAGCGCCAGAGCCAGCGTACTGAGGATGTATCTGAGGGGACGGGAGGTGGATTGCGGGTTGATGCGATGGATGAAGCTTAGAGGGGCGCAGAGGAGGCCGACCATGAAGGAGAGGGAGAAGTTGAGGGTTGCGAGGGTGGAGAGGAAGAGGCCTAGGATGAGGAGAGAGAAGGATTTGATGAGGTGGTAATGTTGCGGGTGGGGAGTTAGGGTGTGCGATAGGGTGGCGGATAGGAGAAGGGGAAGGATGAGGTTTGCGAGGATGCTGGTGTAGGTTGCTGTTTCGTAGTACTGGGGTGGTGGTTAGTGGGAGTTTAGATTGATGAGAGGGGTTTAATGGGGGTACGGACCTGATGGGGGATGTTGTTGAAGATGTAGAGGGGAATTAAACCGAGGAGGTGGAGGCCGACGACTAGGGTGAGTGGGAGGGCCAGTTGACGTTCTATGATGTTGTTGCTGGTGTCTGGTTTCGCGGGTGGTGCTTGCTTGTCGTCGCGCTTCTCAGTAGTTGTAGTTGCAACTGGTTCATTAGTGGACTTTGAGGCTTGCTGGGAGCCAGGGTAATAGCCTGTCCGGAGCCAGAGGGCGATTGCCATGATGGTGAAGTTACCGGCAATCAGCATCGCGCTGGGGAGGTATGTACCAATGCTGACGAACCGATTGGTCTGCATGAGAAGGTAGAAGAAGAAACTCTGGTGCAGATGCTCGAGGAGGTTATTCAGACTGCGGCAAAGACTCTCGACTGTGCGGCCCAGCGCCATCTCATCCTGCCAGCCCTCGCCCTTCGTCTGGAGAGTGATAGCATCAATGTGATACGGCATGAAACTGCTGTGAGGACCCGTGGCATAGCCAAAGCCCTGCTTCACCATTCCTCTCATGATGGTCTGCAACCGCATCTCGTAACTATCATCGTGATCCCACATCTCTTGCAGATTGGTCCCGATGCCCATCTGCCCACCGGTAATGGATATAGCCGTGTTAAACAGATCCAAATTGGGCAACTGGCCATTGACGCCGTCGTAGAGAATATGCAGGGACTCGAACCGATGGTCAAACGGATATTCGACCACCAAACCTCCCTGCAAAGCACCGCTCTTTAAGGGAAGGGGTTGCACAAACGCCGGCTGCATATCATGGTATGCGTCAATCCACGCCTGAGTACCTGCCTTACTGTCCGGCGGGAACAAGAAGATGATATCCTTCGACCACAGCGACCACCCTATTCTCCTTCCAATTAGCAAACCATACCACATCTCATAATCACCAACGAAGGGAGCCACCCACGCTTAAAGTACCTCGCCAGCGTCAGCGCAAGCGTAACACCATTCAGATTCAGCTCATCCTCCACCGTCTTCCAAGCCGCCACGAGCACAATAGCTTCGGTGGCATCTCCACGCGGCGCCTGAATGATAGCGTAGACATTCTGACCCTGATGCGTGATCCCTGACGACGTGTATTCGTAGTTCTGCGTAGCAACTTTGAGACCGGTAGCTTTCAGAATCGATTGAATCTTATCCGACACCCTAAGCAGCAGCGCATCTTCTGTCAGCAACATGATCCCATCCATTCAGCGTGTACGCCATTCGCGGCGGTGCGGAGCTCCAGCAACATACGCAGGAGTAAAGGCATCGTTCCACGCTTCCTGTCCCTCGCCAGTCTGTCCTTCAAGCACCCCCTCTAGCTCCTTCTTGTACCCGCGGAAGATGTGCTGCTCGCTACCAGAGAAATATGCGTGGACTTGACCCGGCAGGAGCGCGTTCTCGGAGATGTAGGTCTGTCGGGAGTAATCGTTGAGGGGGAGAAGGAGGAGCCATATAACGCCGGCGACGATGCAGATAAAAGAGAGGATGTGCGGTAGGTGCACGAAGAGGAAGTGAGGATTACTCCGCACTTTGCGGATCGCAGCTGTTATGGGTATCTGTCAGCGTGGTCTGGTCTCTTTTGAGGTGTCCTTCGCGACAATCCGGGGTAAGGTGAAGGGTGAGTAGCACGGAGATAGAGGGGGCAAAGGGGGAATGGGGAGAGCAATATCGTAGACAAAGCTTCAGAGTAGCAATAAAAAGTATCTTACATTTCAAGGCCATGGGATCTGAAGCATTCGAGAACCATATCCCATGGTGATGGTGGTGCTTGATCGGGGCAAGATGTCTACCGCCGCTACGGAGCACTAATCGATCTGCCCGCAAATTTACGTCAACCGCTATAGACCACCTGCACAACTTCCCCTAGATTCAGTATTATTTGCTTTCCCCGCAAAAATTGCGAGTCACTATTGAATGCTGTATAATGCTAATTAAATATGCACAAGAATGTAACCATTTAGGTATAGCGTTAGTCCTTAGTCCTCACGGACCAAGGCGTTGCGATGAGCCGAGGAAGCTCATCGGGGTTCCCCTTTCTCCGCCGGTGGTAGTCGTTGGAAGGACACCATAACGGCCGTACGTCTTCTGATCCACTGACACATAGTGTGGCAGTCTACCGAGCAGGTTGAGTTTACCTTCAATCCATCTCAAAACCTTCTCCGGGGGAACGAAAATTTTGAGGACCCCGAGGCCGACTGTCGAGCAGATTAGCTGCGAACGGAGGTCTACAGAAGACCAATTACTTACGCAAGTATCCAACCAGAATAGCGCAGAGATGGCCAAGGAAACTGGTGTTAGGTACAAGGATCGAGACAAGAGCGCATGCGAACAGGGGCGACGTCCATGTGGGAATCTTGGTCGATCCGAGACTGAAGCTGTATTAGTCGGGAACTCTGAAGCAGACTCGTGCTCGAACATACCTAAAGTAGGGGTTTGATTTAAAGGTCCGAATGGCCTCGGAACCCAGGAGAAGGAAGACCCAGATACTAAATACCCATTAGATACCATCTCACAACCCGGAGATGCTACAGAACACTCACCTTGAACCCACAACGGCAGTGTTTCTATGCAAAACAAACTTCTCAATCAGAATATAAATGCCTGCAGGGAGCGTAGAGAGAGCTAAGCGAGAAGCAGACATCCGTTAGCACATCCACTCATCCATCCCAGAGCACTCCAAGAAGCAACTTACGCCCAATAAATAGCGCAACGGCGGTCAATGTGCCATGCTCGGCCTCAAAGCGCTCCAACAGGGGAGTAAGCGCCAGGATATTCAAGAAGGCATGGAAGAATCCCAAGTGGATGAAAGGATAGGTGTTAAGACGGTACACTATCCTAGGAGTCAGAACCTGGCTGTACTTGCAAGGCCACGTGTGCCCGAAGAGACATACTGGTGCCGAATCCAACCTCCTCCGGTATCACGGAGCCCCATTGTACCACGCTCCAAATTGTCTGCAGCTCCAGCAGCCAGAAAACAATGATCGCTAGAAGCACGAGCCGGGTGAAAAGCGGTAGGCGGAGGACGTAAGATCGTACCCTGGACGGGTTGAAGGGTAGCGGCGGAAGTGCGGCGGGAGTGGCCATAGTGGAGGGCGAATGGCCGTAGCAAGACGATATGTCAAGGCAGTGAGTTACAACTGTATTATAAAGGTCGATAGTATCGAAGGGGAGTCAATCAATGAAGGCGACGTGGAAGTCGAGGGTGTGATGCACGACACGGGACTGGCGGAGTCTAGGGAGCAATGGATTGGCGACAAGGGCTTAAGAACGTCTCGTACTGTAAGAGAAAGGAGCGAAATCGGGTAGGACAATTCGAGAAATAGTATTTCTCTTGGTTTTGATGAGGGACCTAAGGGCTGTAAATTATTGGCAATGACTCGTTCTGAAGCCACGGGATGCAATGCACGCAAACTCCGGTATACGCGACGGGAATTGAGCCAAGACGAAACAGGCCAACGGATGGAACTCAAACAGCGCAAAGAGATAGCGGGAAACAATAATCTAGAAGAAGGCCAGACAGCCCCAGGGAAGAGAGCAGAGGCACTACTTTAGTGCTTTCCGGGGGTGGCTGGATCTGGTTGCTTTTAAATGAAGGCTGATCTGGTCTCGCCTTTTCTCTTCCAAGCGCGGATCCTCCGGGGTCACGTGGCAGATAACGCTTATCGTTCCTTTGTGCTCTACATCACCTACTTCTCTTCACAGTATTTTATATAGCCTTGATGGATTTTCAGAAATATCATGCCTCATACCGGTTCATTATTTAACTAATGGTAACATGTACATAAGAAGCCGCTAATTCTCTATTCTCTACCGCACGCATTTACAGGTACTGCTTGAACCAGTTGACGGCCTGGCAGAAAGCCTGCTCCTTGGACCACTTGAAGTGGGGGACGCTCAGGTCAGCGCGAACAGCGAAGCCGTGGGAGACACCGCTGTACAGGTTGATCTGCCAAGGCTTGCCAGTCTTGATGAGGGTCTCCTCAGATTCGTGACGGAGCTGGGTGGTGAAGATGTTGTCGATTTCTGTTTGAAACCAAGTCAGCATGCGGGACCTCGCACGCGTTGCAAGAGAGGATTCCACTTACGAGCAGCAGCAATGGACAGAGGGCCCTGAATGGCGCCGAGCTCCTCGTGGGTGACGAAAGAGGGGTGAGCGTTGAAACCAACGTCGATCTGGCCGTCCTTCATGAAGCGGCAGACGTACTGGAAACGAGCCTCATTAGCAAATGATCGCAGAATACCTTTTGGAGAGTGGGTTCCAACTTACCTTGGCACCGAAGCAGTAACCGACAGCGCCGATGCGCTTAACGCCCAAGTCTCCCTTGATGTACTTGATGGTCGACTCGACAATGGGGTCGACGTTGGCGGGCTGGTGGTTAGGGAACCAAGCGCCAATGTCGAACTTGCCGGACTCCATGGCGACGGGGTCGATGGCGTCGCCGCTGAACAGGTCGGGGAGGACACACAGGTATCCGTTGTTGGCGAACTCATCGGCGAGGAGCTTAGCATTGTTGAAGAGACCGAAGATGTCGCTCAGGAAGAGGACAGCCTTCTCGGGGGTCTTGTTGTCCTTGGGGTAGACAATGTAGGTGTCGACTGTTTGCAGAAGACGTTGTTAGAAGAGAGGTACGGTCCTGGATGGAAAGATCCAGTCGGATAACATACTGTTGTTGATCTTCTTGACTTCACCGACAGGGGTGCCTTCGTGCTTGAAGCCCTGGGCACAGCAAGCTCCGGGAGGGTTAGAGGCCATGGTGACGGGTGGTTAGGTTTGGGGTATTGATGGGAAGTATAGACAAGGGGTATATGGAACAGTTCTAGTGACAAGGATGTCAAGGGAGGGAATGGCGACTAGATATATCCACAGGGCTTTGCCTCAAATGAGCAGCATCCACCGTGAACCGTCTTCTTTCCCCAAAAAATGCCCCTCCCCACTTGTTGCCCCTCATCCCATTACTAATGCCTGAATGACACGGTAGGATGTCCGACACCGCCAATCAATTAAATTTTACATGATATTCAATTGCATATGAGCCTCTGTTACAGCCATTCAGGCAAAGGCAGTCAAGCCGACTATCAATATATCCCTCGTGAAGGATATCAAAATTCGCCGGGTGGCGGTTCGTGTACCTCGAAAACGCCCCCCGAGGGTCTGCCGACCGGCAATTCTCGCCGACGTCGGGCGTCACGCTTTTTGGCTAAGCTTTCGTCGGGCGGTTCGGATTTTAGCGAGCTTTAACCCCGGGATCAATTTCCACCGTATGTCCAAGTGTGAAGAAGTGATCTGCATCTAGTGGGTTCAGGGGAAGTGACATGGGGTATTATAGCTCAGTCTTAAGACGAGGTTTCGGATACAGTAGAGCTTAAGAGTAAATGTAAATAGTCCATATACAATGCTTATATTGTGGATTCATTATGTCGGTAGAACTAGGAAAGTCATAAACCACCCCCTCATTATCCTTCCATCACAGGGATATCATTCATTAACACGGGGGCACATCAGAGATAAACAGAGAGTCATAGAACAAGGCCGTGGTATATATGGTCGTATTATGATCGTCACCCGATGTCCGAGCCGTGACACCAGGCCGAAGAAAATCAAATGTTGTAGGGGGTATAATGCTGTCAAAAGCAAATGGTGTTTTTTGGGGTTTGTTCGTTTTGCGTATCTGTCCGATGTCGTCAGAGCACTCGTATCGAGTCAGACGGACTCCGGCAGAACGGAAGCCATGAATAAAATCAGGCGGAGGCCGGGAATTGGAAAGGCGGCAGCGCAGGGCGCGACTCCCGCTTCACCGCCCAGGCCTTCAAGGCAATGGCGAGAATTTCGCACGACATGATGAAGGCGGTCAGTCCCATAGTGACTGTGAATACAAACATCGCGTCGAGGTCATAGTACTCCAGGGTTTGGATCACGCTCCGGGTCTGTCCTATGAGTTAGCTAAGATGTCCTGTGGATAAATCGCGGTTCCTTTGCTGGACTTACACTAAGCATGAAGACCAAACCACCCGAAATCAAGCAGAAAGCAGCGACGATCTCGGTTGGCGGGCGAGATGGAAGGTAGGAGGTCGGAGGCTTGAGGTACATGATGACATAGGTCATGCCACGAGCCAGTGCAAAGCCGACAAGGAGGTTACCCCACTGCTTGTGCACCATGGTCGATACCATACTATCCTGGTGGTGGGAACCCATCATCATACCCAACAGAAGGATGACCAGCGCAGGCATAGGGTTCAGTGATACGCCCTGGGTGTCAGGGAGCTGCCATGCGGTATCTGCTGAGGTGTGTGCGCTCATGTGGGAGGGGTATTGAAGAACCGTACTGTTCAACCAGCCTTTGACGCGCTTCGACTCAAAGAGCATACCACAGAGACCACCACCGAAGAACATGATGGAGATGGACACATGCTCAAGGTCGGTGGCAGTCCATGCGCCACCCCAACCGGTGAGGTGCTCCAAGAAGACGTTGGTAACGCCGTAGAGGAAGATCACGAATGATTCAGTGAATTCACCCGTGGGGATCTTGGCCTTACATCTACCGACAATGGGACTGGATGGCTTCACGTTCCAGGCCCAACCCAGGTCGGCCCAGCAGCCAAGCATGCGTCCCAGAGTCAGAAGACCATACCAGAAAAAGATACCTCCTTTGATGAAGTGGGCGAGGCCATTGAAGACCTCCTTGCCTCTCTGCCAATGCGCGTTAGCAGAATTCATTAGAACGGTCTATTGCCTAGAAACTTACCATGAGACCACCATAAGTCACACCACCTGTCGCAATAGCAACGAAGCCAAACGGCAAGATGATTCTGTCGATAACAGCATAGATGGTCGAGATAATGCGAAGCGCTCTGGTGGAGACCAGACGAGGTACACGGCTGGCAAGGAATCGGTCGGCGAAGGGGATGCGGAACCAACCGCGCGGTTGGGACGAGGGTTCGGGGAGCGGATCCTCGGGCTTTTCGAAACCGTCATACTCATCCGAAGGCGACGCACAAGATGGCGACCCAGGACGACTGTGGAGGGAAGAGGAATTTCTCTCCGTGCCCTGTCCACTGTCGCGCGACCAGCGGTACGAATGGCGAATACCACCAGAGTACATCTGGGGGCTCTCCATCTCATCGGTAGAAACGGGAAGGAACGCTGCCCGTTCATATGAAGTCGACTCCGACTCGCCTCTGCCAGCATAGGCAAAGATCAACGACATGATGACCTGCGCGCTCATGACCCAGGTTGCGATCCAGCCAATCTTGTGATGAGCGTTGTTCTCATACAGATCGGGGGTCTGGCTGTTGTAGATGATTCCAATAAGCAATCCCACCGCGTTGCATACCAAGAAAAGGAATTGCGACGGCAATGCGAAACGTGACCGGGCGACGCTGAACATGACCGCTGTTATTGCAAAGTGTTAGTTTTCTGTGTCTTTGTGAGGGTTAGATAAAATGGAGCTATACCTGTCGGCAGAATGAAGCACCAGGCGAGAATCATCAGACCGATGTGAACCGCAATCGCGGTGCCGTGTTTCCCATACGCGAAGTAGCTCATGGGGGAGTCGTCATTTGCCTCTGTGGATGATTCCTGGGTGGACTCGCTGTGGCTCATATCCATACCCATGTCCATGTCCATCGCTTCGTCGTCTCCGTGGGGAAGCGCATTCGCAACGGAGACTAGAAGGAAAGCTGCCGCAAACGCGGCACGGGAAGCTCGCTGCCACATGAGGAGGGGGAGAGCTTCTATATTACAGACAGGAAAACCAAATAAGGGGAACTATATCTCTGCGACGTGCGACAGGTTGAAATCAAGTGCGAGCACGGAGAGACGACTATGAGATTAAGCCAACTCCCAGCTCCCCTTGTCGCAAACAAGATGGCAGAAGAAATTTGTACGAGGAAGCTGGGTTGCTGGATTGCGGATGGGCGCGGCTACCACCTGGCGAAGGGCAGTACGTGGGAGTACGTCGGGGGGTCAGACAGGTCGGTAGGGCTGAAGTATGGAAGCAACGGACGGTCGTGGAAGGGAGAGCAGGAAGTATAAGTATGAGAATGGGCGAAGATTCCAAGGAAACCCAGCCAGCCAACGGTGGACCATACAAGTAGGTTAAGAAGCGAGACGGAAGGCTGAAGACCGGAGGGGTTGCCAGAGAGGGTTGCGCGAGACTTTTTATTTAATCATTACTCATGACTTAATTTTTTTCTTTCCCATTCGCGCCTTGTGTTCGCAGCTCTCCTTCCTTCGGAGCTGGCGGGGATAGCATGCAACAAGACCGAAAGGCCGTGGAAACAAGCGGTCCTGCTGGAGCTCCCCAAAGCTCCGTGTGCCGAAAGTGGAGTTACTCACTGGCACCCTCGCGCTAGCAAGGAAAGGGAAACGGAAAAAAAAAAAAAAGGAAATAATAATTAAAAAAAAGGACTAAGGCCCCCCCCAGGAGTGACGCTGTTCACCTCCCAGTCTGGTTTCTGATCTGACTGCTGCTTTGTTTGCTTGACCTCTCTCTCTTCTTTCTTCTTTTGCAAGAAATGAGAGTGATGATGATTAATAACTAACAAGATACTCTCGGATTCCATGTTGAGGCTATGCCCATGATATAGCTCGATCCTTCAAGGCTCCCATCGTCATCATGAGGTGTCTTGCTGAGAACGCTGGTACCACCACTCATGCCTCCCGAAGTCATCCAGCGATGGAGCCGATCATTCTTTTTGGACTAATCACCGCCTCCAATGCCTGGAACTTTATTTCTTCTTCCATTCAGAAAAATGAATTTTCTTTTCCCTTCTATGTTTCCATTTACACTTTTCTCGGGATCTTTTCGCCTGTCAGCCAATCCCTCCTTGCCATCTTACTTCCTTTCCAACATCATCCCTACTCCGTATATCTCTCTTACTACTAGTAGCAAAGCCCCCTCGGATCACGAGCTCTCAGCCTCTGAGTCACGATGCATCTTGCTGTGATTTGAAACTTCTTCAAATCAAGGTTTGTTGTGTGGAAATTGAATTACTTAATAATGGCAACAAGAGAAGTGCCTGTTTTGGCTTCAGATCATATGAACCATTTTTCGATAAAGCCGAAAAGGAGCACAAATAAGAGCCCAGGAAAAGGGGATTTACAAAAGAAAAGAGAAAAGTAAAAAAGAAAATTACCCCTCTTGGCAGAGTTGGGTTCTCGGAAGCCCGGAGCGACCGGGAGGAGATACTCGACTTCCAGGTCACGATGCGCTGACGCACCATGGGAAATGACCTCATCCCAAGGTACCGGACTTTTAGCGTGTGGCCTAGAGCGGACCAGTGGATGTTCCCTTCTTGTTCCCCATCCGCTTCGGGATCCTGTTCGCCTGTTTTCGGGGCTTTTTCTTCTTGCTTCTTAAGGCTTCATGGCCCCTCCCGCGGATATATTACTAATGCCGCGGGACAGCAGGCCTTTTTCGCGATGCCAGAATCACACAGAAGGGTCTTCAAGCCCAAGTTCGCACTATTGGCGAAAGGGTCAACAAGGCTGCAAGTGCATGAGACTACTAACTACTACTCCCTATGCCGGTCCACCTTCATCTGCGTGTCTGGCAGTGGCCTGTACGCCGTTTGGGCTCCGATCTCGTCTCCACGCAGTCCTCTGTAGTCACAATTATGCCAGGACGCTCATGCCATGTATCTATCAATCCCTTCCTGTCCGTCTGACAGTCCCCCGGAAGGCGCAGCAATCATTCGATCGCGGGGGGGTGTAAACAGAAGTCCAGAATGCAGGGATTCTGATACGCCCAACTTCTTAGGTCCCGCCTTCCCGTGACTTGTAAGATGGTGCGCAATAAGCCTACGAATCGTTTACTCACCTCTCTGTCTCGGCGGCTATTCGAGCTTGTGAAAGATCGAACTGCCAGGGGCTGTTGTCTAGGATAGATTGTATCAGATCCGGAGTATTTAGATGATTGGATTCTCGCGACATCACCAGAGGACAGTCATGCATCTAGTTCATCTCCCCTTACATCGGCAGGTGAGAAGTGTTGGTGGGGACTCATGAAAGGGAGGATGCCATAGTGTGTTTGTTATGTTGGTCCAGCGTGCGGAGCGATCTATCACCAGCTCCAATGAGCATGTACCAACTACATATGCAACGGACCGCGAACGAGCAAGCAGCACGGCACACACTGACACGATGGCTGGTTTATTGCAAGCTGTGTATTGGAGGGGATTTGGAGCGGGGAGCTGCTAAAGGAGGAAGTATCCTCCGCGACCAAAAGGCGAGCTGAAGTCAAGACCGTCCGTACTAATATAACCCCTCTTTCTGCAGAGGTCGATCGGTGCCATCTACGGCAACTGTCTCTGGCCCTACGGACTACTGCTTTGGACTATTCCGCTCCAATGAGACTAGTGTTAATATCTCAGCTACATGCACAGAGTAGCTGCGGTGGATGTAGGAGCAGTGTTGTACCTAAAGATGGATGGATAGCTAGCTAGCTGTCCAGCCCTGTTGAACAGTGGCCCATCTGGAATGTACCCAACTGGCCCATGACTTTTCCCCATCTCCAGATTCTGGTGGGCTGATCGTCAATTCAGGGCGCATGCCAGTGTAGCGTGACGTTGCGATGCAGGCGGTTGCACTAAAGGTCGGTGCTACAAGCGAGGAGAGCGGTGCATGCCATAGACAGGTACAGACCGCGGATGTGCTGGCGCCGACCGGCCTTTTAGTAGGTTTGGCGACGATCCTATCTATACAACAACAACACTGAGGTTAGACTGATAAGCAACCATGAACTGACTGCTAGGGAGATGTTCATCTAGCACGATGATTGTGCAACTGTGGTGCAACCTATACAGCCGCCATATTTAGCCATAGAGTACTCGATAGTACTCGGTTGTAATCCTTATATCGAGCTATTTGGTGTGTCTATCTACTACTTTCTACTGTAGGCAGACCACCAACAAGCGTCGATCTCTGCCGGCTTTAGTGGCATCCTCTTCCCTCGGAAGCAAACCCCACCCGGCGGGCCTCGCACGTTGGGCTTTTTGCTAGTGATTGCTAGCCCTGTCCGTGCCCGTGTATGATTCTGCCAGTATCTATCGACCTTTGCTCTCTTTCTGACAACCCAACTGACGATCGCGGCTTGGCATCACCGGGCGAAAATCACAATCCGCATCCGCGCCCTTCCGTTCTGTATGAACTGCCCGGGAGGCATAAACACGTCCATGCGCCATGGCGCTTCTCGTCACCTTTTCTTACATCCACGCACCTCCCGTCTCGACACACATCCGTCTGACCCGGAGATCTCTCGCATTAATCATTCAATCACTGTCGAGCCTCTTTTTCTAAGTTTTTTAAGTATTTACCCACTTTCTCTCTTTGACCGTTTCCAGGCCTGGCTGGCCCTTTCCCACCGCACCCGTACTTATGCATCGTATGACCAACACTGACTCATCGATCATGACGCGATGCTCATCGTGGGAAAAATCGGATACTTGTTGCGGTCATGTCGTTGACGTCATGGCATGGTTTCCTCCAGGCAGCTTTGCTAGAGTCAAACCCAAAACATGGTTACAATAGTCTATATGGGGATGAGAATGGGTGTTACTATTGTCCTTTTGTGAATGCCACTGTCCTGGTGAGTCTATCTACCCACAAGATCAGACTACGCAGCAATCATTGCCAGATTGGACTGCTGGACATCCGTGCTGTCAAGCCGACACACAAACTTAAAGGGACCCGCCATAAAAATTTAGGCCTGATAAGATCGACCCGATCCCATGACCTCAAGTTCGGCACATCCGGCTCTCTCGGCTTTACACTCGTCAGGATTTCCTCCCTTTGTCTGGCGGCATTTACACGAAGGCTGCCGCGATTCAAGCCCCGTCATCGACGAGAGGCCTAGACTACAACTGTCATGTTGACATGTCGCCATTCAGGGTTTACCAGTCTTACATATGGCATCCAGCTTACAGGTCATCAATTTGGTAGGTAGTAGTGGACGGACCACTTCCGATGCATTGCCCAATCAGTTTCTCGATTAGGCTCGCGTTAACTCGGAGACTTTTCCTTCCATGTGGATTCCACCGCAACTTTGGTCGAAGTAGTTCGATTGGCGAAAATTTTCTGATATTGGGCAAGCGTACGCAAAACAGCCGGAGGATGCCGCCCGCTGAGCTCATTTTCTAAGCGGAGACAAACCATGGCTCAGACTTGACTATACTAGGCAGGCCATAATCTCCGTGCCGCTAATTCCGGCTTCGCTCCGATGATGATGCCGCTTTAACCGGCTGACCTGGTTGGTGAGACTGTTCAGGTACTCCCTCGGCCGTTCTGCCGTTCTTTGTGATTCGCTCGAGGCAGCCACACTAGCTGGTGCGAATTCATTAAGCGACATCAAGGAACTATAACAGCCAGCTCTTCTCTAGCAGAATTCGATGGCTTCCTACCAGACGGTCCAACCGATCCTGGTCATGAATCTGGCGAAGCATAGGGATTATAGCTCTCCGGGTGGCACAGAAGCACTCGCTTCTGCTAGAGATGTCTTTCCATCGACACATTCTACAATAGCTAGAGAAGCCATTACCCCAGACTCTTTGCTCAAGGACAGTAGTGAACCTCATTGGCTTTTCGGACATACTAATTTCCATAGCCACCTTAGCATACACTATCTGACAAGGTATAGTTCTCGATACTTAACGCACCTTAGCCAGAGTCTATCAGAGTCTTCTCATTCACTCAACTCGTTCAGTTTAACTTGCCGAGGAATGTGCAAGTTGCAGTATACGTACGGTCAAGTGATTGAGAATCGCACCCCTTACTTGAACATGCCAGTCCCATATACGTACTGTGTTTTACTAACCCCACCGCAAGCACAGCCCTCGAGTAGGTGAGTGTGACCAGAAGTCACCGCAACATGCCGCAAAAGACAGGGAGGGTGACTGCGGGGAGATACAAATCCAGCCTACTAGCCTGAAACAAGACATGGGTATGTCCTGCAGTAGTCACAAGTTTACAATTCCATATCATAAGACACACTATTCGCTACATTGCTTTTCTGACCAATATGCATGGCTCACGCGACATAGCTCAACAACAACTACATCAATGTCACCTAACAATAACGAAACCCCCGAAAATCGGCGTCCGGAATTACCAAACAGGCACAAAGTACCATGCTACATACACAGTAGATGATCATCAGTGATCCAAGCGAGACGGACCAATCGCTTAAACACACAGCACCAATAACATCTACTAGACAGATGCTAGATACTTCTCCTGTACCGCGCCTACTGCGATCATCACTACTTAGCCCTATTAGGTCCAATCGAGCGGGTAGTCCCGAACGCAAGTTTCTACACAGTAGTCTATCACGTCGGAACTCGGATGTTCGGGTTTTAAGGAGGCTAGCTTGTGATTACTTCTCTCCTGTAGCCAAGTACTGCTTTGTTGATCGTTGGTCATTAGACCTTTCTTTGCACTGTCCCTGAACATTTGATCTAACCACATATCTTTGAAGTGGTCAATACTGATTTGGTTGTACTTATCGTTCCTCTTCATACGTAAGCAAGTGGTGAACTCATTGAGTGAAGTCCTGAAATGAGATACTATCCTGTAGATACTATACGGAGCTTACATTGGTTAGGAGACATACTCCATCGAGCCTCAGAAAGGCTAACTGACACTCAGATATTAACTAGTGCTAACTATAATGTCCATCCATTAGACAACTCATTAGTAAGTCAGTTGATGCATGTGCTAGCTAGCTACTTACCTAGCCAGCCTTACACCGATAGCTCTAAGCCTTATGGAATCCCCTGTATTGCTTTTCCCTTTTATTTCCTATTTCTTCGTTCTTCTTTCTTTTTCTTTTCTTCCCTTATTTTTACCATTTTTTCTCTTTTCCCTTTTGCCCCAAACGCATATAGCTTAGTGTGTTTTCCCTGGGAAGTAGGTACGTAGATAGATAAACTAGCTATGTACTCCGTACCTGACTGAGCATGGGTGGGTCATAAGACTATTACCTAACCTGGGTAGGTACCATAGAGGTACGAACAACGGAGTAGTAAAGTAAGTAGCGTCCTGGTATTGAGGAATATGCTTACTACTTAAAAGGGTCAAGTAAGTACTCTAGAGGTACGAAGTAGTCTGCTCATATTAGAATCCGTCTGTTGGGGTGGTTGGGTAGATCCTGGGGTAGCTTATTGTAGTCACTTAATTATGTATGGAAGACATGATCGGGGTCGGATGTTAGTGTATGTGTTGAGCCCATTAAGCTCGGTTTGGATTGTATGGCTTTAACTTATTGTGTGGTGTTGGTGTTAAGCAGCATTGAGTCTCGCTTACGATAGGCACACGGACTGAAATATGTGGCTACGCAAGGACAATATTAATAGAAAGTGTTTTTGTCTTACAATTTGGTGTTTAGTGTGAACGTCTCTGTTTGGCCATTTTGTTATGGCTCCAAGGTACGCGATGAAGATAGGGCACCTAAATGATGTCGTAGATAAGTATAGCAGTTCTGTCAGCCGATCTCTCAAAAATATAGCTCCGTATAACAAAAGCAGCATCCGCATCCAGCAAGTAACCAATATGAACATCATCGTCATACTGCAATTTAAGTGGACTAACCTCCTCCAAACATTACCATATTCCATTCTGATATACATCGGCCGGAACAACCTGCCCTCCGAACCATCTATCCGGAGTAGCCAAAAAAAACCCCCAAACCCATACATCACATGACCCTTACCCCCAAACAAGGCTTAGCGCCCCATCAAGCGAGATGGTCCGAGCCCGCATCACGGAAACCGGAAAGACACACAAACGGAATTTCGACCCTAACCTTTTCGTTGAATCCCCGTCCCCCTTCAACGCCCAGCGACGACAAACCGCCAGCCAAACACCGTCTCATCCCCAGGTTTCTCTCGCCTCAGATTCAAGATGACTCACGAGTCCGTTTGGTACAGCCGGCCCCGCAAGTAAGTGAAAACGATGTCCCTCGAATTTGATATGTATGTGTGGGAGGCTAATTGATGTGTGATTTATAGGTTCGGCAAGGGTTCCCGTTCTTGGTGCGTATATGCGATATTTTCCTGAGGAGGAGATTAGGGGGATTGGGGGTTTTTTTGGAGACGAAGAGAAACAAATGGAGGAAATACGAAAATGTGAAGGAAGTTATGTGCTGATTCGTTTTGGAATAATACAGCCGTGTCTGCTCCCACCGCGCCGGTCTGATCCGCAAGTACGGGGTATGGATATCACCAGATTCTTTGCGATGCGAAATTATCGAGGGGGCAGGAACAATGGCTAACTGGTTTTCTTTTTGCGTACAGATGAACATCTGCCGTCAGTGCTTCCGTGAGAAGTCCTCTGACATCGGTTTCCACAAGGTTGGTTTCACCATCACCCATATACACATTCCAGCACCAGCACCATATCATATCCGCAATGGCATTGGCATGGCGAGAGGAGGATTTCGAAAGAGATGGGACTTGCGACAAGAAGAAAAACAATGAAGAACCGGGAATGGAATGAATTGAAATGCCACTCGACATCGAAAGAGCCAGAACCACACATACACACAATCACGCCACACATACCAGAAGACAAGAAACCTAACTAACACCACACCCCCAAACAGTACCGTTAAATCGAATCTTCTTCCTCGATCCCATTTTTCCGTTATTCACGACGATGATTCGTTAAAACGTGCTCGTGGCGCTTCGATTCTCTCACATATCACCCAAATTAAAACCGACAATCCCCCACAGTCTCATGTCGGGGTTTAGCGGAGGAAGAAAACTGGGGGATACGGTAGCCTCTTTTTTCTTTTACCAGTGTGTGTGTGTGAAATCGAAACGCAAATGAAATCCGAACCGGGCTTGCTTTCAATGGAATGAAATAAAATGGTGTTTTTCTTTTGTTTCCAGGTGGAATATTCTTTTTAAAATGAGGAAGAGATGGGATTTGAGATTATAGGGACGTGTGTATTAGGTTGTGGCTGGTGTGGACCGTCTTAAAGAAAGGGTGTCTTTTGTCGAAGCTCCTTTTTTTCATTTCCTTTTGAAACAAGGCAATTCGTAATGATTCGGATTGAATTGAGGATCTCTTGATAATCGTCTCATCTCTCCCCACTTGGCCTGTGAAAGGTGAAGTGCTTGGTATTCAAAGGTCAAAGTGCTGCTGGGGCACATATGGGCTGGTTACGTCTTTTGGAAGCGTGCGGCTCTGCTCTGGCTTTACGATGGCTTTCTGAAGGGTGCACTTTGTGTTTGGTCTGGGCCATTACCCCCTACTGCCTTTGGTTGGCTGCCGTTTTCTACACCGTCCGCTCTGGATATCCGACTGTCAACCCTGTAGGACCTGCGTAGCGTAGATGACTGGGAGGTATATTGTTAGTTCGCATAGAAGCGCCTATGTCAGTCTGAATGTCAACGACCCCGGATTTAACTTGATGAATAAAATCACGTTACTGAAACCCCGTACTGTCTGTATTTGACCCCCCATATCTAGCTAAGCAGCCATGTATACCACTCCCGCAACCTTAGCCTTCTACTATACTATACTTGGTAGTGTAAACGCACACGGCGCAGACTTATCCGCTATATATAGGCAACTGAGCGTATAAAAGAAAGCAAAGAAAAGAACGCAACACAACAACACCAGTCTTGCATCCGTGATCGAAGATGCCAGCCACAGCTCTCCTACATGAGCATGCATGCAACCAATCAACCAGACAATAATAATACAACTCCTAGCCGTGGACTCCGAGTCGCTGAAGAGAAACCGAATGCGAGAAGATGAGGCAGCCGCCGAGTACAATGTGATGATGATGCGGTGTGATGGTACACGATAGGTAGCTTCTATTGCGGCGCGGAAGCCAGTGATCGAAGGTTGTAGAATAAGAGGTAAGCGTCAGCGTTGAGGACTTCTGCCTCAGTGACGGCAGTGACTTTGTCGTCGTTGAAGAGCACCCACTAAAAATCTCGGATTAGAAATGAATGTCTGGAAGGGGATCAGGTCAAGAACTCACATCATCCCCCTGGCGGCAGTAGACGTAGTAATGCCCCGCATCGAGCTTGCCCTGATGGACTACGGCTGATGAGAGGTCATATACGAATCTGGACCTGTCAACTTTCGCCTGCGGGCTGGTCGTATATGGGAGCATGTTGATCGATAGTGGAAAGTCGATTTTGCCTTCTAGCTTCTCCGAGACGGAAAAGGTGTGTTCGAAGCGCTGTGTCAAGTAAGTATGCGTCTATGGTTTCGGAAATGTGCCGAAAAACCGTACCTTTAGTTGCATGCACAGAATGGCAGGTAACTTCCGGATGCGCAGTTGTTTGGTCGCCTTCTGTGGTGTTCCTCCGCAGTGACTGCAGTTGTACACGCCTGCCATCAGTTTCTCTGGAGATGTGTAGCTTTCGAGGCATCCACTCAGGGTAGGCGTCGACGGAACCCCTGTGCCACCCATGGCGCGTTTCTTCGCCTGCACTTGAACGTCGAGACTGAGATCCACCATCGGATCATCCGTTCGTGTGACGTTACCACACTTGTCGCAAGTCACGCTGCTTCGGAGCTTGCCGTAGAAGGTTTTGTGAAAGAAGCAAGGACAACCCTTTTCATGGCCTTCTCGGTGGTTCTCAGTACTAAGGTGAAGCTTGTCGACGAGAAACTGGTAATACTCGTGTGCGTCTTGTTGTTGATATCCTGCCAAAGTCTGAATGAATCGCCATTAGCATCGCTGATCAGAAAATGATGTACCTGGTAACATACAGAACTTGCACGCCATGATGCTAGAAGAAGATTGAGAGCCGCGAAACCCTCCGGTTTGTCGCTGCTGTTGAAATCCGCAAAAGCCTCAGCAACTGCACATCCTACGCAGTCAGAGGCAGTGCAGTCGTGGGGTTGATGGCCGTTCCCAAGGAAGTACGTGTTGAGTATTGGGTCGTGCAGAAGGGTCTGAAGAATGACATTCAAATAGCAGGTTTGCCCCAGGTTGAACAAGCCCCTGACGCCTTGTTTGGCGCAAGGACGCTTGCTGGCATTGCTCCGAATATAAAGTTCGTCCGCAGAGCTATCGCTGAAGCGACGTTTCTTGGCAACTTCGTCGTGTTAGTGCAACAACAAACGCGAGAGTCAAATAGATGCTAACCTTGAAGAGCACTTTCTGTTGTCGAGCACCGAAGTCGTTCGAGGCCATGGTCGTAGACGAAATCACCACAAGCCTGGCAATACACCGTGCGGGCTCGCGACTCCATGTCTCGAACACTGTCAGTCAACACTGAGAGGAAAAGGCAAGAGCCACTTACAGAACTGATGGCTGGTCTTCTCGGTGTGAGCTTTCCGGCCGCCCATCGGCATCGCTTCACCGCATGTCAAGCAAGTGTACTTCGGTTTCAGAAAGTCCTTGGCTTTGAGACGACCGTTCTGCTTTGTGGATGACTCCATCGACCGCGGAAAATGGCCTAATGAATTATGCGCTTTCAGGAATGCGTTCTTGAACTGCTCTGCAGTGCTCACATCCTGCCCCAGTTGCGTGGCCAGGTGCTCTGTTACCGGGTCAGTAAAGGTGCTAAAAGGTCAACAAAACAGCTCTGCGCATGCTTTTCACATACCGCAGCCATATTCGGCCTCAGAGAGTAATGATATCGAAAGGACGCTAGCCATTGTGTGGGGTATATATGAATGAACGTAGTGAAACAGTGTCACACCTCGCACGTGAAGCCTATTCTGGCTCAGCCTAGAGTGAGGCTCCCAGTCGAGATGGGGTGAAGGAGTGTGTTATAAAGTAGTACAGTTTTTCTCTCAATGTAGAGAGGGGGGGATGATAAGGATGTTCAGCAGGTCAACTGCAGATCAAGAAGGAATCCATGGATCGGACTACCCTGGAGGACTCTGCAGGCATCAATCATATCAGCTCTGTATGCTAGGGGGAGGCCGGGGGTCCTCCAATGGGGATGAAGAGAGAAATGCACCTTCACAAGATGTGCCAATAGCAAAGCCACCGAAGCAGTGGAATGTCGAGAGCGGCAACAGTCACTCAAAGTGTTTCTCCGCAGCCACCGGGTGTTCCACAGTCAGTCGGGATCGGATCCCCCCTCGAGTCACTCGGTCCCTCTCTGGCTTCTCGTTCGGGATTGTGGAAGGACAACCCCAATGGAATAGACCGACAGAGACTAGATAATACAATACACAGGCAGGTCAATTATATATACGGGTAAAGATCGTCCCTGAAGACAGGCACCGTGGGCGCTGGATGCAAAGACAGATCTTTTTTCGCAAGGGTCGACCGCGGCTCCGGGCGATAAGAAACCGGGACTGCATTTGATCCGAGATCGTGCTTGGGGCTTCTTTGGCTTCCTCAGTTGGGTGTCCTTCCCGGGGAAATTTAATTCAATTTGTCCCCTCGAGGAATCCCCCAAACATGATATACAGTTGCAGCTCACGGCCGTGCGTTCTCCATACATGAAGATGGGGCATCTGATACTTAACGATGCCTTTCCCCATTGACCCCGGGGTGGGTCATTCTGGGGACGGGCGATGGTTCTACAAACGCTTATCTGAGCCGCAAGGCCACCCACTTCCCAACACATGAACGTCTTGCATTGATCATTATTCGTAATGCTATCATACGTGACCCAGATCTTTTCGTAGTCTCTGGAAAAGTTCTTCGGTCACTAGACGGGACTATCGCCAGCCTACCCTAACTCTACACCCTGGGGCTAGCTAGAATTTCCTTAAGAAAGATCCGAGCCGCTGAGATCGGACAGGCCGCTCGGCAGGCTTCGTGTTACGACAATCATCGCCGTATGTTCTTTCAGGAACGAGGTTCCTTTCAAGGTTTGGGAGCGCGTTGCGAATTGCAGGGATTCTCCACGGATTGCCAATAGCAAACCGTTCCCTTCGCGCAAGTCTTTGTGCCTCTTCAGGCTCAACCGTCTGCGCCCTGTTGAAAATTTCTACCATCCGGGTTCCTGCCTTCACCGTAATCCTCGTCCGCGGGGCAATGCGCTTGGACGGGCGCCACGATTGGTGCCCCGTGTCGCATAGCGACTGCTTGTCGAACCACGGGTAGATCCTCTGGTGGTGCCACGCGACGGGGCCGGGATTTTTGCCGAAGGCTTGGAGGAGACGGTGCTTGGAGGATGTTCGATGAAGGAAGTATCCGTAGTCCTGAGTACGTCATGTCGTTAGTATGATAAGAAAAAGCATGAAACAACTGGCCCGGGGAGTAACCAGAACTCACATGAATGTCATCTCCGCTTCAGTGGTCGCTTTCAGTTGTTCTGCTTCTGCCTCTATTCGTGCTATTAGTAGTTGGATCTCCCTTTCGCGCAGCTGTGACCATACCATTCTGTGCCTCTGCTTGCTTGGCTCTCCGAAAAGATTCGGGAATGGGCGCCTGTAACCGATCGTCAGCTTATAGAGGGAAGACAGACATTATTCTCCGTCGCAATTACCTCCGGAAAATCCACACAGAACGCATTCATGTTCAAACCATAGAGAAAACTGGCAAAGCTTTCACTGAACCGGGTCAAACTTTCGTGCATCAGCTGAAGGTGCATGAAGTTGGCCTCGAGGTCGGCCATGGAGTCTGCAAGCTCTGCAAACTGGGGCTCTAAGGCATTGATGGCAGGCTGGGTGTAGCCTGCCATACCAATACTGTTGCCATAACCATGAGCTTCACGGATCGACGACCGGGAACTGGGTCTTAGGGGGGTCGTGGGTCGCGATGAGGGCCGTGGGCGAGACGATGAGCGGGAAAAAGCATCCATGATGATTCTGAGACTGTGCACCCAAATTGAAGGCTGCAACAAAGCCGATTGAGAGACACTAATGCGACAAAATAGGAATAAGCACAGTATAGAAGACAAGCTGTCACAAATATGCGACTTGAAGCCGTTGCGTTTCACGCTGTATGAAGGAGTTGCGAAAGATTGGGTTTGTTGATGTTGATCCCCGCTTTAGGCAAGGCCGAGTCACTGGACCCTCCTTTTTCATGCCTCAGGTGTCTGCAGATTGCTGCCTGGGGGCGCCACTGCGACCCAAAATGCCCCAATCAGCCTATAATTAGGACTACTTAGTTCTTCCGTCTAGTCCGGAGGGACCCCTGGTGCGATTATCATCGTTGGATTGCGGACTGGGAAAAATAAGAGACTTGGCAATCCATCCTGTTCGCTGGCTTCATCAACCCCCCCATTATTGCCGCATCCAACCGCTGTGAGTTCCCCTTAGTCTCCTGTTGCTGAACCTTGAATCTGTGAAGGTTCCAAGCGAACTGCACCGTCCGCCTTCTCTTCGCCTCCTTCCCTTCCTTCCCCGCATCATTCCCGGCTTGAAATTTAGGCTCGGAATTTCGTCTCCCATTTTACTCACGAGGACACCAGGAAAAGGAAGCCGGCATCTCTGCCTTTGGGATTTGACTCGTCCTTCTCCAATCGCCTTCTGGCCCTCACGAACAAGCACATGCATGCTTGTTCCCTCCTGCGCCGCCGTCTACCTCCATCCTCGGCCAATTCCATCAAGTTCGCGTCGGACAGACTCCTGCATTCAGGACGTGCACAGATCTTCCCACCGTGGTACTCTAATCAAAGTCCTCTGATTTGGTCTGGATCCTTCAGACGACCCTTCTCCACTTCGCCGTTGTCACAACCTTACAAACCGAGGGAAGCTTCGTCGTTCTGGTCAGTCACATTCACCCTATTTCTTATCGGAGCAGGCGCCTGGCTGCAGGATAAATACCGCAAGTCGGGAGGCGATATCCCTACGATTTTCGACGCTGTTGAACCTTTGCAAGAGTCGCAAGTACCCTTTCTCGGAGTCATTGAAACCCTAAAGACAATGCCTATGGATCTACCACCTGGGACCGTGGGGAATCTCACACCAGAGCAGGAAGCCAAGCTACAAGAGCTTTGGGTCCTGCTGCTGAAGGTCTGCGGTGTCAATCTGGATGCTGTTGAGCTGGTCCAAAAGCAGAACGGCGACGCTGCTGCTGCGGCGGCAAGCCAGCCCCAAGATAAGAAGAAGCAGTCTAAACGGAGTCGGTTCGGTCTTTTCGGGCGGAGCAACACGGATGAGGAGGAAGATAGCGCTAGCGACAAGGGAACCAACGGGATCGCTTCGAGTCTCGCTTCTATCAGCATCGCCGACGGAGATGACAAGTATGGACAGTCAAAAGAGTTCCAGCAGGCTCTTGTGGATATGAAGCCTGAGGAGATTCGGGTGACTCTTTGGAATATGGTTAAGCATGACAACCCCGATTCTCTGCTTTTGCGATTCCTGCGCGCGCGAAAGTGGGACGTCAAAAATGCTCTGGTCATGTTGGTCTCTACGCTTCGCTGGAGACTGCTGGACGTTAAGTTGGATGAGGATATCATGAGGAATGGCGAGCAAAGTGCCCTGAAGAAATCTCAGAGTTCTGATCCCGCTGAGAAGAAGGCCGGTGAAGACTTTTTGTTGCAGATGCGCATGGGTAAAAGTTTCCTCCATGGTGTGGACAAGCTTGGCCGTCCGATCTGCGTCGTTAGAGTGCGCTTGCACAAAGCCGCCGACCAGGAGACAGAAGCCTTGGACCGGTTCACGGTGTACACTATTGAGACCGCTCGAATGATGCTTGCGCCTCCAGTTGAAACAGCTGTGAGTATACACCCCCATGGTAAGGGCGTTATCCACTGACAGGGAAATAGTGTGTTGTCTTCGACATGACCGACTTCTCCTTAGCAAACATGGTAAGCACACCTGTTTGCGACCAATAGCTCCCAAATCTAACGGTCATAGGATTATCATCCGGTGAAGTATATGATCAAGTGCTTTGAAGCCAATTATCCGGAGTGTCTGGGAGTTGTCTTGATTCACAAAGCTCCTTGGATCTTCTCAGGTTAGTATTCTAGACCCGGTACTCACAAAATCCCCTCTGACATCGATTACAGGTATCTGGAATATCATCAAGGGCTGGCTCGACCCTGTCGTCGCCTCTAAGATCCAGTTCACCAAGAATGTCCAAGATCTGGAGAAGTTCATTCCCAAAGATCGCATTATGAAAGAGCTCGAGGGTGACGAGAACTGGGCCTACAAGTATGTCGAGCCCCAGCCCGATGAGAACAAGCCTCAGGAGGACAGTGCCAAGCGCGACGAATTGCTGGCCGAGAGACAGCAGCTGGCGCAAGAGCTTCAAGGCGCCACCATCGACTGGATCTCTTCGACAATAAAAAAGGACGAGAGCGCCCTCAAGGCGGCGGTAGACAGAAGAAAGGACCTGATCGAACGCTTAAGGGTCCAGTACTGGCAGCTTGACCCATACGTTCGAGCCACTTCCTTGTATGATAGACTAGATGTCATCCAAGGTGAGGGTAAGATCGAGTTCTATCCCACGAAGAGCAAGGTTGAGGGAAACGCACTTAACGGCGAGAAGGCCGAGTGATACACTCCACGCCTTGGTATACGATAGACTGCTAGAGTGTGTTGATAGAAGACTACTTGTTATAATAACGCTCACATTGGTGAGGCATGTACATACAGCTTCTACTTGTCTGTCATGAAGCATGTATATTTGGATTGCGGGGTTCTCCTAGTGGTTTCAATGGAGCAATGGACTATTCTTGATAGATGCAATCGACCCACAGAAGCTAGGTATAGTCATACGTTATAGCTACAGAATGTACCGTACAGTTAATCATATTGTGAAGACAGTATTGATAATAGCACATGGTATGTAATTAGACGCAGCCGTAGCACTTGCTATATCTGTACTACGTACACTTTTACATCTTAGCCTTGATTTCCTCGAACAGAGCCTTCAGCTTGTCCATATCGGATTCCTGAGCGGGCCAGCCGATACCGAGACCTTCCTTCTCGTTAGGCTTGGGAATCTATTTCGTCGTTTTGTCAGTGATATTATCATCAGGGTTGTGGGGGATCGATATTCTCTCTGAACAGCTGCATAGACGAATGATAGTAAATCCTAAACATACCATGTGGAAGTGAACCTGGAAAACACCGAACATCAGCTTTGAATACCTCACACTTCCATGGTAAGCTAGCAACTTACATGATCGACAACCTGGTGCGCTATGCGACCATTGTTCTGAAGGACGTTGAAGTCCTCGGCGCCGGCGGCCTTGGCGATCTTCTTCGCGACGGGCTGTCCGATTTGAAAAGATGACTTATTAGTATCTGTCTCTGTAGCTAGCTAGCTAGCCAGCTGGTTGCGGGGAAGACTGAAAGAGGGGAGTGCTCGCAGGGTCCTCGATCAGGCGGGACCTTATAAAAGCATGCGGATCGAGCGCTGAGCTTATTTCAAACGTGCATGTCTGTACTGTCTACGTACCAGGATTTCCTGAAGATCTTCGTCGGGGATGTCGGTGAGCTTGGCACCGTGGAACTTGGGGATCACGAGCTGTGTTTTGCAGATTGGTTGTTAGCTTGATCTGGTTCCGTTTTTCGTCTTTTGGGGGAGATATGTGAAGATTAGGGAGCTGCTTGAGGTTGGGATCGGATTTTCTGGAGATATGTATGGATATACTGCTTGTTTTGGATGACCGTTGACTGTCTGTCTCCAGGTAGGCAGCAGAATGCGACATGTCGTGCGGGGGTATACTTGAGGCGGTGGTGTATATGCGGTTCATAAAACAGGGGTTGGCGACACTTACAGCGTGTCCACGGCTAAGAGGTTGAATGTCGAGGAAGGCAAAGACCTTGTCGCTCTCGAAGAGCTTGAAAGAAGGGATATCACCTATTGTTTACGTCGGGGTTAGCCGGATCGGATCATTGCTAGCAGCGGGCACAGCTTGGAGACCCAAGAATGTAGCATTTGTAAATATAGAGGTTGGGGAGGCACCGTACCCTTGATGATCTTGCAGAAGATGCAGGCAGCGGAAGACATCTTGTATGACGGGGTTGAGTATACACGTTGATGGCAATCAATGTATGTCTGAGGGGAATTGAAGGTCGCAATGACTGAATGCGGGGTTAGCAATCGCAAGGCGGAACAAGACGAAAAGAAACGTCAATAAAAAAGTTCGCGCCGGCGGGGTCTCGAACTGCGGCGGGTGGATGATGAAAGGCACTATAAGAAGCACTTAAAGGTTTAATCTGCGAGGAGTGGGACAAACTAGCTCAGAACCCATTTCTTGCCTTTTACCAGAGATGGCCGTGGTTTGCCCAAAAGACTCCTCTCATCAATCTTTGGAATCACCCATCGACACAGCTGTCGATTTTATTGTTTTTCTTTTTGTTGGTCGTTATTGTATGATGTGAGTAGTCTATGCACCTCTTTTCTTCCAACTTTCTAGGCCATTTTATTGTGATTCTTGTGAAAGTGGTGCGTCCGCTTTAACATCAAGGGCTGTGTGCGTAACCCCCTATGCAGGTCCGCTGAGCGACCAAGTCCATAAGGCTTAGGGGCACACATCATTGCCGGCAATCTCTTAGAAGCAGTCGACTTCCATCATACATTGAGCCACTGGGCATCTCTTCCGTCAATTAAAGCACTGATCTGTATCATGTGCCTAAGCACTGATTGAGTCTTCCGCAAGCGCACGCCATCCCTTGTGTCTCTAACAGCACATGTCGGTTGTTTGAATCATCCTCGTGGATACAATCGTCCTCTTAGCCAGATCTATGCAACTTGAACGCCTTAGCCTGTGCAATAGATATGGCATTGAAGCCTACAAGGAGAACAAAACACCTTCGTCCATAGTATAGACGATTCAACCTGTTGTTGCAGCAAGGACTGGTAATACATGCCTGTCCCTACACCTGGTCCGTTGTGTTTGGGTCAACCCACTACCGCAACTACTCCACGCCCTGTCAATCAGTAATTAATCAGGCCAACCGTGACCCTGAAAGCCTTCTCTGCCCCTCACGGAGTTGTCCATTGCCGAGCTACTCTTGTACCTTCCTATATAAGCGACCCGAGAGAGTTGGGGTACGAGGAAACGCTTTATCGTCACCCAAATCCGCGGATATCTGATTCGGTGGAAAGCCCGAGACCCCAGCTCAACCCCACCCAGCTATCTTATCATACCGTCGATTGGGCGGTCTTATCTGGAAGGGTCTCCAAGGACATTGAACTAGATATAGCCCCTTGGGCGCTCATTTGAGGTCAAGATGGCCTTCATATTCTACCAAAGATTACCTGCTGTCAGGGTTACTGGGATCCTATCAAGGCAGACAAGACCAGCCTTCGTGAAACCCGCGTTCACATCACGTCGAGCTTTCTCAATTACCCCGACTCACACCATGCTGTCTACAGAGCTAACCGAGGCTGAGGTCTCGGCTCTCAGGGCCAATAAAGAACGCTTGGCAAAGGACCTTCATCATAGCTGTCAGTGGGGATATGGTATCCGCTGGGGAGAGTAAGTGCTACTGCGACACCCTTTGAATTCACTATAAGCGGACTTTCGGGATGCACGCAAAGGAGATTGCTTCTCGTACCCAATGGCCTGCGCTTTACCATGGATTGCGAATGTCTAACAGCAATCCAGTGGGCACACAGACACTGGTATGCAGCGACTCGCGCTGTCACAGGAAGACAAGCAAGTACGGGATTGGTTCATCGAAACAACGAAGGCATTGAAGTGCGAAGTTACGGTCGATGAAATGGGCAACATCTTCGCTGTTCGCCCCGGACGACGGACCGATGTGCCACCCACTTTTATTGGCAGCCATCTGGATACGCAGCCAACAGGTGGCCGGTATGATGGAATCTTGGGTGTGCTCTCCGGCATCGAAGCGCTCAAAGTGATTGACGAAATGGGGTTAGAGACGGAGGGTGGCATTGGTGTTGTGAACTGGACAAAGTACGGCCCAGACTACTATTATCTTCAACCCTCATGACTAACACTGTGACAGCGAAGAGGGCGCCCGTTTCCCTATTAGCATGGTGTCTTCTGGCGTTTGGGCAGAATGCATTTCTCTTGAACGGGCACATAGCCTGAAAGAGGTCCCAACAGTCGCATCTCTCCCGACCGCATCTTCTGCCCCGGAGTCTATGAAGTCTGCGTTGGAGAAGATCAACTATCTCGGAAGCGTCCCGTGCTCATACAAGCAAACACCCATGGCGGCCCACTTCGAGCTACACATTGAGCAAGGCCCCCATCTCATTTCTGCAGGCCAGCACGTTGGTGTCGTTACCGCCGTTCAGGCATACCGCTGGTTCCGCCTTACAATCTTCGGCAGAGACACCCACACGGGTACCACCGCGTTCGAACACCGCGCAGATGCCCTTTATGCCTTTGCTCGAATGATGGTACGCGCTCGCGAGGTTGCCTCCTCCCACGGCTGTCTGGCTAGTGTTGGAATTGTAGAGGCAAAGCCTGGCAGTGTGAACACGGTTCCCGGCACTGTCAGCTTCACTCTCGACATTCGCGGCCCAGAAAGCGAGTTGGTCCAGGTTGTAGAAGATCAATTGAGGAAGGAGTTCGACTCGATCGCTGCAGAAGAGGGTAAGGGTATTGGCAAGCCTTGCCGCGTAGAGTGGACCCTCGACTTCGACTCGCCCACTGTCAAGTTCCACCCTGACTGCATCGAGTGCGTGCAGCAATCCGCGGAGGCGGTCGTCTCAGACGTCAATGCTGCGGAGCCCAAGTCCCTTATGCGGACAATCATGAGCGGGGCAGGTCACGATAGTGTCTTTACCTCCAAGAGAGTCCCGACCAGCATGATCTTCGTTCCGTGCAAAGATGGGTTGAGCCATCATCCGGAGGAATTCTGTTCTGCAGATGACTGCGCAACAGGCGCATCAGTCATCTTGCAGGCAGTGATCCGTTATGATCGGAAGAGGTTCTCGAAATGAGCCTGTGTTGATGGCGAGTGTCTATAAGCTGCGCCTCTGCGTATATTTCAACCTTGCCTTTTGGTAAATTAACCGCATGTATATAGCAGATTTAACCGCCAATTATCTTACGAAATGAATAACAAAATGAGTCATGAAATCATGCCATTAATCCTAACTATATCATAACTGTGAAACAGTAGCTTGGCATAACTTCTTTTTTAGGACGTGCACAGCATAGCTTCCCGACTTCTTTCAAAGTCGTTCAAGCTACACCGGCAACAATCCCAATAAGCCCTTGGAAGACCGGCAGGCGACACCCCTTAGGAGGAGGGAGCACCACGGCCACGGCCGAATCCACCACGGAAGCTGGGAGCGAACTCGCCGGGGGCGGCGCCCTCCTTGTCCTGCTCGCGGCGGCGGTAGCCACCCTCACGAGGAGCACGGGGACGACGCTCACGCTCCTCACCGCCCATCATGCCACGAGGGGGAGCGTGGGAACGCTGCTGCTTGATGTGGGTGGCGGGGACAACCTCAGCGGGGAGGTGGAGCCACTCACGGAGGTAGTCAAGACCCTATATCAAAACCAGTCAGACAATCCGTCTTACGCATTCATCTTCATCAATGGAACATACCTCGGGGGTGAGGGTGTAGTAGTAGTACTGCCAGGAGAACTGGGTCTTGACGTAGCCGCGGGAGGTCAGGGACTGGCAGGCCTTGATCACGTAGAGGTTCTTGGTGTCAATGTCGCCATGCTTGGGAAGGTTGAAGTCCTTCTTGGCCACGAGCACACCCTCTATTGTCAACCGTCAGCAAGACTGATTCATCCATCATACATCATCCATCGATCGACCGTCGCGCAAGAATTCGGAGACACAAGGCCGGTGGATCATAGGTGTTCACATACCGCGGAAGAGGTACTCGTGGATCTTCTTGCGGTCTTCCTTGGGGATAAGCCTGGATCAAGGTTAGCTACATTATCCTATATGATATCAATGGCCGATATTAGGTGCATCACTTACATTGTCGCGAGTTCCTAGCGCTCTTCGGGGAATCGCCTTGACAACGCGCGAAGAGGGTGGTTTAAATGTAGTTGATGTGAGTGGAGCGGCTGCGGTCGAGGAAAAAAGTGCGGTAATTCCCCATCGGGAAGCGGTTTCAGGGTTGGGGCCCTAATCGCTCCGCTAGGCGGATAAGCTGCGTCACGTGCAAGATGCTCTTGTGGCCTGAGGCGACAATCCAGAGGTGGTTTCCCTGTTAGTCATCAATGGCCTTATCGGGAACTCCTCCGCATCCTGAATGAAGTCAACTGCGCCTCACCTCTGCAATCGAGTCAAGCATCGTCTCCACCTTCAACCAGCGTCAATAACCTGAGCGCTCCGACTAGTCGATACATTACGCACGGTTATTCTGACATTATCTGCGATACTAGCAATCACCATGGCGTCCCAGAACGTCAACATTCTCCTGTCGACCTTTCCCGGTCTCTCACTCCCATCAACACTCTCCTTCGCGCTACCATCATCATCGAGCGTCGCTGACCTGACCGACAAAATCGCCTCATACCTGCCTCCTTCTCTGCCACTCAATCGACTGATCTTGACAACAACCAGCAATAAGCAACTTCTCCCCTCATCCGAAACCCTCGCATCCTACCTCATCAGCAGCAATGATAATCTCGCCACAACCTCCATCCTCCCCCTCCGCCTCAGCACCCCCCTATGCGGTGGTAAGGGAGGTTTCGGATCCCAGCTCCGCGCCGCCGGTGGGCGCATGTCCAGCAAGCGCAAGCGTAACCAAGGCGACGACAATGGATCCAGCCGCAATCTCGACGGCCGTCGTCTACGAACAGTCAACGAAGCCAAGGCATTGGCCGAGTACCTCGCCCTCAAGCCGGAGATGGACAAGAAGGAGAAAGAGGAGCGCCGGCGCCGGTGGCAGGCTGTTGTTGATGCGGCGGAGAAGCGTCAGGAGGAGCTGAAGAACGGAGGTGGCAAGCAGAAGATTGATGGCCAGTGGATGGAGGACAAGGACGAGATGAATGAGAAGGCGAGAGAGGCGGTTCTTATGGCCATGAAGGACGGTATGTGGACGGATAACTTGCGCGATACGATTCTGGGCGGATCAAGTACGAGTGCCAGTCCGAGCGAGGGAAGTGGACAGGAGACATCCTCTAGCTCTGAGGAGGAAAGTGATGATGAGCAGGAGATGGAAGATGCGCCTGGACCCTCGTCGGAACCGGCGCGCAGTGCGGCACCTCGGCGGTATATTGGATTTGATGAGGATGACGAGTTCATGAGTGATTCTGAA